CAGCCAAACCAACCCGATGAGAATAGAGAGCCATTTGGTCCAAGTTCAAACAATCCCAATGTGCCTAACAACAATATTCCTAATAGAAATCCCTTTGGACCTGGATCGGAAACACCTAACAGACCTTTTCAGGAAGTACCAGGCTCACATCCCGAACGCCCAAATTCAAATATTCCGGAAAGATCACCTTTCGGTCCAGGGTCTCAGAATCCAAACCAACCTCCATCAGGCTCGGAGTTTCCCAATGGGAACAATCCAAACGGAGAAGTTCCTGGAAGAACACCTTTCAATCCTGATTCTGGTAATAATGCTCCAGGCAGACCGACACTCCCACCCGGACTAGCACAGCCAAACCAACCCGATGAGAATAGAGAGCCATTTGGTCCAAGTTCAAACAATCCCAATGTGCCTAACAACAATATTCCTAATAGAAATCCCTTTGGACCTGGATCGGAAACACCTAACAGACCTTCTCAGGAAGTACCAGGCTCACATCCCGAACGCCCAAATTCAAATATTCCGGAAAGATCACCTTTCGGTCCAGGGTCTCAGAATCCAAACCAACCTCCATCAGGCTCGGAGTTTCCCAATGGGAACAATCCAAACGGAGAAGTTCCTGGAAGAACACCTTTCAATCCTGAAACTGGTGTTCATGCCCCAGGCAGACCCACACTCCCACCCGGACTAGGAAAACCAAACCAACCCGATGAGAATAGAGAGCCATTTGGTCCAAGTTCAAACAATCCCAATGTGCCTAACAACAATATTCCTAATAGAAATCCCTTAGGACCTGGATCGGAAACACCTAACAGACCTTCTCAGGAAGTACCAGGCTCATATCCAGAACGCCCAAATTCAAATATTCCGGGAAGACCTCCATTCGGACCATCATCAGAGTCTCCAAATCAGCCAAGTCAAGAGCATCCAGGTGGAAGAACAGCCGTCCCACCATCTACAGATATAGAAAAACCCAACAATCATTTTTCACCAGAAATACCTCAAAGGCCCGGGTCGATAAAGTCTGAGCTTCCAGACAACCCCAATACACCACCTATTTTCCCTAATTCACGAAATCAAAGCAATCCTAATGAAAGAGACAAAGAACCTACAGAGAAATATCCATTAGGCCCGAACGGTAAACAGTTTTGATTGATAGAAATAATGACAAATTTAGAGCCAACAAGGGTACCGAACAATCCGCTGGAGAGCCCACAAACTACAACACCGGTCAGTTTACTAGCCGTATTTAGAAATTTTTGGCATTCAAAACACCCGCGAAATATTCTGGCTATTCTCCAATTTTTTGAGAATGATTTTTTTAGAGAACTTTCTCCGAAAATCAACCACCGGGCCAACCACCAAGAGTAACGGTTCCCTCTCCATCTCCAGAGACCAATATAGTCGTGAGGTTTTTACAATAACTCAAAACAAGCTTCTTCCAACGAAAACGATTTTAGCACAACATTATTGCCTCCAAGAAACTCAACCAACTATTATTCTGAAGTATGTTATTTTCTTACAAAGGTTACCAATTTATCGTGTTAAGCAAGAGGAAACTGTTCCATTGTCGTATCAGAGAGTAACCGGACCGCCACCAGTGGTAGCCAATAGAGTCAGAGGTTAGAACGACCATGAGTAGTGATCGTATTAACTTATACTGCAGGAAAGACTAGAATAGTTTGTAAGGAGGATGGGTTAGAGTTCGGAGCATCCACTATATTCCCATTCACCGGAGTGATCTTCGCGAAAGATCGCAAGAGAATAGCCGCGTGCGTATCATAGATGACTTCATTTATTCATAATATTTTTGTGTTTAGATGCACCAAAAACTACACAAATGAAGAAAATCCAATTATATTCTTACCGTTTTCGGAATGTGGAGTACGAAATGCTGGTGAGCAATCGCAAAGAACACAATATCATATGCAGGTAAGGCAAATCGAAGAATACTTTACACGTATGATAAAGGTTGTTGTCGTTGTTGAACAAACTGATGGTTCATCCTCAATTCAATCATATATGGCTCAGTGTGTTCACCAGAAAATAAATAAAAACAAGCAAGCTCTACCAAAAAGAATTGACGAGGCGTTAGAAGAGTAGGAGTTTAGTTTATTTTCAGTTTTATGAGTGTTTGTAGATTACGCCTCGTTCCAATCAAACTTGAACAGCAAGCAGTAGTACCTTCAGTGGATATGCAAATTCTCGTTGATCAAGGGCATGATGGACTTGGGCCTGAGGTAAAGATGGTGTTGCTTCATTAAATGCTCGAGTTTCCTAGGTAGCTGAAGTGGATATCGGTATGCCACTCGTTATACGTTGGAAACTAACTCCTGCATCTCGTATGTTTCAAATGAGTATTCAAATCAGAATTGTTTGTAGATTCCTATGGATTCCATGTGAAAAATTGTTTTGTTGAAGATAGCATCAGCGGAACTCAAATGATGCTAATCGATGATGTTGGGTGAGTGCCAAAAAACTGCTTAATAGTATGTTAATCGTTCTAGATGCTCATCTGATGCCACCATATTGAGTCATCCACATTATGACATGGGTCATGACACAGCAACTTCAAAAATGTGGGCTTTCAAGGTTTACACATCTTTTGCAGATGAAAAAAGAAAGTCAAAGTTTAGGTTCCTGATCATATGAAGCTCAAACTACACTGTGACATCGTCATTTGTTCTGAAATTACAGTTCCCGGAAATTATTCAAGCTGTGCCAGAATTCCCACGGTATTAAACGAGTGTTTGAAATAATAAAAACAGTGTTCAGCCCCCCTTCTGTCCTGATGTCATCACTTCACCTCCCAATTCGATTTTGTATGATGCGGAAGGGGGTTTCAGAAAAAGACGGCGAGAAACGATAGAACTGTCAGAAACTCAAACAGTCAGAGCTGCGCTCTGTTTAGGAGATAATTGTGAAATTCCTCAAGAAGGTAACGTAGTGACAATGAACGTTCTAATTCCTATTTTTTTTAGAAATGTTCGTCTGTTTCAACCTTCACATTTTGATAGCATCGACTGCTCTTTGTTTCTCCTTATTCGTAACATCGATCATACTACACTTAGCGATGAGAAAAAAACGTCAAACAAAAGTATGAAGAACATAGCGCTTTAGATATTTATTCACAGTAGGTAAGAATTAAAACGATGCAAATATTTCCCAAATTAAGATGTTAATAAGATTATTATATATATATATATAATTAATAGCTTATATAATATGAGGTAGTTGGAAGAGGATAAGAGGTAAAACGTATTCCTGAGATTTGTTTCCTGAGTGCATAACCATGCAAGTAACCTGAGATTAGTGTCGAAGTTATCATGAAATAACAAATAATAATAGAAATAAGCAGATAATAAAAGTTAAAAACTGTTTGTTTTGTCATTTACAATGTTTGGAACATCTATTGTAGCTGCAAAAAAACATCTCTATTAGTAATGTGTTGACAAACCCGAACTTACGTTTAGGAGATTTGATTGGACATGCGCTGAGCAGATGATCAACAGATCCACAGTTATAACAACACTAAAGACTTTATGGTTATTGGAGGAAGAAAAAGGAAGCGTTACCTTGCCAGGGACCTCGAACTTTTTGCATTTTTGAGCAAAATGATGACCGAATTTACCACATTTGAAACATCTTACAAACAAGCATGTAAGATTCAATGTTTAGCACAACAAATACCTGACAAGCTTGTCTTTACTCTTGCCGAGAGGATGAATTCTGCTTCCCATCAGTTTCTTTTCTGGATCTTCTGGACCGACCTAGAGTATATCAATAAATATGCATACCTATAAATCGTTTCAAACCTGATACGCTTCTCGTCCTTTTCCTTCCTTTCTTATGCGAATGCAGAATGAGACTCTTTCACCTTCGTCCAAGCTACGGAATCCTTTCATATTAATTTCAGTCTTAAAACTATGCATAAGAAAAATAGCTAGCTAAGTATTCACCTGATGTACAAAAAAATCCTCATCGAAGCCTTCGGCAATTATAAACCCAAAACCTTTGAGTACATTAAACCATTTGCATTTTCCAGTGTACCGTGGCTTAAACCAAAGGAAAAGTAACGAATAAAAGTAAAAATGATTTACCTGATCGAATTCTGCTGTGTCATACTCAGAAGAGTTTTCACAGTTTTCTGGCATACCGCTTAACTGAAGAAAATTAAAGTTAAAACTGCACTGCGTTATCAACGTAGGAAGAAGGCGGTAAAAAGAAATTAAAAAAATCACTGATAAAGATTGTTTGATAGAGGGTAGCCTTAAGAGTAAGCATAAAATGTGAAATTAAACAAAAGACTGCCAAAAAAGGCATGTAAAACATAATATAAGAGCTATTCACACACACCATGATCAGCGAAACGTGAGGAGAACTGATCTTAGCTTATTTAAAGTACATTTTACTTGCGAACGCCGAGAAGCGAAGTCGACTACATAGGCCAAAAAAAATCAATGAACAAAAAACCTTTTAATCCCGGGATGGTAAGAATATTTAAAAAAGTGCATGAAAAGTACTGGAGATAAAATAAATTAAATAGGCTTGATAGCATGGACCTGAGCTTGTGTCCTCTTTAAAATAGAAGCTATCTACTTGCGAGATGTTTACAAGCGCGCATTGCTTATCGTCGTTGGAGAAAATGTAGCCATCAGGTGCCTTAAGCAAACAACTCGGGAATTTCTACAAAAACGTTATCATATTTCTTCTGCACAACATGGTGATAATGTTCTTCTCCATAGTTTTGCAATACAAGCTTGAGTATTTTTTTTATTTTGCTTGGCATATGAGGAGTTTGAACTTTTTGTTTGTCCAAAAGAAAGGTTCCGGACTCCACCCTAATCGGTGAAGAAATCTTTGAAAAAAAAAGTAAATGAGAATGTGAGGAACACGTATATTTGATTCCATATTAGACGTGAGTGCTGATTTCCTGCACTTTCACGTACTTTAGTATGAAAAGTGCGTTCAGGCAGTCTTTGATAGTTGCAATTTCTTGATTAGAACTTCTGTTTTAGGTTTTTTTTCTTGAGAGGTTTAATGCAATTGCTTTCGTTAATCCCATGGCTTTTTGTATGTTCGACGAATTTGAGAAGCTGCAACTTCACACATGATTACGTCAATCAAAATATTTTCAGTTAGACCAAAGAAAAAACATTTATCTTTTTCGTGGTTGTTCTTAAGCTTTTTGTAACATGTGTTGTTTTGTCTCTCTTTTTATCAAAAACAATTCGTTCAGATTCTCTTTTGTGGTAAATACATGGTCCGAAATGGTGGAGCTACATATTTGCAGATTTTGGTAGGTCGACTGAATCCCACCTTGAAAACATCTGAAAAATAAGTTCCTTCTTTTGTGATGTCACCATATCACATGTGATTAGAACGCTCATATATATCCTTATAATGTTTGTCTGATCAGACAACTAAATCGGAAATGTGAAAGAGGCGTATGAGAGCGAGAACAAGTTCTAAATCGTCATCGTGAATCACATCATTCACCATCGTCGTCTACCCAGTTGAACTGAGTTGTATGTGTTATTGTTTCAATGTAATTGAGATTTGTTTATATAAATGTTGTTCCCTTTATGAGTGTTTGCTTTTACTTTACTCACGTCATGTTCTTAGTTTAAATACAAAATGTACAGTTTGCGAAAATCTTGTGTAAACACATTGTCAGATTTTCAAAATTGGTAATTTAGGATCCATTTCCGGCTTCTCGACGGAATAGGCATCGTATGATTCGAAGATTTGTATTGCTCTTATTAACAGTTGCTGTTCTGTCAGTATTCTTCTTAGTAACTTTAGTAGGTAGGTTAGAATGCTCCTTTCTTGATTATATTTGACCAATTAGGTATCGATGATGAGTTCCACGGATATGAAACATCTCAGACTTATCAGAAAGAGAAAGACTCGAATCTCAAAATGATTCTAGTTGGTGACACGGGAGGTGAGATGATGTTTTTTTCTGGTTTTAATGTTTTCAATTCAGGCATGCCCATTATACATACGACGTCAGCTCAAAATCGGGCTGCGAAGACTATGTCCGACATGTCTGACGAAAGGGGTTTGGATTTGGTTATAAACACGGGAGATAACATATATTATACTGGTGCAGTTGACGAATTTGACGATCGTTTTCAAGTTGTTTAACCGTGTGTTCAGCTTTCTTATTCTAAATTTCAGACTTCTTTTGAAAAACCATACACAGCCATAGATGTGCCATGGTATATGATAGCGGGTAATCATGATCACTTTGGGAACATATCGGCGCAAATAGCTTACACCAATCACAGCCGAAAATGGTTACAAGCCTTTCAGAAATATATAATTGTCCTTTACATGCTTCTAGGAAATTCCCATCTTTGTATTATAAGGTTTCTGAGAAAACAAAAGATGGAGCTACCATCGACATCTTGATGATCGACACGATTGTATTATGCGGTAATTCACGCGACATCGAATTTGCGGGTTTTTGGAAGATGGTTACAGCGAAATCTCATACACCTGAAGTAATAATTCGATTTATTGAAAGTAGAGTTTGTATATAGAAGAGAGAGAGAGAGAACAGACACTGTTTTGAGTATGAGCCCACTTGCACGTCGGCTGTAACGTGTCAGGTGAAATTTAAATAATTTGTTTTTCTAGGGTCCGGTCAACGTTACTGCAGCCAATTTACAATACAAATGGTTGGAGACTAATCTCAAAAACAGCACGTTAGCACAACATCAAGTTTAACTTAATTACTGCCACGATTTAGAGCTGATTATTTGTTTGTCGTTGGACATTATCCAGTTTATTCTGTTTCTTCGCATGGACCAACTCAATGCATGATTGATAATGTTATTCCGTATTTGGCGAAGTATAATGTAACAGCTTATATTTCTGGTCATGACCATAGTCTACAGGTTTTATTTTCATTAGGTTGGGGATTATTTTTTTTTCTTCAGCACTTTGTTGGCCCCAATCCAATACACAAAGATAAAGAGATCAACTACATTGTTACTGGAGCTGGATCAAGATCTGATCCATCGGGGAAAAATAAAAATTCAATTCCCGGAGATGTAACGACGAAATTTCAGTAAGATCATAAAAAGAGTAAAACTCATAACAACTAATTAAAGTTTCCCCAAATCTGGTTGGATTATAAAGCAGCTCGGCTTTAGTGATGCTGGTTTCATCTACACAGCTATAAACTCTCACATGGCAGATTTATCGTTTGTGGATAAGAAAGGACGTATACTGTATGCAACATATTTGTATCCGCGCAAGGGCCGTATTTCTAAGGAAACCGAGTCAACGACTCCACCTGTCTGATAGAATAGTTGAATTTAGAATTCATCATGATCTCATGACATTTCTGGTTTAAAAAATAATAACTAATAAAGATCTTATACTAAAGAATATTTGTAACGTGGCTTTTCAATACCTGTAGAGATCTGCCTCTCGCCGTTCATGTCGTTTTAAGTCGTGTTGTTTTCTCTCTGACAAGCATCTTCATCAATGATCATGATGCCCCGGGAATAAACTGATGTCACGTGATAAGTTCAATCAAATTGAAATGGACAAGCTCAATTTGACATCTGGTTTGATCCGAACCGCACGTTTTAAGCATTTTGGTCCCACTCAACCAACAGCTGCCAGGCTGTACGCCCTCGTGAAGAAGTCGTTTTCTCTGCCAACTTCATAGCTCTTGTTTCTCATCATCTTTTGCTTTCTACTGTGTTGTGTTTCTCAAACAAGATAAAGAGAGGGGAGGAGGAGGAGATAACTTTGATGCCACAGCAAGGCGATACTTCTCTTCTAGCTGTCTGCTCAAACGATGAGTGTCTTCGAAAGAGTACGTTTTATTATTAAAAAATATAACCATTTATACCTCTCATCGATAGGTCCGCGAAAAAGCCAACGAATCCAAATGGTCCAGCCTCCCATATAAAGGTTATGTAGCTGGCTCACCAACCGATACTTTTAACGAAATCGTCAGCATGTCGTAAGTTCATATTAATACCGGGGCTACTCATTTGAAATCCTCATTCTGTTTGCTGTTGAATAAGGAGGCTTGCAGTATTGGATCGAAGATCTAATGATTACTATAACTAAGAAAAGAAACAATACAACGAAAACCTTGGCAGCTGCTCTTTCATGAACGAAATATTTTATTTTTCTTAAGATTTTATAAAACGAGCTTGATGAAAAAAAGTAAATTCTAAATTACAGGTTCCAGGATGTAAACAGCAACTACAATCATGCTAAACATTCCCGCTACGAAGAGATGTACACTCCTTACCTAGGAGCATTCAGAACACGAAAAATGTACACAAGTCTAGCACCAAGTCTTTGTATAAACTACAAGTATTTCTTATTACTTCAATCTTTCACTCTCTTCAATCAATTTCCAGTAACAGAAGTTGCAACTATCGTGAAACACCTCACAAGTCGTATTTGCCTAAGCAAGGCGAATGGCTTGTACGAAAAGATAAAGATTACCGAATAAGACTACCTCGTAATCCGGTGCAGTCCAGGGCTCAAAGCGAACCACCGGCACAGGCTTCATCAAGAAGATGTCTCACAGTGCCAACATCAACAACTCGGTAAATTAAGCTGACTTACAAGGCGTTGAATGTGATTTAAGAGTCGACAACCATTTCTTATATTGGCAGGGCAGAGCCTCTGGAGTAAAGTACATTTCACCATTTCTTCAATATCCTGACCACAGTATTCATGAGGTAAGCTGTCCACCTTTTAGCATTCATGTTTGTTCATTCACAGGATCGTCGCTATCAAAGAATTTTCTGGTCACCAGAATTCATAAACATCACACCATCTTGCCGCCATGCCACTCATCTCATGCTTTCTGCCTATTAAATTTGATTTGACTGTTCACATGAGTTCCCTATTCGACGAAGATCTGTATGATTGAAGTATTCAATATAATTAAATTGAACCATTGCTTGCACCATATTCAGGTGTTGTAGTGGTACGACTTTCATGCTCATATAGATCATCAAATCAGTTTTCTTTCATTGAGTTGTCTCTTCTCTTTGTACTATAACGAATAATATTTTACGTTTATATAGATAAACTCATATTGTCTGCATAAATAAAAACCATCACAATTCTGAAACTATTGTTTACACATGACTTTCCAAAATCACGAAAAAAATAAATTTCTATATGTACAAAGTAATGTACAAGTCATGCTAGGCATGATGATCTATAGGATAGACGGTACTCACTTAGACTTAGTACGGCAAAACAAAGAGAAAGTCATATAATAAGCACAGGCAAAGTAAAGCATCAAAGTCTTATCACATTAGATGTGAATTCAAATCTGACCGGAAAAAGTTCAACCCTTTCAAGAAATTAACCGTAGAGTAACGAAAGATCACAAGCTATAGCATTAAGAGGTAATTCCTTTTCGTCGAAGATCTGCTCCTTTAGAGGACTCAATATACTTCCTGAAGGAACATCAATGTAACTATTCTTATGGGATATGATACTTACTTTCTATATCTGGCTATCATAGCTGACCTTTTACGGCCAAATTCTGTGGTGGCTTCTTCATCCAAAGCTACTTCAAGGTCCATGACTTCTTCCTCACTGGAACTCATATCTTCCAGATGAGCTTCGTCATCATCTTCTTCGCTCTAACACAATTGAAATGAGTTAAAAATAAAGTTTTTTGTACACACCTCATCTCCAGGAAGAGCTCCAACAAACCCAACACGACCTTCTAAAATGTTCTCTGTTGTGGCTTGGGTTGAACCACTAATTCGTAAGTCTGCTATTATAGCCTCAATCGATAACTGAGGGAACATTTCTCGTATCTGAAGAGCGGTTGTTGCAAACTATGTAAAATTTAAGTTCTATACCTGTAGGGCCATACCCATCAGTTGAGAATCGTCATGAGGTGCAAACTGCCGCCTTAGCAGTGGGCCAAAAACGCTTCCGCCAGTTTGAAACTCAATTGCGAACGAAGGGAATCGGAAGAAACCATTCCTGAAGAGTTATTAAGATAGTTTGAAAAGAGAAATTCATTTTACCCTCCCCCTATTCTGACAGTGGTTGTGTTAGAGACTGGAGTCATTGGTTGCTGAGGCGATGACACTACTCTTCGACAAGTAGGACAAGAAGCATCTTGTGCTAACCACCACATGAGGCACCATTCGTGAAACCTATGATGACATGGTAGTCTTCTCGATGCTCCTAAAGTTTCCCAACAAACTGAAATTGAATATACGGACTACAAATTGAGATTGAAAGGCTCACCAATACAAAGATCATCTTCAGGAGCTTTTTCAGCGGGATAGGTGTTAAGAATATGATTAAAAATCATTTTGTGTTTCAAATGACGATTCCAAGTACTTATTATAGAACTGAAATCCAAAAATGCTTATTTTACCCAGGAGATAAACATACCCGAAAGACTGTTTGATATGATACAAGAAAAATAGACAGGTCAAATTGAATCCCAAAGGTGAATGGAAGGTTAAATGGAACTGAAATTAAACGATTCTATACATGATGAAAAAAAAAAACTCACATAATTCAGAGCTTGAACTGACTCTATGGCTATAGCTATTCCCAAGTCAAGCCAATAGTTGAAATGTCGGACAGAGTCAGGTGAAGCACTGAACATTTCCGAGGCTGATAGACATCGCAACAGGCCATGTATCGAACGAAGGAGCGACAACAAACACTGAATAACATATTATATTGTCTTGGAAATTAAAGCTACAACTTACATCAACAAAGAGGAATAAGAAATGACTGATTGAAAAATACTGGTTGTAACGTACTACAGAATGGAAAATGGCATAGGATACTATAAATAAGAGGAAGCAGAGCCATGAAAGTCGTCCACCTGTAACACCTGAAGATGGTGCGACCTGGAAGCATTTGAATCACACAAGACTCCAGATGGAAAACCTACAAATTTGAATCGTTGATATGTAACTTGGTGCATGGCCGTCATGAAGCCTTGGAAGCCAAGCCAGAGGAGCCAACAGAAAATGTGTGAACCAGGATTGGCCCCGCCAACCACAGACATAAATACAACACTAAACATAACACATAGGAAACATGAAAAAAAAATTAGACAAACCTGAACAGTACGAAAGAAAAAAATCCCTGTCGAACAATTTGTTCTTCCTGCAGTGATTTCACAAATGAGGATAAGAGTAAGAGAACAACGTACCTGTCTAGATAACTCTTTGCAGAAAAAAATAATTAATGCTTTGGCGGTTAAGGAAAAAAAGGCGAAGTAAGTATTGACGGCTATCTGAAGTCCGAATGCTTGAATGACAAGAGTCCAATAAAAACTAACGATTAATAGATATGGACTGCTAAACATCAAATATGCAGATTGAATGAAAACATTTGAGGAAATATAATCTCTGGACTTGATATCCAAATCTGATAACCAACCCGTGGATAAGTTTTTAATTTCTTCCTCAAGTAAAGTTCTGATCTGAAACGACGAATAAACTGTGTATGTTGCATGTACCGACCTCAGGTTTACTTTGGAACTCATGCATCACATTAGCTACAGCAATGCCAACAAGAACTAAACTGATGGCATAATATGTGCTGATGGAGGGTATTTTGAGCCTGTTCCATATTGAAAATAAATTACTTCTTCTTTCAGCCTGCATGTTAATCTAGAATGTTGAAAGTAAATCAGGCAAATTGTTTCGAAAACGACAAGCAGTTAGACACGTTAGACATCAGTATCAAAGTCACGTTGGCTGGATGTCACTCCCCCCCCCGAAAACAAAAGATAACAGGTTTGTTGTTGGAAATCAGAACTAAGTGTGTGAAAAGGAAAGCAGACAGAATAAAACATATGCTTTCATACCAAAACATTCAATATTTGCTGCCGTCGTCAAGACGTTGACAATCCCGTGTAAGGACCATAAATGCATAACAACGGAAATCCGTAATTCAATTATTCACATTAACCAATCATAACTGTTTATTTACTATGATCTTATCTACTAGAATTAGATGGATTCTGGATCAGCATCGACAGCCTTGAACCAATGTCCGCACTCACAGCGTTTTGGAGTTCCCATACGGATAGTCATGAAGTTTACATGTCCAGAATCAGGTTCGCCTAAATAATAATGATCCAAATTGGAAATAAATAGGTTTTTCGTCAATATAAAACTATAAAAGACTTACACATGCATCCGATGATTCTGTCTGGATAGTGGGTAGGAACCAAGTTGGGCTTTTCCTTTGTCGAAGCTTCAGCACGATAATAAACTTTTGGTTCGTATCTCTAAAAATTATAACAGTTTCAGTAAAATTTAAGAATAACGAACATCGTCTCCAGCCAAACGAGCAAGAAGCATTTTCTTTTCACGTCCGGTGGCATGTTCCAATGGATCTGGATAGTATCCGTAGTCTTCTGGAGAAGCTTCAGAAGCATATCCGCGAGATGAGACGGATACCATGTTAACAGCTCTCTTGCTGAGAGAGTTGATCACTCCACGAACAGCCAAACTAGCCATTCCTGCAAAATTTAGAAGATAAATCTAACGAAGCTTCAAAGTCGACTGAACATCATTTTACTTATTGATAGAAGGAGCGCTATTCATTATTAACATAACACCGTTAGAAGTGATAAAACAATAGGAAAACTTGGAGTTTATTTGCATAATGTTTGTAAATATCGATTATGACAACATAAATTAATAACTTTTTAAGAAAAAAACTTTCAGAAATCTTAAATTATCATCGATCCGCCCATCTGGATGGAACAGGAGAATAGTTGAGCAAACGCACGGCCGTCAACCAAAGGGTTTTCGCGCCAAGACCAATTTAGCTTGTAAAATTGAAAGAAGCCACTAAAAACTGCCCGACTTGACAGCGAAATTGCGCGTGGTGGGACCCTACCAAAAAAAACCTTTAACTATGATGGTTGTGTCTCTTGATGTTTTTCGTGTTTCTTCTGACGAATTTGTATTCAAAGTATTAATGTAATTGTTTATTTATAATTCATATTTATGAATAAGTTCTTTTCATCATTGTTCTTCATTATTGTTGCGCTTTTTGATTTTCTGTAAAGTATTTTGATTAATTTCTCTCTTTCACAACTTCATTGAAGCTTTTAAATTAAACCTCTTAGTTTAGATTGAACATCTCTTTATCTCTTTCATAACTATTGTGTCATATTGATATTCATTTTCTCATAAGTCTTTCATTAATTCACATTCAACTCTCTATTCCAGGTTTTTTTCCTCTATTGATGAAATTGTATTCAAAGTATTAATGTTTACAAACTCTATTGTATTCTTGTGAGCGTGTTGTCATTGTTTATTGTACAAATTGTGCTAATAAAACTTTATATCCATTAACATGTATAATTTTAAAACAAAACAAGGAAATTAAAATAAATTTGAAATCAAAGTTAGATCCGAGCTTCATGAAGGCATATATATGCAAATGAAAAGATTTGAAAATCAATTACCATTAAACTATTAGCATATAGAGTAGAAATGAACATGAAAACAAACAAGAAGACAAAGAGAACTAAATCAGTAAACAAAATGATCGCTACTTGTCTCGTGTGTTCAAGAAACATCAAAAAAGCTCAGATGAATCGTCACCTCCGCACCATCCATGAATGGAGCGAAGAACAGATGATCCTAAAGAAAAATGAAGAAAGCTTGCAGTCTAAATCGCATCTAGAAAGGTATACCTGTTCCTGTAATTTGATTTTTTTCAGCAGATCGGGCTTGAACAAACATATAGCCACTAAAGGATGTGCGAGACCTGAAAAAAAAGAGGGTTTGACAGTCAGAATGGTCAACTCAACCTCAGTTAAATGCCCAGTACCTGAGTGTCTTGTCTTTTGCGGTACCCAAGTTGAGCTTTCCCTTCATTGCGAAGAAATGCACAGCACTTTAGGTGCCGCAGGTGTGGCTCAGGACTTTTCTGTCCAAAATGCTTACTTTGAAAGTTTGCTAGAGTTCGAGGTATCCTGAAAAAGATAATAGAGATAATATGAATTACCTATAGGAGTGGTTCCAAGCCGCACAAGAAAGAAACACAACATGTTTCATACTCAATAAGAAGCGAGAAGACGGGACGAAGATGTTCCTTTGTCACAAGGCTGGTAAAACTAAAAAAAGTGAAACGTTTTCTAGGATGGGGCATAATTCACGTAAAGAACAAGAGCATTGTTCAGCTTTTGTAAAATTCAAACCTTTCCGGGATGGCTCATGTATGGCCGTATACTGTGTCGGGCACATCCTCCATGAATTAGATGTGGCAAAAAATTGGATTTTAATAAATTCTTTTCTAAAGTTGTTAACTGTATTGTTTTGTCAATTATTTTTCATCTTGTTTGGTTGACCGTTCGAAGGAAAGAGGGAATGGTCATCCAATCCTCTCTCTCAGTTTTTTGAAATGCTTATGTTTTATAGATTGTTTTTTTTCTTTCTCTCGAAAAGGCAATAGTTTTGAAGTTTTGATAGTTGTCCGACAAGAAAGAGATTTGTCTCCTTACGTTATCTCCCCAACATCGTGCGTTCAAGTCTTTGTCGTACAGAAGTGCATGCTCCTCAAATTTCTCGGAAGTGCAATTTTGTACAAATATGAGATGAAAGTTTCAGACAATTCGATTCAAGAAAAACCAAACAGTTGTAGCCCTGTACAGTACAGTATTCACACATAAAATAATTTACTATTAACTCAGTTATATTAACATTGTAATGACTGAACAATGATGAGACAGTCCTAGGGTAACATCAAAGCTAGAGCAAAAATTATTCCGGCCAGAGTGGCGTACACGCCTACTTTGTGGGCGAGTCCTTCCTGAATGAATTAATATAAAAAAAATATTCCATTCTGGAACTTACTATCTTCCCTTCCAGGAACCTCAACTCTTCTCTCATAGTTGCTTCCAAATAATTCTGAAAATAGAGAAGGAAGAGATGAACTATATTCAAGTATTAACTCACAATTTCATGATTCATTCCTTGCAATCCGATTTTCCAGATCTCTTCTTTTTTTTCAGGGCCCTACTTTGTGGGCGAGTCCTTACTGAATGAATTAATATAAAAAAAATATTCCATTCTGGAACTTACTATCTTCCCTTCCAGGAACCTCAACTCTCCTTTTATAATTGCTTCCAAATATTTCTGAAAATAGAGAAGGAAGAGATGAACTATATTCAAGTATTAACTCACAATTTCATGATTCATTCCTTGCAATCTGATTTTCAAGATCTCTTCATCTCTTTTCAGGGCTTCAGTTATAGTCATTGATATGTCGGCTGTCTAAAATAGCAAAATATAAATAAAAACTTTTGAATTGAAGAAAAACCTCCGAGGACAAAAAAACTTTTTTCATCAACGTTCCTGAAATACGGTCTTTAAATAATCATTTTGAGTATAACTAGACTGAAGTAGAAAATCTCAAAAATACCTCTTCTGGCTCCATTCAACACAGAAACAAAACGACGTACCATGACTGAAATTATGTTTTATTATAGAAAAAAGTGTTAATAAAGCTGTACTGATTATCAAGAAAGAGAGAACAAATCAAATTGAAAAGCATCGTTTGGAAATGTAACTTGTGTTGTGAGTGATTGTACAACATTTGATCAAGCAGCGTAAAGTTTATAAATCATGTTATTGTATGCCATTCGTAGATACAACTAATAATAATAAACTACGTCTGTTGTTGGTTCTTAACACATTCGCGCCCAAGACACTTTATGTGAATCACACCACACGAAAAAATACCGGCCGAGTTGAAGATAGATGCATACAACGATAACTAGAAAATGTTCAATCTATTAAAAAACAGTTTGGAAAGAGGCGGGAAATGTGAGGGAGATCAATTGAAACTACAGCACCAGGGATTTACGGTTTGTTTTGTTGTATTCATGCTGATGAACTTAAAAGTTTAGCTTTTGTATATCTCGGTCCTTACTCAACTCAATTTATAAACTAGTTCAGTCGACCTTCTATTGACTCTCTTGATGACGACAAAAAAATAACAGATCTCTTGCTTATCTTAGTATGATGAGTAAAGCCTGGGAGCTTTTCAGTGCTCCAGAGTCGACAGAACACACGCTCACAAACGATAAACGCTCATGGATCACGGCTCGTCCCTTACATTACCTTTTGGAAACTAAACACAAATATGTAAGCATTGACCTACAATCTCTCTTCATTGAAAAACTGACTTTTTAAACTGGTTAAAAATAGATATAAAATAGTTTTACTGATCTAAAATAACTTTTCCGAAACGAAATTGGTTCAGAAAATAAAAAAAAAAGAAATGCGTTCTTGTTGTTCAGGTACATAAGGTGTGCTGTTCACAGATTCTACATGCACACAGGAGAGTAGAGCTAGATTAAACTGTAGAAGCTTTTATTGAGCTTCCTTCCGTTTGCTAGCCCATCTTGTTCAATCTATGGCATTGGTTTACACCTCTCTTCTCTGGAACCACAACTGGAACTTCCCAGCGCTAAAAGATAATTGCCAAACAGTATTTTGAGCTTATTTACATGTTCTGCTCTGTTCTTTTCATTATATCTGGTTGCACTTCTTATATCCTTCTGTCGGCTGATCAGAGGAGCTGGGAACATCTGCAAATGTTGCTGGTATTCTTGCCATAAAAGCTGATGAACCCTTATGCAAATTCGTCTTGAACCCTCAGTGTGTAACTTCAAAACGAGGCTGCTTCCATATTCCATGTGTTTGGCAATAAACAAATTCATCAGCTGAAACTGATGTTTGTATCGGATTCTTCAAGACTTGAAACAACTTCATGAAACAACTTCTCTTCAAATTTAAAAGAGCAGTTTATATTTAATCTACTGAGCTTTGGTTTGATAGAAACGCTTGAAATATTAAATATTAATAAATGAAAATATATTATTCAGTTTTTTCACCTTCTGATCTTTTGCAACTCGCTGAGTGAAACTGTTTCGATCGATGATCCCGAAGTGTTCAACAGCTTATAAGCAACGATTCTTTCCCCTATATCTGGCGTTGTGCTAATCTTAAAACATTCTCCAGTCTGTAGACAAATTATAATAACACTCTACATGTTCAACATCGAAAGACGGGGTAGATATTGCGGGAATGGTTGTATAAGAGTAGGCAGCACTGCTCTGCGAATATGTAGAACCTATATCTGGCTCGTATAGCACTATCTAATGAAAAAAATAGTTTTGCGGTAGAAAACTTAAGATAACAAGCCTGATCTTCACCAAGAGGCAATGCGTCTGTTCCAATAAGGATTTCATCTACAGCATTATATATACAATCCTCTTCATCAGACATGATCTGGCAGACCGACCGATCTTTTGATTGGATATTCCGAGAAATGAAGTGTATAACAATGACTTCATTTTTATTCTCTTCACTCATTGACTCGGTTGCGTCTGAGTTTTGGTATAATTGTGGATCATACTATGTTCCGGGAAAACAAATGTGAAATGCTGTATAGAGCGCACAGGAGGTTGGCTTTGTATTTTCTTCTTCTTTTTTTTTCATTCTGATTCTTCTTCCCAATTATATTAGGATGATGTGAACACCTGGTATATCGTATTAGTTTTATTTCTTATGAAAGTCAATCAAGAATATATATTTTTGTGAAAAATCATATGTCCTTATACGGTCTTTCTCTCCTACGTCACTGAACGTCTTAGGCTGTTTTCTATCAAAAAGGTCATGGCCCACATGGATTGTAGTTAGCATCGCCTTAATTATGCGTTCTCGTCCAGCTGCCAGCAACATCTGTCCCCCCTTTTGGAGCTCTCTCTCTCCCTCATTCTGTTATGCTCTTGACTAACCGTTTTTGGATCTGCAATTTTTCAACCAATATGTTCTTATTTACCTTTCTTCGAACATGTGCCTCTCCTCCAACTCATATATCGTTTTGTAATTACAATTGGCTGACATTTGGAAGCTTAATCCTCTTAATATTCAAATATCATTTTGTTAGTCAAAAATAGATTTCTTTAGTCATTTAATTTATAATCTGGCCAGACTTTTGATTGATCAATGATTTCGTCATCTTCCTGTTGTTAACATCAGAATCAACAATCCTCAATTGAATGCCATGATTATTCAACTTCACACAATCCAATTTTCCAATCCTTATCCTTTGTCTTTCTCCTGGATACTGTTTTCTTTTTAATATGTTAAAGTTATCAGCTGAGCTAAAAAGCTTTTTTTTCTTTTTTTTTGGTATAAACAAGCTTACACACTTGATACTTCTTGGCTTTTGCTTATTATTGAAGGGAGGGTTTTGAAATCATACGAATCTCCTATATTTCGCATCTTGCATTCCTAGTTGTCTGCTATATTCTCTTGGGGGCAGTACAACATCTCACTTTTCAATTCACGGGAGACCTTTGATCCTACCATAACTGGTCATTTTACTTTCCGGAAGATTGCAACTGAACCGGATTGGTTAAGCTGTAGAGCTTGGGCTAACAGCTGTCCGCCTGCTTCTGGACCATGGCCAATCAGAAGCCGCGATGGGCGTGGCAGATGTAGTTGCCGTGACGAGGGCTCGAGGGGAGATGGAAAGGGAGGAGAGTGCTCCACCCTTATACTACTCTTCTGCTTGTCAGTATTTCTATCCTTCTATTTTCGCTTAAATTAAAACGTTTGTTTTGTTACAAACTTTAAGAACGTTTGTTATAAAGAAGTTGGTGGGTGTATGTGAGTGGATGTATGTGTGTGTGTGTGTGTATATATAGAACTGGAAGCTTCTTTTGCTTTCATTTTTATTTTGAAAATATTAAAAATATGTTAAAAATTTATTTTTAATTCATATAATTCTAACATTCATCTGATGTGTATATGTGTATGTGTGTGTGTGTGTAGTGTAGTGGTTTGCTCCAGCGCTATTTGGCTGTTGCCTTGGTGAAGCGATTTAGCCAGCCGTATTGAACATCTAATCGAAAAGCTACCTATTCCCATATTTCATTTTTGCATCTTATATTTGCTGTTTCATATACAACATGTTTATTTATTTATTATATTTATTATATTATAGATGATACTATAAATGATTTTCTGTCCAAATATGGTACATGATACTGCTAGAGCTAGCTCTACATCATCAACGGATTCCAATGGTTTTCCGGTCAAAGATCCGGATGCCATCAAGCTCTTTGTCGGTCAGGTTCGTCGATTTTATTCGTTTTGAAAGACGATCATCGTTTAAAATTCATCAAATTGGTCTGCAAAAGTATATATATTTGGTGTGGTGGTGGGGGGGGGGGGGGGGGTGGGAGAAGAGAAGGAGGGGGGGAATGAGTGAGAATGTGTAAGTCAACTGCCTTAATCGCAGTTGCTCTTATCTCCACTTTTTGCCAATTTGCTGGAGCTTTCGGAAAGAATTGAAATTGAATTCCAAGTATATACTTTAGTGAAACATTCACTAAAAAACATTAATTTAGTGTGGCTGGTGTGTATGTGTATGTCAATGCCTTTCACATCATATTCCTCTCATTTGCTTTTACATCATTTCGAAGATCAAAGACATAATGCTCTGATTGAGATTTCACATTCATATATGGAATAGACGGGTATATGGGCTGTAGATCGATAGCTTTGAGGCCCACCAAGCTGCCGTCAGCCACCATCATGCCATGGCTGACTTGTTTTGCATGAGACGTAGCAAGCAGACTGGCAGACAAAAGCTGAAAAAAAAGAAAAGATAACGAGAATGATGAGAGACAAGACCACACATGGACAGCTTCACCAAAAAAAAAAAGAAGAGAGAAGGATCCAAAGAAAGAAAAAATAGCCTAAGGGAGCTCCATAGTTCCTAACCTCTTTCATTTCTTTGTCTTAGGTAGTCAAAGAAGGTATATATAATACAGAATGTATATGAGCATTCTGTTTTCATTCAAATCGTAATTGTTCCATCATTAATGGAACAAATAGGAAAAGCGAAAAATACTTTTACAACTTAAAACTCAAATGCAGGGTACTGAGAAGGAAAGATAGAATGAAGTGTAGATAGTTACAATAGAGAGAGAGAAGGAAATAGAGAGAGAGAGAGAGAGAGAGAGGTAGAGAAAGAGAGATGTGCTCTTGAAAGTTTTTCGTTTTGTGTCAAGAAATAAAAAGAATGAAAAGAGATGAAAAAAAAAAAGAAAAAAAAAAGGAAGAAGGCGAAAAAGGATGAAGGAAAGGGTAAAGCATATTCTCAATGCGTTTCTGGAAAGTGCTAGGCGCGTGAGAATGGAAAGCGAATAGAATGAAGAAGAGACTTCCTGAAAGCTGATGAGAATCTTCTTCTTTTATTTTTACATCTCTTAGTTTTGTCTTATTTCTTAAGCTTTAAGAAATCATTTAAAATTGCATTTCAAATGTTATAATTTATATATATTTCTTCATTTATAGATTCCACGAAATTTGGAGGAAAAAGATTTGAGACACTTGTTTGATCAATTTGGCAAAATATATGAATTTACTATATTAAAAGATAAATATACGGGTTAGCTTATATGATATAGTATATAAATATAATATTCGTTTGTTATTATAGGTATGCATAAAGGATGTGCCTTTTTAACATTTTGTCATCGAGAAAGTGCCATTCGATGCCAATCGCAACTACATGATCAAAAAACATTGCCAGGGGTTAGTTAGCTTTAATCTATAACTATATATATGGATATCATCATATGAATATCCTTTTGTATGTAAATCAACCTTCTATAAGCTAATCGATCAATAAGTCAAGTTAATTGTCTTATGGTGATTTGTCTTACAATGAACGTCTGTCCTTTCTCTGCGTCAGAATACCATCTGTCTCATGAACCATGAATAGAGTACCTAGTCGTTCATTATACATTCTTCCTTCTTCTCCTTTTTTTTTAAAAAAGAGAAAGATAAAGATGTATTAAAAGCTACAATTGATTGAGCTTGATGATGTTTATTAATTACATAACAAAGTGTCTGGAGAAACAAAAAAAAAGGAGAGGAGGAGGGAGAAGGACATATATAAAGAGAGTGTCTGATTAGTATAATAAGCCGATATTACGCAAGAATCCCATATGGAGCTACTCCCCTCCATTATAGGTCGTGTAATACCGAAATTACTTTTTGATGATGCGACGAAATGACTTTATATAGTAAAATGGGAAAGAATAAAATAAGAATGTTCTTCTTCTTCTTCTTCTTCTTCGTCATCTTGGTCCTAACTGACCGATGAGGAGGGAGAAGACTAACAGACATAACGAGGTAACATGGGTCGATGAACGGAGGAAATAAGGTTATCGTTAGCTCCTAGAATCCCCTCCCTTTTTGCCTACTCTTGCTCATTTGAAGCTTACTTTGTCGTATTCTTCAGCTTCGAAGGTCTTGCTCGAAAATTTGCTTTTACTTCAGTCAAGTCCTATTTTGTTGCTGCTTTTTGCCTAAATTCTATATTCTTTCAAGATATTACATAACAGTACATTATAAATGGTTTGCATTTATATATTATATATATACATATAGGATTAAGATGTAGTATTTACATATAATTTTTTATTTTTTTGATTTTCAGATGAATCGCGCTATGCAAGTTAAACCTGCTGATACCGAGAGTCGTCCATCTAGCCCGAAAGACAAAGTAATTCATGATGCTATTGCTTAGTAATGTCTGTAGAAGTTGCAGGTTGATGATAAGAAGCTTTTCGTGGGCATGTTGTCAAAACATCACACGGAAGATGAAGTTAAAAATTTATTCCAGCCGTTCGGAGTATTAGAAGAGGTTTGTTAAAATAGCTCGTGAGTCAGTGACATTAACACAATCCATGGTGTATGGGGTGTATGTATGGAAGATGTTCTGTATTTTCGAATGCATAAGCTTGTTAGCTGTTGAATGAAGCAGATGCATTGAGTGATGGCAATTACTCCGTTCTGAAGACGTTAAAGATAGAAATCATGGAAAGAAAAAGAATGCATTGTGCACATCTGCTTTTTCCTTACTTCGTCAACAGCCGATACGACTAAACATCAAAAGGATGTACTTGATCATCATAGTAGGCTGTATTTGTGTGAAGGATGAAGATAAATGAATATCGACGTCGTCATCGTCGTCTTGGGGATTCAGATGTCCCTTGATATCTGAGAGTATCTGTGGGAAAACGCGTTATAATAAAAGCATCTTGAGAGTTCCATAAAATTTTATGCAAAAGTTGTCAGTTTTCTATTATTTTTCCAAAATAGATGAGCTCAATGAGTGTTCATAGGAAAATAATAATAATTTTGAAATTTATTTTCACTTTCATGGTTTGGTACAAGTATTCTTAAGACGAGAAGCTGCAATGCCATTTATTCATGAAACCCAAAATCGATATGAAGCTGCTTCTTCGCCCACTAAGCATATTTCTCCTCTCAGACACTTGCCATCTTATTTTATGTCTCTTGTGACTAGAAATGAAAAAGAAGACGACCAAATAAGGGAAATGGCTGTGAGAATGGCCAAGAACAACCGTTCGAAAGAGTTCAAATGGATCTGGTCGTTAAAGAAAATGCTCAATGAAAGATTATAACTAGCTGAGGGTTTTTTTTTCTCTCTCTCTCTTCTCTATCAAATATCCAGTCATGCTAATCCTCACTTGAGTGTACAGTTAAAGTCTATGCCGCTCTCGCACATCCGGCATGGTGTCGCCATGCTTGAGCCTTTTGTCTAGACGTTCATTAAGAGGGAATCGTCATCTGCCATGAATTATGAGAAGAAGAGATGACACTCTAGTCATATCTGCTGCAGAGATAGACAAAAACAGATATGCGACAAGTCCTTGTTCGCCGACTACGAGAAAGGAAGCTGAGTTTAAGCCATCTGTCCATGCTGTCGGTCTTCTTTCTCTCACTGGCCATCTTGCGCCTGTTGCGAAATAGACAAGAAAATGAGTTGTGATTTCATCACTACAACTCTACTACTCATTACGATCTGAAGCTGTTCAAGAAGTGTAGATGAGGCAAAAGGAGAGATTAGGAAGATAGAGAGATGGCTGACAGCTCAGATCGATCGTCAGCTTTATATGGCAGTAAATACTATCTGACATCGTATTCCCTTGAGGTTGTAGAAACGAATAAGAAAAGCGAATGTGAATATTCTTCGAGTTGAGAGAAGAGAAAGAAATCATTTACAATTTTGACAATTAAGTCGGAAATGGTCTTCCATACGACATTACTGAATAATAAGTGTGATGGAATGAACTAATATGAAACTAGCATAAAATTATATTACTTTTTATAAACATCAATGTTCAGGTTACGGTATTGCGAGGAGCTGATGGTGGTTCTAAGGGGTGTGCCTTTGTGAAGTACCGAAATGCAATGGATGCTCAAATGGCTATAACAGCTTTGCACGGTAGCCAAACTATGCCAGGAGCCAGTAGTAGTCTAGTTGTTAAATATGCAGATACTGAAAAAGAAAGACAGGTTAGAAATGAATGAAAATATATTGATTATAATTCTTTTTTTTTCCTTTTCCTAATTATTCAAAGTTATCGCATTGGCGCGCATTAGCATGTGAGCCTCTCATTTCGTATCCAATTTCCGTTCAAAGCAGTAGCTTATCCCATGCCTTTCCTTTTCCTTTTCTTATTAATTGTTTGCAGGTTCGACGCATGCAGCAAATGGCAGCACAAATGGGTTTGCTCAATCCAGTTCTTGTTAATCAAGTAGGAGCTCAATTCAATGCTTATCAACAGGTAAATACAACTGGATATAGCATTCATTATACAATATACACCTGCAGATTTTGCAACAACAGGCAATGGTTAGTGCTGCTGCGGCCCAAACTTCATTTTTGCCACTTGTACCCAATCCGGTATGTCGTCTGCGAAATAATTGTAGCTTTGGATTAGGATATGATTCAGATGCAACTTCAACTTCAATCAGCTGCGGCTTCTAACCCAATTTTGGCACAGCAGGCGGCCGCCGTAAGCCAGTTATCTGCTTTATCTGCAGCTAATGGCAACCCCTATCAAACGGCTGCGTTTCAAGCTCTAGCTAGCCAGCAGCCACAGCAACACGATTTTAGTTATTCACGTAAGATATAATACCGTATCATCAAATTACATTATTATTGTTATAGCAACTTCAAGTACTGATGGGACCACCATACTACCTGGGTACAATCTGTTGACGATAGACAATCATAATAGTAAGTCTGAACAATATATTATCTCTTCTTCTCCTATACATCAATCTCATTCATTCAAAATAATTTCTGTTCTCCGAAATAATTTCATGAAATAACTGGCATAGCAGCTTACGTTTTTTATTTTATCGTGCTCACACATTACATGTGCCGAACTAAGTATCGTTATCGTGATCATTCTTCTGTTCTGTTCTAAACGTTTTCTGAAGCATGAAGTGAACACTTTATTTTTATTTTTGTACTGTTTGAAAAAGCTGCTTCTTCTTTTTCATTATGTTCGTGATCTTTGTGCCACTTTCATGTTTATTAGTTCGAACTCACCTCTTAGTATTTCTTCACCGTAATCGGTCAGTGGACCCATATTTCTAATTTCTTTCCAACTGCCCGTCCTATTTGTATGTTTGATTGATTGAAATTTGTGTGTTGTTGTCTGGTTGATTATCGTGGTGTTTAGATGCTGCTGCTCTTCAACAATTAGTTCAACTCCAACAACAAGCAACTACAATGCCATTGGTTCAGCCGAAAGAGGGTTAGTTCACTTCTATATATACCCTAAGTTATCGCAAATCTTATACCTGACCAACCAAGGCCCAAGTCTTCGAGTTTGTTGTCTTGTGGCTGTTCATAAAACGTTTGTGGCTTTGAATCGAGTATCTATGAGTGACATCGATTACTAACCATCTCTCTCTGTAGTTAGAAATATGCGTCACAAAAAGTTTCAATTGACATTTGGACTTCACTCAAACAACCTTAACCCGACATCTGCTTGTTTGTTAAAATTTGAATCATTCTCGATGTTTCGTGGTAGTTTTTGTGCACCAGAAATCAGCTAGAATCAGGAACCCTGTTCCCATATGATCTATCGTAGTTTTTCCAAACATTTCGTATGCGTACCCTGTAGGTCTTTATTTCATTATTCACAGAGAAAAAAAAACTAATTAATTTTTAAACAAAATTGAGAAACTTGTGCCGATAAGTCGTCTCCCCGCTAAACGTTTTTATTCATGCCTCTTAGTAGGGTGTTAGTAATGTGCTTATTCTGTCGTGGTGTTCAGTGCTGGGTCCAGAAGGCTGTAACCTGTTCATCTATCATCTTCCGCAAGAATTCGGTGACGCCGAATTGGTGCAGATGTTTTCACCCTTCGGCAACGTTATATCAGCTAAAGTCTTCGTGGATAGAGCAACGAACCAGAGCAAGTGTTTCGGTGGGTGCTGTCGCCTATTTGTGTTTGTAAACTTTTCATCCCCAAAATATATATATTCTTGAGTTGTCAAGTTTATCGCGTACTTGGTTTGTCAGTGTTCTGATCGAAAACAGTTTCCTTCGGCTTCTGTTTATCGGTTGGTAATCACTCAAACATGAGTGACGTAATACAAAAAATCAAATTTATATTAGAGCTTATTAGATTTTAAATATTTTCTCTTCGTTTCCCCTCTACTTCACTCTTTGTGCTTTGTGGTAGTGAACTTTCTGATTTTTTCGTATTTCTCCCAAATGGGACTCTCCAAGCAAAGCCAAAGAGAGAAGCAGATCGGGAATCGAGGGTGTCAAACTTAACAAAAGTTCTGACAACAACCACGCTCGTTATTGCAAATGGTGCACGCTTGTGTTTTCCAGGTTTCGTATCTTATGACTCAGCCGCTGCATCTCAAGCAGCTATAAGTGCAATGAATGGATTCCAAATAGGAATGAAACGTCTGAAAGTTCAGTTAAAACGTCCTCGTCAAGACAGGCCGTACTAATTGCATGATTATGTACACAATTAGAGAAAAACCTCTCGGTTTTCTTGCATATTATCTATTTAATCATGTGTCGCCTTGTCAGAAGCTATATATGTTCAAAACTTCGTGAAATTATTACTGAGACAGAAAATGCCATTATTTCCTCTTCTTATTGTGTTTTACAATGTATTTCTTGTATCTCCTGATTATTATTGACCGTCCTTTTTCATCATATATTTCAGATGATTTATTTCGAAAGGCGTCCGCATTTTCTCTACGACCACATTTCTAATTTAATCTACTGATATACGATTTCACTTTTCCCGGTTTCTTTCCAGCTCCACTTCTTTTCAGTTTATAAAAAAAATTAAAAATCAAGGGCTATCAACTTTGAAAGTTGTATTGATCTCAGTTGCTCGACCTCACCACCAACCAGCGGAAGAACGAGCCCCCCCTTTATTCATTATAACATCCTTTTCAGCTAGTCATTATCTAGTCGTTTTTGTTGTTTTAAAATTGTTTTTGAATGGCTTCAATGATCTCAAGTGTACAGTTTCTTCTTATATGATATTCCATTATAATAACTTAAAGTATCTCCAAAACTTGAATAAATGCTCAATTTTTTGTTTTGTTTATCAATTGTTATCACAAAAACTATTGGCATACAGCCAAGTGACAGTCTTTTGGCGCCTTCCTATTGGGGGAGGTGGATTCTCTCTACATATTGGAGTCTTTTTTGTGGGAAAATGTTATATTGATCAGATACAACTATTCAAATTAGACACTTTTTTGAATTATTTAGACAGCGCGTCAGTTAGGGTGCGGTTGTGTCTCTCCCGTCTCGCCAGCTTTAATTTACAGAAACAGCAAAATGAGTTCTAACAGTAGTTTATGTAAGTTTAAAAACCATGTATTACAAATTATCTGAATTAGATACAAGAAGAAGACATGCTGAAGAGGATTTGTTTGAGGATGGAGTTCATAAGAAGCTTCGTTTAGAGTAGGAGTTAATTAGCATATGGGCTTGATTAGAATAAATTAAGAATTCCAACAAGTGAAACAAAGTATACAACTCTCAATGACAGCGGTATCGGCAACTCTCCTAGCAATAACGATGATGTCGAAATGATGGTTATTAAAAAATATTTTTAAAAAGTATCATTTTTATTCGTACAGGACGAGGTCGAAGTTGCGCGTGCAGAAAAGTCTCCCGCGAGGAAAGATATGGTAAACCCTCTGAGTTACTCGTGCTTCGCAACTCACTCTTGCAGGTTCAAGTATTCCCTGTAGGCGATTTCCAAACTTTAAATTTCTACAATCCAAGTATGGCTAGCTATTACGGCTATACTCCTCGGGAATACAGATTTTCTCAATAGTTTTATGAATAATTGTTTTACGCATTTTATGAATTTTATTTTATTTTTTTCTGATGTTTGTAATTTCGAAGGCAGTTTCCTTTTTTTCTTTTTATCGTTTTCAGTAATTACTATTTGGTTCTCAATACAGTTATGGAATGTAGCATCTGCTTTGAGCCGTACGGTTTGTTAACCAAAGTTCCATGTGTGAGTGATGTCACTTCCGGAAATATCATTGCCACCGTTTCAGATAACTACCTGTTCCCATACCTATTGCAATGACTGCTGTACTAAAATGTTTAAAGCCGAATCCAAAGTCAGATGTATTTGCCCTCTTTGCAGGTTTGACACTCTCATTCTTGTACACGGAACATACTTTCAGATCGGATGTCAAATCCTTCCGTTTCGACCCAATGCTTTTAGAAAGTACTGTTCAACATCAAATCTCCATGTTTTATATGAGTTTGCAGAGGTGTATAAAGAGATAAAGGAATCTGAAATGAGAAAAGTAATAATGGGAACATGTCTTCAATGCGAAAAAGGACTCGAAGTGTAAGCCATTCATCATTACGTTTAACTCTCGTTTTCAGAAGAAATGATGCTTTCATCTGTTTAACATGTAATTTAACTGAAATAGAAGGTGACAATAGTTGTTTTAATGTGAGTTTTCATGTTCTCGAACTTATATGTTTCTATTTATAGTTAATTTTCTGTAAAGACTGTGTTTTCAAAAAACATAGAAATTGTTTCGTGGAACACTCCTTGGAATATTTGTGTAATCCAGAGTGTGTAGTTGATCTCCGTAAACGTTCACAATGTTTTAGCTGATAGAGAAGATCTCTTATTTGGGAAAATAAATTGCGGTGTAATCCCGACTTCGATGCATTGGCAATGGGCAAGCTCAAGCTAGATGTCATATCTGAATAAACAGATTTCAGGGTTTAGTACTCTCGATCCTTCTGAAGAAGTGTTTCAAAAACAAATCGAACATCGATGAGAATTGTTTAGTAATCATTCTCACTCTTTGGGTAAAATGTTTGCAAGCGTACTGTTACTCTATTTCTGTTCAGGAACGCATGAAAAAACAGATAGACGATTCGAAACTGCGGTATTTTTTCTTCTTTTATTTCCAACAACTGCTCGTTTATGTCTCGGAGAGGATAGAGGTACTTGCTTTGCATCTTCCGATTAAGTTAGTAACAATGCTTTTCAGCAAGACAAAATAGAGGGCTTTGTACATTTCATAGCATTCGTTGCGACGAATTTCGCAGATCAGTCCGATGACACTTCCGCATTGAGGAAGGTGTACTGTTTTCTTTTCAAAGATGTAATTTTTGATATTTTACTACCAGTCTCCAACAACTACTTCAGATTTTGGAGAAAATTTTTATTCAAGTCCAACTTGCCGATAACAATATGTTCAGCACTCTCAGGATGAGTCTGGTAAGCCTATCGTTACATTCTCGAGTACTCTATGTCTCAGATAAAAACTATAATTGAAATATACGAACTGTTCCATAACAACTTTTACGCTGTTTGTTGTCTCCTGATATCTCTGACTAATGAAGTGAGATGATTGAGTGGTCGTTTTTGATTTCTCAACTGTTGCAGATTAATCTTCTGAGGTTCTATAAAGCCGAGTTCCCGAGAACGCCAGAAGTTGTAGAATATGAAAATATCCTGAAACGGGTCATGTCTGTGAGTTCTTTATTCTAATGCTGAACGTCCGAAAAGGTTCATTGTAGAGGATTGGACTACTGCCAATCAGTTAATAAGAGAGAACAGGAGATGTTGTGTGATATAGTTTTCGAAAACACATGAAGAACCGTCCAATAGTTTTTACTAAGGTTCAGCTGTTTTTTATACTTGTTAGATAAATTTTTTTGAATAGTATTACAACCGTGAAGCTTGTCTTTCTTATTTTGCCTTAATGAATGTTCAAATGTAATGGTTGACAGGAAGTTGACTATCATAAAGGGACCTGAGAATGTACGGCCACGCCTCTCCGAAGGGCGGCACTTCAGCCCCTCCCCCAATATTCTGACGCTGATTGTTGTTCCCGTTGGCACTCCAGACAGTCGATCATGTACGGTAAACTGACTATAGTTCTTCTTCTCGCCGTTCCATCATTGATGGTGCTGGCTCAAGATCAACCAGTGTGCTCCTTCAACCAACTCTTCAATGGCCAAATCTGTACATGTGCTCCTGGGTAAGCGTTTTCAACTCTTATTTTTTTTGAACAGTGCTGTTCACGGAGTGCAAGAGAGCAACAAGTGTTTAGAGAGTTTTTTGTTCGAGACTAGTAAACGTCTTGTGGTCGCCATTACTACTGTCAAGGCCAAATAAGGGTTTGGAGAGAAAACTACATCTTCTTACTTTATATAGTGTGTTTCTGTCTTTAATTAATATAATAAGTGAGATGATTAGTTTTATTAGAAGCGGGCAAGACTTACTCAAAATCTATAGGGACTTTAGCAACAACTTTTATGACCCTCCATATCGTACAAATAATCATAATGTGACCGTTGCATATCTTGATCTCCTCAAAAGGTTATGCAGATTTGTCCTGATTGCAACAGAAAATGGGGAAAAAAGTGAATGAAGTGAGAGAGAGAGTTCATATTTGGCAATCTGTTACATTAAGCTTAACACAAGTTTCCGTTGTGTTGTATACGCAATTGATTGTCTTGTGCGAGGAGACAACTTCACTTTTTTGGCTTGTCGAGAAGAACTAGTTTGTCTACGGGGTAGTTATCGAATTCTTTTGACGATTTGACTAATTTTTTGTTGCTTAAAAGGGAATGAACGGCTTCAATGACCTGTGAAGTCTTAGGTTCCAGCTTGTTTCTTCTCATATTGCCAGAAATGCATGACTTCACAGTAGAAAAACGTTTGGTTCATTTGATAGTCTTTGATAATAAAACATTCCGGAAAAAAACAAACCTGTTTGGGATGTTACTTGTCATGCTATGACAGTTTGGGATTTTGTTATTTCAAAGTTGGGAATTCGAGAATATCCGAAAAGAATTTTATCAGTTGCCTCAATTTACTTTTCATCGTTCCAGATATTTCTCTTCTGCCAATGATGAGTCAAAAACCCGTTGTGAAGATGAGTGTGAAGAGGTTTGTTTTAACCAATCGTTTCAAACGATCATTTTAGTCTTATAACCATTTAAAGAAAAAATATTTTATAGGTCTACTCCACTTATTTCACTTATGGAGAATGCGTCAGAAATATCTTCGGAAAGTTGCCAGCTGATCAACAACCAGCTTGCAACATGCGTTGTGGAGTGCGTTCTTAGTTAATTCAATGATATTTATGCAAATTTTTTTGTAGATGAGATTGCGTCTCTGGGCCTCTATCGGAGTCTTCACAGTTTTCGCCGCCGCCATTGCCACCTTGGTTCTCACACTACCTATGTGTGTGGCTACTTGCTGTTCCTGCTTACACGCTAAGAAGGTACATTTACCGTATCCTTTTTTGGGTTTGATAATCAATCAGCACCGTCCTCGCTCTCGTTTCCGCTTCGTGAATGTGGCTTTTCATGATTTGTTTGGTTATTTTTGTACAGAAGGTGAAGGACGATGCCAACAGAGGGCTGGCGAACCAGAAGCAAAAGAATGCCAACGCTTTTCATAACTAGTCTGTACGCCTAATAGATGTAGAATAACCATGAGATTTGAAGAGAAAGCCTTCCCTCGTTTCCTCTCTACCACTAGTTTTTGCGAATTATACGATCATAGGAGGATAGGGGGATAGGGATAAATCAATCCTCACTCGCATATGACTGTTTAGTTTTCTCGCTTCCCATCAATTTTTCTCCTTCTCCATTCCCCCCAAATAAGACATAATCAGTAATTGGAACTGTCACCGTATTTCGGATGAAGATGAAACGATAGAGGGAGAGAGAATGAGAGAAGAAGAGGAAGAGAAATAGGTTTGCGTCGTCAAACATTTCAATAATTCGTAAAAGTATAGCTGAAAGAAACTTTGATATCTTCTGGCCCCCCCAAATTAGGCCAAACACAATGATAATTTATCACAATATCACTTTGTTGATCGTATCTTCTGTTTGGGGGGGAGGGGGATTATTGCGTTTCCATAGTAGACACCTATGAGCCGTCTGAAGGGTAAAGAAAGAGAGATGCTGATAGCAACTTCATGACCTTACTAAAGGTGAGGAGTGGATGTTACAGTTCTTCATTGCAACTGACACTCCCTTCTAAATTATATTTATGATGCCAATCAATATTTCTATCTTTCTCTCCCAATCATATACTGAAACATTTTTTCCCTATCATCTTGCGTTATGAGGAAAAAAGTCACCTTTTACCTCTGCCCATACCCGTCTTCCTTTGTACAAACTCTTCCTCAACAAAACAATTGAATTAATAAAGACTAAAAGGGAAAAGAGAAAACAACAAAAAACGAATTAACTAGCAGTTTAAAACAAAGAGAACCGGAAGCTCTTTTGCCTAAACAGTTCAGTTTTCTCTCTTGTTTCTGCTTCTGTTGACATGGTCCCATGATGTACAAACCCAAATGAGTACTGCTACCTGTCTCCACACTTTTACAATAAACTCTAAATAACCATTGCAGGCCAACAAGAACGCCAAGCGTGTCGCCATTGAGAACCAGGCCTCTGCCGCCAGCAAGGATCAACAAGTTGCCACCATGAACTACAATCCATATGCCTACTGGCCATATTACGGAAGGGCTTAAATTCCTTATCCAGGCTCATTATGGATATTTAGTCCGTACGCTAGTTCTCGGGTATCAGCCTTTTATAAGAACTGTTCTGTTATAACAGCTTGTTCATTCTCTAATTCTGCCAAAGCTCAGGCCTATTATATGCCAAATGCATTTGTCCTTCTTATCTAACTGTTTCATCTAATTTTTTATTTTGTAATAAATTTTTATTGAACAAAAATAACAATCCATATAACAACCAAGAGAAACAAAAAACAATATGCCAGACATGCGGAGAATCAGCTCGCTACTCTACGAGAATCAAGGTCTAAGAATATTCTGAAAGTCAAAAGAACTTTCTCTACTTCGCACTCGGCACTCTGTAAAGATACAAAAAGAAATGTTGCGGAATACACATTCTTACCTCTAACAAAAGTCGAGACTTCAAAAATTGATCAAATTTAAGTTTATCAGCAGGTGGCATGTACGTCTCTTGAACTTCACTTATCTGGAAAATGACAAATGCTTTCGGAATATGCATGATGTTTCTTACTTCCTGTTGCTTTGTTAATTCATCTTTATTGGGATCCGCACGAATTTCTTCAGAAATAGATCGAATAGTTAGTTGTTTATCTGAGAGAGATTTGTTCTCCTTGTACTCATGTTGTCGCCGTAACATCAAGTTTCTCAAAGTCTGAAAAGGGAATACCTGAAGAATGCGAAGGAGAAACGCACCTTGCACGTATATTCCACCAATAATTGAACTGTTTGTTTCAAATTTACGTAGTATAAATAAAGGGTTCTTGCTGGAGCGAAATCATTTGTTTTTCCGAAAGGCTAAATAGACACATCACACACATTTCATTTGTGGAAAACACTTACTCTCGTGAAAATATATCCTTCCTCCTGCAACGCATAAAGTAACTCTCTCGTCTCTTTCGAACTCATCATTGTCAACTTCTCGATGTGTTCTTCCTCCAAATGTCCCTTATTTTGCAATAAACGGAAAATTCTTCAATACATTTCTTCATAAGAATATTGAAGGAAAGTTCAATTACCTAACAGCTTTTGTATCGAGCTGTTCTCTTATGAGAGACTCGATATGATTCTGACATAATAGTGTAATAGCTCTTTCAAAATCTTAAAAAGCGACATAGATCAGTAACAAGGCGTGTTCTCTACCTGTGACAAAAAGACCTCCGCTGCTATCACCTACTTTTCTCAACACTCCCGATGATTCTTCTACTAAAGACTTTAAAGCCCAGTCTACACCGTTCTTATCGAGAGACAAATTATTTTCTTTAGCGTAACGAAGAATATCAAAAACCTGAACATTGAAATAAAAAAGTTATCCGAAGAAAAAGATAACAAATAATACCAACCGATACATGGGCGCTATTAGCCGCTTTTATGGATGAAGAACGAGTTTCATTTGCTTTTAGTAAGGCAAAAAAAGTATCTTTACAAAGTTGCTCAGATTTCTCTTGTAAAATCTGAAAGAAGAAAAACATTCATCAGTTCTTATTGACAACAACACAACCGCTTATAGCTCTGCTATTTTGAAAAATGAAAAGTATGTGGGATTACCTCGCTGTTGGGCATAACAAGCTCAAGGACCATGAAATCCCTGACATATCTATCAAATCTTGTCCAATTGATACACCAATAGACGTCTTCGTCATGATCTGGACCATGTTTTCTCTTCAAACTTTCCCTAGTGGTTTTGACAGCTAAAACTATTCCAATTTTGGACTTTTATCTATCCGTACCTCCCGATGGATTAATTTCAAATATTTTATCCGGCATTATAAATGGATCATAACTGGTTTCGAAAAGTGGGCATCCTCTCAAGTTAGTTTTAATTGGAGGACAACGTTTGATAAATTGAGTTTCAGATAGACGACAGAAAATTTCTTTACACTAAACAGAAAAGTAAAGAAGAAATTATCTGAAAAAACACCTGGTCTATTGTGAGATTTCCTTCACTGAAGTCGGCCGTTTCTGTGACTCTTCTAAGAGTTTCCGAGCACGTAAGGCGTCCTTTAGCGAATATTTCCAAGAAAATCGTCTCAGCCGCACTTCCGTATAACGTTTTCATGATATAAGCACATCTAAAATACACTAGTCTCCAAAAGGAATAAAAAGGCTTACCGGGGACTTTTCACAAAACCCAAAATCTGATCAAAATCAATCGAGTATTGAACTCTCATAGATGAATCAAGTTTGAAGTTCACTATTTGAAACTGTTCCAAGACTACAATAGCTTTTTTGATCTTAAATTACGCGTCTTAGGTCTCGCCGAGCTTAGGGTAAACCAACATTATGCAAGCTCACTTTTCCTCGCAATCTACAACCGATGGCGGGGAGAGGTCCTGGCTCTTTGATGAGAACTTCAGCAACCTGCATGACGGTTGAACCAAAATGCTCGTTGATGAGAGCACAGCATAGTTCTGCGGCCAACCGTCCTCCCGAGATTGACATCTAAAACTATCTTAATCTCGCGTATAGAAGAAGCCGAAGTAATTGAAGCACTTAACTTGTATGGCAGAATGGAAACATTTTAATGAGAAAAACTTTAACGGTTAAACAACAACAACAAAAACAAAAAAAACAAATAACAAAAACAATTTGAAAAATTATCTGCTCTTACGGTTGATCTTTCTTTGCTGAAAAACAATGATGAGACGTTTTCCTTTATCCTGGTTTGAACTCACCTTTCCTTTTTCCTTCTGTTTCTTATCCTTTTCTCTTGCCGATCTAGAGGAGATGACTTTTCCCTCAGTCTTTCTGGGTTTTTTGAAACTGGAAAGAAATTGATTTTAAATAGAATCGGAACTTCTTACCCAGGTCTTGAACGCTTATTCTCGTCTCTGGCCATATAAGCTCCGAAGTCCAGGAGCTTGTCAAGAGCATTGGTATTCTTCTCACGATGTATACGTCGTCTATCACTTTTGGTAGACATATTCAATCTTGTGTAGTTCTCCTCTTCATAGCGTTCAATGTCCTTTAACTTCTTAGCTTGTCGCTCAGAAACATCCTAAGAAAAATGTGATCAGAATTGAAATTAATCGATGACTACTCTGAATTCTTCTGGAGCAGTACTGTATTGTTGCTTCAATTCATTAATCAAAGAACTGTGAAGAGCTCGTTGTTTCGATCTTTTCTGTTGGCGAGTTTCTTCATCCTCCTCTGAAGATAAGTTTTTGAGACTATTGGAAGAAATAGAAAGAAACTCTCACCTTCGTAATGGACGGCCGTCATCTTTGGCGCAATATATTTCTTAACCTTTCTTCCATCATCAGCATTTTCAGCATCTTCGTCATCTTTCTTTTCTTCATCGTCGTCGAACTAAACACGAGCATAGGATATTCTTAAGAAAAGGAAACTGACCTCCATATCATCAATCCTTGGAACAAGACATGCTTCAACTTCTCTACCTTCACTTAACTGAATTAATCTGTATTATGAACAGAAAAAGAAAAGCTCACAGACCTTAATAAGTTTATCTAATTGCGCAGAAAGTTTCTGTTCTAAAGGCTTAATTCGTTCTAATACCTGCAACAAAGAAAAATATGAATCGTGATCATGACTGGATTACCGTTCTGTGAAGCGCTGCTCTCAAGAAACCTTCAGCTTTAGCCACTGACTGTCCAGCACCCATACGGTCCATGAAATTAGCCATTTCCAACATATAAGCCAATAGTTCACGGTTCTTCATTTCAAGCAAACCAATCCCCTTACGATATGAGTTAAATAAGATAAGAAGGAGATGATCAAACCTCTCGTTCCTTGTTTTTGGATTTTATAGAGTGAATGAGCTTGTGTACAGTTTCGAGAGCATCCTGCGAATGCGTTGCACAGTCGGATACAACTCTTAGGAACTCTGTTTGATCTAGAGCTGACATTCTAAATAACTGAATGATTTATAAAAGCTTTCAGATGCATCAAGTAAGAAGGAAACAATAACCGAACATTTATAAACAATTAGTGTTGCGTTAAGATGTTTATTAGGATAAATTCGTCTGAGTAAGCCGTATATGTACAAAAATTGAATACAGGTGCATGACGAAAAAGAAATTTTTATTCTTTTTTACTGGGTTCGTCTTCTTTTGGTTTATTTTTGTTCCCGTTAGCATAAGCTACAAACATTTCTTTCAAAAACGTGAGCTCCTTCTGTAGAGATTCAACCTGCAAATATAAAATTATTTTTATCTCGGAATACTACGAAGCAAACCTTCCGTTCAAGTTGCTCATTTTCCTGCCGCAACTCCTCCACTTTGGCCGTAGTTTCGGTCTCTTCTTGCCTTTTTTTCTGTCTTGTTCTGTAACCAAAATAAGAATACGAAAAGTGGAAAGAGAAGAAAACAAGGAATACAATCTTTGTGAGGCTAGATAACAACGAAACTAATTAATTACCGAGCCTTATAAGGAAACCACGTACCCATGCATACTTTTGACTTGTACTTCCAAACACACGCTTTCGAAATAGCCTACCGATTAACAGCTTCATTATTTCGTTGTCGTTTCTGAAGATAGGTTTCATCGGGTTCTTTTTCAGCACTCGAAGTTGAGGATTGAGCTTTACTTCGCTTTCGCCCACTCATAACCAACAATTAAGTCTAAAAAAGCTAATTCCTATTAGAAGCTTCTTGTGCGAAGAAGTTAGTAAGCTAAAGCATTTTCTGATAAGCTTGGTGGACAGCTCGAGGAACGAAACCCGAGTTCAAACGGACAAAAAGAAAAGCTGAAAATCACAAATTTGCCTAGCACTTTTTGCGTACGGCGGTTACTTTTATCGATTGAATACAGTATGACGTATATATTGAAAGCATGGAAGCTATTGATTTGCAATTTGTAAATTTGACAATCATGATCAATCCGAAATTAATTTTTTTTGTGCAAATGCTCAGCAAATGTATCTGTTTATGAAGTTTTTGTTTTAAGAAAATGCAAAACAGCGAATCAAAACGAGTTTTGGATTTGTTGGAGGAAGTAGAGTAAACTTCAGAAAGCTATTCACAATTATTTTTTTAATTTCAAGAATTTTACAAACACAAATTGGAGAAGGCCTCGAGAAATCGAATGAACAAGCTAGTCTCGAGATAGCAAAGTACGATCGCTTAGTAAGTTTTTCTATTTGGTGTGGTGAACGAAAAAGGAAATGAGGGCAATTTCGATGAGGATGAGACGTTGCTTCTTCGCTCTCCCCTTTTTTTATTGAAACTCGAGATTATTTAATCTCTGTTTGTCTTCTTCCGCCAATGTTTTAAATATTTTTATATTTTTCATTAATTCCAGCAAGAAGATGTGGCGAAGTATGTTGACACCCTTCATCTGATCTCTCAGAATATGATTGAAATATGCGAACGTCTGAATGTCTTAAACGATCGCATCGGAGTTTTGAAAGAGAAAGACAAATCCTCCTGAAGCATGACGAGGTTGGTTGTGTAACTAATTGTTTCTGTAATTGGTAATCCTAACTAAACTATGTTGATGTGTTTTACATAGCCACGCCCCCTCCATCTTGTTTCCTTTTGTGGAAAATTCTCTGAAAGCAGGTATTCATCTTGCTCATTCGCCTATGTCCTTTTAAGTTTGTTGAATGTCCATGAATTCGTTCTTGATGGCATTGACTACTTCTTCTTCTTCGATTTCTGCGAGATTGAGCATTTTCATGTTTGCAAATTGGAAATTTTAGAAATCCAGACTTGGCAAAATCACTCATCTTAGTTTTCTTAATGGCATTCAGCTGGCTTTACTCCGTTTCTGTTTTTGGCGCTACTTTCTTATCTTCCACAACAACATAATGGTTGTAGTCAGCAGAGTTTCATTTATTGTTTGAATTCAGTCAGTGAATGAGAAATATGATCTTTCCCATATTTGCGGTGCTTATTCAGCCCACAGTACTGAAGGAAGTCTCGTTTCCTATTTACTTATGTATTTTATGGCTCTAATTATATATTTGTTACCTTTTCCTTCCCACTATCATCATTATAAGCCAATCTGCTCAGATTTCTATGACTCATTGGGGGCTATTCCCCGCTTCTTAGACAAGGACAGAATTTACTCTTCATCATCAACTCTTCATCATCAACTCTTCATCATCAACTCTCACTCTGCGTTCTAATGATGTGAACTGTCAATTGTAGAACAAATAAAATCAAAGGATGAAAACGGACGTATTCTCAGCGAGTTTTGGCTTATCCTCCATGTAGTAGTCATGAATTTCCAACGAGATTTCTGTCGGTTCGTCCAGACAATTTGCATGAATTTAGTGGGCAAGTTGACATTCTGAGAGTGCACATGGGCTTCTCACTGTTTAAGTTTTCTCTTTGCCACTATCGTTTCGCCAGTTGTTTGCTAATGTGCTTTTAAAGCCTTTTTTTCTGCTCATTAAAATATTATTCCAACTCTCTTTTAAGAAATTTCGCATATTCTAGCCTGCATATGTTTGCTCTTACGAAGCTAACTATCGAATGCTTGTTCGGATAATACGCAATGCTTCTACACTTCCTTATAAATTTTTTTTTCAGTGGACGTTATGTGATGCTGCTTGCCATAGTACTAGCAATTTTACATGTGATAGATGCCCTAATATGTTTACAATGTGATGGTCGAAATTTCAGTCACGGGTTGAAGTAATTAGGATTAGCCATCCCCCAATTTATCAATTTTATCTTTTAAGGATATCTGTAGACGAGTGTTGCCATGTGTCTCTGGCAGTGTGTTCTGAAGGGCAAGTATGTCTCAGAGCTTTCGTGTCCTCCCCTCATAAGAAATTCTTTCTCTCCGGCTGTCATAAACCGGAAGATCGATTAATAGGTGGGTCACTTGTTTTATTAGAAAAAAATTAAACGAGATTCAAGGCTGTGACACTCACAATTTGCCTATGAACGCCACTGTTCATCGTTGTGCTTGTAAAGACTCGAAATGTCAGATGCATTTCCCAGGCACTTGCACTTCATCCAGAAAAACGTCATCCCATGTCAAGCATTATCACAGAGATCATTACCATTTAACTAATAATTCTTCGAGTCATAACTCTAAACATAGTCAAAAGCACTACCACAATCGTCATTCTATTGCGACATCGACCGTTTCTTCCTTTCTTATTCGCGAGCTCTCTCCATCCTCTTCCACTTCTAATGTTAATCCATCCTTACCTGATAAATCTAGTCTTGAAATATCTGGAAAACATCCCGAAATGTTATCTCATTCAACGGCGAATCATTCTTCATCGTGTAAGTATTTCATTGTTTTCATAATTGTTTGTTTTGCTTATTATTAGAATTAAAATTTCGACTGCCCTGAGCTTTCACCTTTTTTTCCGATTCTATCTCGTTTCTGAAAATACAACTAAAAACTTTTGACATCCTGATCAAACGATAACGCTGTATCGATTAGTTATGAAAAAATATTTCATCTTTCGATTATTGAGCACTCGCTGATATAACATTTCACCGAATTGATTGAGATCCAAGAGTCAAAGGCAGACAACGTGAGAAAAATCACAATTTAGTTTCTTTATGTGCGTTGTGTTGGCTAATACACATATCTGTTGAGAGTTTGTAGATCTAGTAGCCATCTGACTCGATCGCCGAGTAAATTTACAATTTATTGTGAAACGTGATCCTGACTTCTAACGTTTGTCCAACTTTTTAATGAGTAGTACGGATTTCATGACGCTCTATTACATAATCCAATTCAGAAAGAAATAGCTACCACTAGTCAAAATATTAATTTGGATAGAAAAACAAGGCTGGAAAAATCACTGCAACCGTTTGCTTTAAAGCTCACACGAAAAATGAAAGTTGCCTCATATCCACGTGATCTCACGTTTTTTTTAGTTTCCACGCAACGTTTGATAGACTCTGAATGGAGCATAGATTATACAATATGAAAAAAACATTCTTTATTATGAAAAAGATTAAGAAGGATTGTATGGTTGGGGAGTGTATGCTTGCTGTGTGTAAGCTTGCTGAGAGTAAGCTTGTTCGCTATAAGCTTGCTGGGTGTACGCTTGTTGGGTATATGCTTGTTCCGTGTATGCTTGTTGGGTGTATGCTTGTTCGCTGTATGCTTGTTGGGTGTATGCTTGTTCACTGTATGCTTGTTGGGTGTATGCTTGTTCGGTATACGCTGGTTGAGTGTAGGCTTCAACAGTTTCTGTGTTCTGGTATGTGGCTGCAGTAGGAGGAGGTTCCGTCACATAACCAGTGGTGGTTTCTTCATAAGCATTTTTCGTTTTTGTAACTTTCACATAATACCTGAGCATAAACAATCAGACGTTTTTTTTAAATTTTTGCTTACGTATATGGAGTTGTGGGGTATGTTGATTCCAAATAGTTTGATTGAGTCTCCGGATAACCTTCGGTTGGAGGAGAGTAAGCGGCGGGAGTTTGAGCAGAGAAATAAAACTGCTCCGGAATATACTCAGGAATATATGGACGAGTGTAAGAATCTGGTTCAGGACATTCGCATTGCATCGGGGTTGCAGGATTACCGGGCTGCAATGATAGTTTTTCGTGATTTACAAATGTTTTCGAAACTCAACCAAGCCTGGTGCTCCTGGAGGTCCTTCGATACCAGGTGTTCCAGGTGGTCCCGGATCACCAGAGACTCCCGGAGTACCTGGTGCTCCGTCTGTTCCATCTTGTCCATCTTGTCCTGGTTGTCCTTTTGCTCCCGGTTTACCAGGTGCTCCCGGTAGATTTATATATCGTGTGGTACTTCGACCAGGATGGCCGGGTGGACCTGGTTTTCCATTATCACCGTTGAGGCCAGCTTCGCCGGGATCACCCCGGGGTCCCTCAGGTCCCTCTTCTATCTCTTTACCGTCCTCTCCATCCGGTCCTGAAAAGGCCGTTGATTTTTATTATAATATTTCTTACTAACCTGTTACTCCACGATTCCCTGGAATACCTTCGGGACCTTCTGGACCTGGAGGGCCAACAGGGCAAACGATGCACCCCAGCTACAATAAACAACATAGAAAAGTTCAGAAAATCTTTGAAACATCTAAAATGACATCGTCGTCTCCAAATTTCCAATCATTCCCAGTTCCTCCGTTGACTCCATTATATCCAGGTCCTCCTGGTTCTCCTGGAACCCCTGGTTCTCCTGGTGGACCTGGACAGTTTGGTAAAGCACAGCCTGGGAGAAATAGAAAACCATTACTACTCTTTGTGATAGTTTACCACAAATAGAAAGTGAAGAGTAGTATTTTTGATATTCGTCATGTTTCCTATGAGACTCTTCCACATCTTCTGCAGTCTCCACCTCATCAGAACCATCTAAGACTTCTCGGGAAGTGTCGTCGTATGCTGCTACTTTTTCCTAAATAATGAAACAAGAGGTTGAGTTCAAAAGACTGCTGTACTTTTAATTTATTCAACAATCTGGTTGCTTGCTCGTTCTCATCCATTCCATCTGTAGCATGGGCGATCTCAGTTAACTCGGATGGTGTTAATTCATCAACTAATTGATGCAGCTTCTTCTTTCGTCTTTTTTTAGCTCGTCTTCTTTCACTCTCCTTTTCAAGTGTATCTTCTATAATTTTTTTCTGAGGATTCTTGATATATTCAATATCATCGTTGTCGCCATCAACATCAAAATCTTTTTCCTGATTAGAGCTCTGTATGATAGGCAGCTTCTGTCGTTCATACAATATCTTTTGAAGATTACTGCTTTCAGGTTCATCTGTATATCTATTAGGTGACGATGATTTCTTCTTATGACGCTTCTTTTTTGTTTCATCTACTTTTGCTCGAGGAACAACAATCCATTCATAAGCTTCAGATGAACGCTTGTCTCGAGTATGTAAACGTGCTATCAAATTCTTCCATGCGATAGCTTCAATAGCCTGGTATGAAAGACAAATTTTATTTTTTCAAAAGAAAGATCAATATCTTACATTAAACCGAGACATTTCCACTAACTGCTTGTCATGAAAGTTGCTAATTTCCATAAAAACTGAATAGATGTAGTAAATAAGAAATAGAAATGATGGAATGATTAAAGCAGCAACACAGAACAGTACTGTACTTGATCTACTAGTCGTCATTTTCTGAATAAAATGAAAAATAATATTATTATTCATTATTATTATAATTATTATAAATATATAACATGTTAATATGGAAACTTACAAAATAGTTTTTTCCATCGGCTAAGTAGAATGAGTTTGTAAAATGGCCTCAAAACCAATCTGATGTGATAGCAAACAGGATGAGGAATGGTGCTAACAAGTTCATTAGGATGAGAAAATTCAACCTCATTTATCTCGAACATACAAGAACAACCCATTAATGTGTATGTGTGGATGAAGAGAATGAAAAATTATTTTTAAGTAGCATATTTAGTTAATTAGAATACCAGTTCATCCAAGTTGATGAAACGCTGTTGCTGTTGCTGTTGTTGCTGCTGTTGCTTGTCAAATGGATATAAGACAGTATAAGAACATTATTATAATATTTATGACATATACATAAATATAATATAATATATATATATATATATATATTTATATTTATATGTTAATATGAATATCGATTGAATTCTCAATTGCATAATCTGAGTTCATGAGAGAAAGCACTGGTTTGGTTTTGGTTTTAAATGCATTTTCAGTTATTATGAAAAAAAAATTGTCTGCCTAAATGATGTGCAGCTTGTGTCAAATCATATTTCGCCGTCGTTAACTTCGACAACTTCTTCCGTCTCTGCTTGAATAGGAGCTTCGACCGCTGGAACACGAGTTGGGGCAACCTTGAAAGAAAATTATAAAAAATTAAAATTATAATATATAGATATTATAATAATTATAATGTTTATAATGATAAGTTAGGAATGCAACCGTTATGAGCTTATATGAATGACATCATTCACCTTTCGACTTCTACCGCCTGTGCAACACAATCCAGATGCAGCAGCGAATAGTAGCCTGGAAACATGTGCGAGTAAGCAAACAAATAGTTAATTATGATATTATACCATAATATATAGCCGATCGTAAACCACAAAGCCAAATTATATCCAATGAAACTGAGCATTTCATATAAATTAGGATCTTTTGAATCCAAAACTTCTCGAATATCCATGGAAGTGTATTCGAGTGTTAATCGAGCCACAAAATCCTTAAACATACAGCTCATTGACTTTCAAAGACATGCAAATGAACCTGAGTATTTCGATACTCAGACGGAAGATCGTACTCATCTAATGTTCCTGGATATAAATTTCTTAAGCATGTACGCAGGTTTTGTCTATAAATATTCAAGACGTGTCGTGTGCATGAAAGATAAAAGAACTTTTGGCATTTTTCCAATTGGTCATATCCAGGTATTTCACGAGGCATTTTCAATTCATAATTAGATGGTCGTGACATATCAACATATCTTCGAATACAATTATCATATTGAGATACTGTACAAACGTTTGTGGTGCCGATGAGGATTGAGAAATCTCTGTAAGCATAGGAATGTTAGAGTGGACAGGATGAGCTAATGAACAACCTGTACTTGTTAGAATCATATGGTAACAGCTCTGCTAACAATGGATGACATTGGCAGAAACGAGTAGCAACCTGAACGTTACCGTATGAGTAGATTCTTTATTTCGGAGACGAACCATTATGTTGCAGAGTAATAAATTAGTTTCATTCTTAGATGAGGCCCTACGATCAGCTGATTCAGCATCTCCAATAGCTTGTCCACATTCCAATCTTCTAGTCATCGCTCGTTTCTAAGATAATTCAAGAACTTGCAAAGAATGTTAGAGGACAAAGAATACTTCTTTTTGCATCCGTAAACGAGCTCCCCTCTTATCAAACAACCGAATTGGGTTTTGAAGCTCGGCTGCCATCTTAATGATATCCGAACCATTTTCCGCCAAGAATATGTCGATGCCAGGATGGGTCGGCATGAAAGTATTGGAATACCATGAGTTTCTTGATATCTTCAAGTTCAATGATTCAGATACCAATAGCATAGGTTGTCTATTATCACCTGGAACAGCATATGGAACTGTCTATGTACGGAAGATCCGTTTTGCCACATCTCTGCATCATGCCATACCCAGCACATACCATTTGTGGAAGGGAATCGATAAGTTACATATCGGCAACAATCATAGCTAGACAGTTCAACTCCCTATCCATTAGAATGAATATGAATAGAGAAAATGATTTCATTACCTGATAACTACAGGAACTAATGACACTTTGACATTGATATTCCATTCTATTGATAGTTTCATTCCTATTCGTGTTGCTTAAGTACTGTAGCAGAATGTTATTTCCTGATAATCGGATGTATAGTTAATGGATTAGTAACTGTGATCCGAAGTACCTTGTTCCATAAACGAATTTGCGGCTGGAAAGTAGTCAGCTTCTTCTCGTAATGAAGGATTTGTCCATTCTCTCAGATATCTCAATATAATTAGAATTAACTATATGATATATCTTCATTTGATACCGTATGCTTTGATCCTGACGAATGTTCGAGTTTATTGAATTGATTCCATCTTGAGAAAATGGCATCCGATTGCAAATGACAATAGCCGGAACATAAAGCTGATCAACATTGACTCTGAAGCAAAATGAATTATTTACTTCTGAAGAAAAGAAGTGAAGAAGTACGACCGCTCTCCATTTTCGAACGCGTGTGAATGAGCAAAGATTTGGCGATTTCAAAAAAAAATTTGAGAGAGAATGAGAGAAGAAGCGTAAAAACCATATTAAAATTAAAATATGCAAATTGGAGGTTTTTGAACAGTTGGTCATGGAATTGAAGAAGAAATGAAAACTTACAGCTTAACCTCTTCCTTATAGGAGTTGTCCGTGTAACGGAAGATGAAGTACAACGAATGCAAAACAAAGACGGCAAAACAGCAAACAAGAAGTAGCAGGATAACAAATCCATCACAGATTATCTTACATGACATGCCTAAAATGGCAGATAACGGGTCGAGCTGAGCTTCAAATGATATAATAGCATGCGAACTTCTATCTATTTTCAAAATGAATACGAGTTTTTAAGTTTTTTTTTATTTTTCTTCTTCCCAACAAGCTGAAGCTCAAGCTGGAACGACGAAAATAAAGTTTATCAGAAAGCGCCTAACAAATCCCAATGGAAAAACGATCACATAACCATATAAGTGAAAAGTTCATAATGATAATCATCATCGTCATCTTTATGACTAAATTTGATTTTGATGAGCAGTTGGCCATGGTTCAAGCTTGACAGCATGACAACTTGGTACACAAAAAGTTGAAACAATAACGAAAATATATGTGAAAATGAATAATTATATGTTACAAATATATATGAATATCTTTGGCAAATAGGAAAACCATAAGATGCAGATGGTTGTCTATGACCTGAGAATTGAAAGAGAGAGATAGAGAGAGAGAGATATAGAGGGAGAGAGAGAATGTGGGTGAGTCTGAAGGAAAGCTTATATGAACATGGAACATGCAAACAATCAACATCAAATTTGGTAAGATTAATTATTTTCTTCAATTATCTTAGAAAGTTTGGAAAAAAAAAGAAGATGAAAATCAATATGAATAGAGATGAAACTGATGAATTGAGAGTAATATCTTATATGCAAATAAAATGAAGAAAAGAAAATGAAAGGAATATAAAAAAAAGAATAACACACATGATAGGGGAGGGAGAGCTCTTGAGGATATGGAAAAGGCACAGTCAACTGAGCTGGTTGAGAATCGGCTTCAGTATCAACTATGAATGTCGAAAGGCAAATAAGGATAGTTAGTCTGTCTATTTTCTCTCTCTCTCTCTCTCTCTCTCTCTCTCATTCTTTCTCTTGATTTCTTAAATAGATGTGTTGGTAGTTTGTTGGACTAATTGTAGAGGAGGTGTTAGCTTTCTGAATCTGAACATTCAGGTATTTATGAAATACGAATAGATAATTAGACCTGTATGTTCATATATCCTTAACCTTCAATATTATTATTTATATTATTACATTATGTGATATACCTATGCGTTTGAACCTTATAGATGGCAACTAACGCTCAAAGCCTAAACCTCAAAAGCAACATATCCCATTTCAGCTTTCTAATTTGTAAAGTAAATATAAAACTAAAGGAATAAGTAATACCACAGGCTGATTTCTTATTACTATACTATCTTCTGCATAACTTATAAGGAGAGAAGAATGAGGACAAAAAAAATACTTCTATGAACTGTTAAAATCTGCTTCTTTGAAGCTAATCCTAAGCTGAGACAGCTGCCAGCTATAAACGATAGGATTTTCCATTTGCCATTCGCGTGCTTTTCAAAAAAAAAAAAAGAAAAAAAGACAAACGATCGCTGAGAGTTGAGATAAACAACAAGTAAAGAGAAACAGAAGAGGCTGGCAAGATTACTTCAACAATGCAAAAACAATATCACCAAGAATGACTTCAAGAGGGATGGGTGAATGCGGTGACCATGGTGACCAATGGCTCTTCCGCAATTGACCAGAACAATTACAATTGGCCGGCTGACCAGCTTGCAACACATTCAGGCGACACAACCTATGTTCAGAGTGTTAGTACCGAAATGTAGATGAAGCTGCTCAAATGACTAAACTGAGTGTCAGAAATCTAGAAAAGTGTCATGAAGTTGTAAAGAACACTCTGAAGCTTATTGGACATTGTCCAGCTTCTAGTAAATTTCAAGTACAAAGTGCTCAATTGAAATGACCGAAAGATTGCGGCATGCACAGAGAGTCGACCGGAAACTATTAAGTGCGCAGGCATGGGTTTACCACCCACTCTGAGGTGAAACGACAGACAAGCAGTTTTGAGACATTCCATGAAGCTGACTAGCTCCAAAAATCAAAATGTATTTTGTTCGTTCAACAGACAAACATTCTTAGAGCTGACGAACGGAAAGAGAACTGCGAAGTCTTCTGATTATTCAACAATGAAGTACAGGATATCAGGCGTAAAGCGGAAAAAAAACGAGTCACATTTTTTTTTAGAAAAAAAAAAGAATAAAGGAGAAACTAAGCATCGAACGAACAACACGCTTGTGGGAAGGGCATAGCGAGGAACTTTATGTTAAACTCACTCTTAGCCATTTCAGCTCATCTAATTTGGTCGACGTCCGAAAATGGAAAAACAGAACCAACTACCTGGAAATGGAAAGTTCAACTCTCGGAACACTCACCGGCACGCAGGAGTACTACTACTACTACTACTACCACTACAGCGCTACGAACCAAATGAAACTAAGATATTTGCTCAAATGAAAGGGACACTACGAGTAGCCAATTAAGAATTTTCTACTGCGGTAGCCAGTAGCGCTTATGAGATCGCATTGAATTACCATATAAGGAAAAGTAATGAAGTCCAGAAAGCTACAAGTAAAGCTTATAGCTTGTATGTTCCCATATTCGTATGAACGGATGGGAGAAGTATACTAGAAGCAAGAATGATGTTCATGCTACGTCACATTCAATTCGAAGAAATGAACTGAGAAACGGATGTCTCATATCTGTAATTTTTGAAGATAAAAAGCTTTTCCACCTGAGAATTATGACGAAAGTTGATAGTTGGAGATGAATAGATGTTATTAATGTCTTTAGTAATTATAATAATTGAAGAATGATTGCAGAACAGCATTAGAGGAATGATTATTGAATGCTTCGTTTTATAATTACTATGACTACACTTGCAAGCCCATCTATTCCATCTGCTTTTCAAACCTATCTACGGCTTCAAGAATGCCAGTTCAAATTAGAAGATTGATGAGAGATTACTCAGAAGCCATTATATTTGGATTTAAACACGACTGTACTTGGGTGTTTTCTCAGTTTTATAACACCTTGTTCACTTAAGATTCTGTTTTTCAAAACATTTCTCGAAACTTCGATAAATAGTTCTAAACACCGGAGTAAAGTTCAAACTCCGTCTTGTAGGAAGTATATACCTCATATGTCACCATTCATCAACGGGATTATTCTATCATAAGTTTTTCGAAACTTCATGAGAGTAAAAGACAGATCAACCAATACGGAATAAGCTTTTTGAAACATTGATACTGAAGTTGGAATCCAATTCAAGGTGGCTTGAGAGAATGACATCTCCCAAGCTGTTCGTTCTTCTATGTCACCAAATAGTGCTCTTCGGTCATTATATTCTAAATGGGAAAAATGAACTTTCAACCTATTTCCCAAGACTTGAAGTACAAAAATACTCTAAACTCTCACTTATACTTATCATTAAACCAAAAACCTATTTATTTCAAGAGCTATCAGGTCAGAAACCGTTGTTAACTCAAGCCAAGCAGGGGAACCGTTAAATGGAAATTCTATTGCGTACACGGAAGAGAATTTTATTTGTTTTTACAAAGCATAACAAACTTCGATTCCGTTCATGTTCTGAATAATGAAATATTCCTCTCTGTCACTCTACGAAAGGCAACGGATTCTAATGAAAAGTCACAGACGTTTACGGGATGCATGCTGTTTACAAAAGCGAAGCCGTTTTTCTGAAATGCTTATTCCATTTAAATATTTTAGTAAAAATGGCAATGAAGTATCAGATTCACTGAAATTGTTTGTGTCACTCACTCTTTAATTCCTTCCAAAACTTATAATGACCTGTTTTGTTTTGTTCTTCAAGAAAAGTTTCCGAAGAAAACGTTTTCAGAACTTCTCTGACAATGAACTCCACAGAAGATGAAGCGTTTGATGCCCCAATGGTTTGTATCGTTTTCCATATTGGGTTTCATCGTTCTCGAATAGGTTGGAACAAAAGCCGCCTTGACTACCATGCCATACCAAACTCAGGAATGTATCTTGTACGGATCTGTTAACCACGATTTCGTTGCCGTAAGTCTCGTATTACTCGCTTAGTACTGTATTGTCTTCTCAGGATCTCGAGAGAAGATTGGCCGGTCTCTGTGATCATGGAAGTACTGATTTCCACGAACATGAAATGAGTTTTAGCCTGAAGACAGGCATTAGCAATGATCCCGATGTATGTATTCGGTATGCACACTCAGTAGCTTTTTCATGACTCGTTCGCCTTTAGATTAAGAAGAAGATTCAACCTAGAAAACAATAGCTCCCATCAAAACTTGTGGCAATTCCGATATATAGGAGGTAATGAATAGTTCCACTTCTTCGCTTATCCCATTGTTGTACAGGTCCGGAACCAGATCAGAAATGCCCAGTTATCGTTCGTAAAGTGATTGACTCCATAACGTACTCCTATAACATGATGGAATTTGTTAAAACCATAGGTTTTTCGGTTTTTTCATCATTTTCCATATTTTCATCTTCCAAGGTTTACGAATGGACTATGAGTTCATAGCCAGAGGAACAGCATACACTTGCGGGAAGATAAAGATAATCGTTAGTGCGCTCCAGAAGTCTGAGAAGGCAAGCTTTATAAGGAAACATACAACTATATTTTGTATTTTTAGGCGGGAAATTACGACAATTTGAAACGTTTGTCCGACTCTTACCTTGTAGAAATGAGTATAAGCCTACCTGAAAGTTCTGAATATACTCAGGCTGCTAAACAGTTGAGAGATTTCGCCGATCAGCTATTGCCTCTTGTGCATATGCAGAAAGTAGACTACTTCAGAAAATAAACATTTGTAAATGTCTGTATACTGATCTCTTATATAAAGTGTATTATTTAATTCTACAATCGAATATAAAGACCGATGTCGGGAAATGCTTCATTCAATAAACTTTTTTCCTCATGCGTTCACCTTTTTAGGAAATGTCAGACCCATGTGAGATAAATATCGACGATGATGATGACGAGGTTCTACAAGAACCAGTAGCTGAATCCAATGAACAGTCGGAAGAGGCTAGTTCCAATGTGGCGAAAGAGGAAATGCCATCAACTACCGATGATATCAAATCCAGCATTAAAACTGAGGAGATCACTGGTAAACTTATCATAGCTACTTCTCATAGCTTTTGCTTTGATATTACAGACGGAAAAAGAAAAATCAAAGTTGCTGTGGTTGGATGTTCACATGGAGAGTTAGATGTCATCTACGGCACGCTAGAAGAAATCGAACGTCAAAATGGATTCAAGTTCGAGTTAGTTCTATGCTGTGGAGACTTCCAGGTGTGTCTTCAAATCTCTAACGCAAACATAGAAGCTTCAGTCTGTGCGGAATTACGGGGATTTACAACACATGCATGTTCCCGATAAGTTCAAAGCTCTCAATACATTCTACAAGTACTACTCTCTTGAAAAGGTGTCTCATTCACTCTTCTATTATTATTCATTTTTCGTATCAGACCGCTCCTATTTTGACTGTCTTTATCGGTGGCAATCATGAAGCCTCTGGCTATTTGAGCGAACTTCCGTATGGAGGCTGGGTTGCTCCAAATATTTATTACATGGGATTTGCTAGTGTCATAAAGTATTTCTTATTTAACCCTTTTTTCAAAAAAAATTATTTTTTAGTTTTGCTGGATTACGAATCGCTGGTCTATCTGGTATTTTCAAGGAGAAAGATTACCACAAAGGCCACTTCGAGAGGCCGCCCTATGATCGGTATTCTGATATTGTCTCCACTTATCACGTCAGAAACTTCGACATTTGGCGTTTGAAGCAAATGAAGCCTAAAGAGAATGACAAAAATAAAGTAACAGTTCTGATTTTAGTACTGAAAGTGAACTAATTCAGAACTCTGTTGATGTTATGCTCACTCATGACTGGCCTTGCGGTATTACCGATTTTGGCAATGTAAACAACTTACTCAGGTTCAAACCTCACTTCGCTGAGGATATCGAAGCGAATAAACTCGGAAACCCAGGAACTATGATGCTCCTTTATGTAGACAGAAACATATATTTTCCACAATAATGATCATTTTAGGACATAAAGCCTTGTTATTGGTTTGCCGGTCATTTACATGCGTATTTCCCTGCTTTAGTTCCACATGCTGCTAAAAACGAAGGAGAGCGTCCCGACCCAACGAGGTTTTTAGCTTTGGATAAGCCCATCCCCAGAAGACATTTTGTTCATGTGAGTAAGCAAGTTGTCGACAGTTTAAACTTTTTTTCTTAGACTGTTGAATTAGAAGTAGACGCAAATGCAACCACTGATCTGAAGTATGATTCTAACTGGATAGCCATATTGAAAAGTACAGACCACCTAACTTCTACTGATTACAAAGTAATCTTTCTTCAATTTTTTGCGGATAGCTTAGGTTTTCAGCAAACTTATTTGCCCTCGTCTCATAGTAATGAACGTTTCGATTTTCGACCGACCGATGAAGAGTTGAGCATTATGGAGACATACGGAGATCTAACGATTCCGAAAAACTTCCGTCCTACTGCTCCTCCTGTTTTTACAGAATCTTTATCCACATCGGATCAGTCACCATCTCTCTATTACAAGTAATCGAAAATACACGAATTTCGCATAATTCATATCTCCAGGAACCCACAAACGACGGAATTCTGTTCTCGTTTTAATATTACAGATATCAATCAGGTGCTTCTTGCTAAGACAAGCGAAGGAGTTGGAACCCCATTCCACGTCACAGATATGACGAGAGCTACAAAAGCTAGCACAGCTGAACTTCGACTGAACGAACAAGTAATAGATCACTGATTGTTTATAAAACGCATTTGTATCAGCTTTTCCAAGATACCGATTTCGTCATCGACACTCGTCCATCAGTTCTAGGGAACGATATACCGACAAACGGCAATGATTTTCTAGAGGGATTCACGGCACCCGCATGGAAAGGTAAAACGGAAGCACCAGAAGACAAAGACTCTGAGGCTAGTGAGGAAAAAGTTTTCAAACGAAGAAAGGTGGACCTCGATGAAAGCTAAACTTTTTGATTTTCATTACGTTGTTATACGATTTTCAATAAATATTCTTTTTAACGAAATTTTAAAGGAATTTTAAGTTATGCTAATGACGCAATGCGGAATAACTTACGTGCCCATGAATTACCTATCATTTTGAAAATGCATTTTCGCGGAACGGTTGCTATCGATTTATACAGTACATTTCTAAGCAAAGATCTTCATCCTACATTTCTCGGATTATTCTGTTTTCAATATAAGCTCGTATTGTTAGGGACAAGACACAGGACTTCGATTTCTGTCCAAATTCCTGGATGCGTTCAAAATTGAGCTACAGTAATTTTGTTCAAACGTCTGCGTATCTCTTACATATGTGTGCGCGTTAAACACAGCACTCTGTTAACGTTGCCCTGCGTTTTTCAATTTCAACCTTTTTAAATATGTCAAGCGAGTATGGAAAGTCGTACTAGACTTGTTTTTTTTTTTATTTTCTTTATATATTTTACCTGTAGGTTTTTTATAGTATGTGTTTTTAAAAATAACTGCGCCACCGCTGCGTATATACTGGCCGATATTCCACGCCTCTACTCTGAGTCCTGCTAAAGTTCTTCTCTAGTGTGTTTCATTTCGATCATGAAAAGTGTTTTGCTTACTACTCAACGATTGTTCAAATTCCTTATTACTGTTGCTTACATTTGATCGTTTCTCAGTTTTTTTTAAAATTAAGATTAATGTTTCAGCCATGAGCAGTTCCGAAGAAGTAAGTTGGATTACTTGGTTCTGTGGCCTTCGAGGAAACGAATTTTTTTGTGAGGTAGTTTCGGAAAATCTTTATCATGTACTATTTTGAATTATTTAAGGTCGACGAAGAATATATCCAAGATCGTTTCAACTTGACTGGCTTAAATGAACAGGTCCCCAAGTATCGACAAGCCCTGGACATGATCCTAGATTTAGAGCCAGGTTTCTCAATTACTCATTTAGTAGAGTCACAACTAACCTACAGAAGATGATATAGATGAGAACCAAACCAACACGGATCTTGTTGAACAAGCTGCGGAAATGCTTTATGGCCTTATTCATGCTCGCTACATTCTAACAAACAGAGGAATCTCTCAGGTTTAGATCGTACAGAAAAAGTTTTTCATTTCGCATTCAGATGGTAGAAAAGTGGAGAGACCATGATTTTGGAGTATGCCCTCGTGTTTATTGTGAAAATCAGCCTATGCTTCCAATAGGTATACTCTTAAACCAAAAAACTTGAACTAATTGTTCTTAGGATTATCTGATGTACCCGGTGAAGCTATGGTTAAGCTATATTGTCCACGTTGTTGCGATGTGTGAGTTTAAAATAGTCCAGAAACATTTTGAATGAACTTCGCTCTAGATATGTTCCACGTTCGTCACGTCACCAACATACTGATGGAAGTTATTTTGGTACCGGATTTCCTCATATGTTGTTCTTTGTTCACCCAGAGTATCGTCCATGCCAATGTGCTACTCAATTTGTTCCTAGGTATTGACTCCGCATACTATTCTTTCTAATCACACTTGTTCCAGGCTGTACGGATTTAAAATTCATTCTTCTGCCTACACCCTTCAACAAAGACCAACCCTTCCTCAGGTGGATGGATGAAGAAACCCCCTTTGATAACTGTTTTTTTTAGTGAAAATAAATTCTATTCCAACTGATAATGGTTAAAGTGAAATTGATGGTCTTCAATTGTCTCCTCACAATTCCAAGTTCAGCAGCAACAACAGCAGCAACATCACCAACAACAGTTTTCATACGGTCTTTAAGTCTATATTTTAACATTTGTTTCTTGTTATATACTATTCGCCTTTTTTTCCTTCACCCTGGATTTTGCTCTAAATATTACAATCATTGAAAACCGTTTGACATTGTACCTTGGTTTTTAAATAAACGTTCTTAACCAGTATGAGTATTTCGTCAGCTCAATTTTTCAATTGGGCTATCACGCGCCCAAGAATCAGTTGATTATAATCATCATACCGTATCTTGTTATGATTTATATACCTACAGGATATATGGCGAAATTGCTTTACTTCACTGTTTCTTGTTTCGTAAGCGCACTCTGTTTACGCGCGTAAAAACAGTGCAGCATATGCCTTTACCAATCACATGCTTACTTTGCCATCATGAGACACGCTATTGATGAATTGTGCACAATATTTATCTTTTAATTCCTTTTTTGATATTATATCTTGTAGATAGACCTAGTTATGACAGCTGCAAGCAAAGAATCTCCTCTCGAATTCGAGGTAAGCATTAGATTTGCTCAAAATAGTTTTGTACTTCTTGCATGTATCAATTTTGTTCAGGTTATCCCAGAGGTCGGATTGAGCAATACGAATATAGAATTCACCTTAGGAATGCCAATCAACCAGGTGATAATTAGCCTAAAAGTTATCCAACAAGCTCTTTTTTAGGTGATAAGCATGCTTCTGAAAACAAGAAAGATTCAAGATATTAAGTTTTATTACTCCAGAAAGGTTAGCGTTTTAAGATTTACAAACTTTTGATAACCTGAGCTTGTTACAGGAGCCTTTCTCTAAAGAAATATGCCTGATCTTAGACTCAAACGGAATTAATCTTTACTTTGACCCTTTATCACAGTTTTTACGCGTAAGTGTCTTCATAATAACTCATTCCCGTTGTTCTCTTTGCAGTCCATTGTTGTGAACGATTTTAGCAAAATTATACTAACCTACAAGTGAGTTCTGTTTTTTTCATCTCAATAATCTTGTTTTGCTTAGACAAAAGCCATTCTCCCAGCCAAATGCTGAAGTTACCTTAGATAAATTAGATCAATGCTTTGGCTCCACTGTGCCTGGAGGTCAGTTTGAAAAATTTTCGTACATATTTGTTGTTTGTTTGATCAAAACTGAAGATTTTTTTAAGTCTATGACCAACAACGAAAGCAGTATATGCAGTTCTGGCCTGGCCTTTCATTTGTCTTTCCTAATAATGTGGGGATGCATGTTGCCGTAAGTTTTTTGAGCTTTTGTAGTCCTCATCGCTTCTTTCAGCCCGGTTTCGGTTCCCAGCTCTCTTCACTTCAATACGCTGCACAACCAAAACTTGTCAGTATGTCAATATTCAAAGGTAGCTCCCCCAACGATATAGAGTACGTGTTTTTTTGAAGCTATCTTCGTGTAAAAAAACATAGGGCTTAAACTATTTTTTACAGAAATGTTGAAATGCCACTCTCCTCTTATTGTGGTCAAAACAAACTAGATAGCATTGAATGCGATTTAAACAAATTGGAAGATGGTTTCTTGATCAAGTATACTACACAAGGTGAGTTACATTCTCTTGCTTTCTGTCCTGCGTATAGAAATTAGCATAGTTCACGCCACGTTAAGCGTAGTTCAAAATTTCATTTTTGCTTTCGCGTTTCTGTGAGTTGGTTGAAAAGAGATTGGAATATTTTATTCTCTGAAGATGGTCGAAAAAAACATTTTTTTCAGAAATACATAGCTTGGGACAATCCGGATGCTCTTTAGTTCCATTGTCGAAAACTATTAATTTTGGAGATACCGTGGCTGTAAGATAAGATAATAGAGCAAAAAACCTTTTGGAATTTTAGACGGTTTTATCATCATTAGGAGCTCCATCTAAAGTGTTTTATAAAAGCGAAGATAAAATGTCGATACATCGACTTGAAGGGAACAAGGAAACATGCAAAGGACATCTACCTCACTTCTACTTCAACTACTTCTCGATGGGAATGGTGCGTTTTCTTTTAGCCATTTCTAAAGGTTTAATGGTGGACTTCATATCTGTTTATTACGGACTTAATTATTGCTTGAGCGTAAATAGGCGTCATAATCTCTCGTCGTACAGACGTTTTTGTTTTTATTAGGTATAATTAAGCACACAAGGCCGATTAGGTCGCCTTTTTATACAGGGTGCTAAGAATATAGTTTTTTCTGGAGATCGAGTGCTATTCATTCACCGTTTTTAATTAGAAAAGGTGCCAGCTGTTTTGCGCAATTGAGTGTTCCCCACCCCGGATCCTTGGGAGAAGTTCTTTTCAAACATAAAGCAGAAGCTAGTAGTTGTTTGTTGTTGGGCTTGAAAGAACAAAAAACCCAGCTAACCTTCAATTAACAATGCACGTTTGAGTTGAACTGACGACTATTTTGTCTTCATATATGGATGCTTCCATAACTAAGATTTTGCCGATTGAATAGAAGTCTTGAAAAAGCGAATAACGTAAAAAAGTTGGCGAAAACTTCTGTAACAGAATATACTCTTTATTCTCATGACGCTATGTACACATAATTTGAAATAAACAAAACTCTAGTAGAGCATTAGGAATGTTTTAAATACCGAAGTAAGAAATATCACATAGTTTGGCAGGCGGTGGTGGTAAAGGCGGGTCAGTTGGTAAACTTATCATGCAACTGCTAGGAGAACTAGAAGTGAGATGATCCGTCGTTAAAGGTGTTTGGGAGTACTCCCTTGTTACATAACTACCCTTGTACTGTCTTTCGCGAAGATAATAAAGACAGAACAGGAGGACAGTTAAAGTTATAGCCGTTATGAAGATACCCGCCAATAAAATTATAAGTTCGCTGCTTTGTGCTAAATCATAGCTGGCTCCCAGTATTATAGCACAGTCATTAATCTGAAACATTAAAATGTCATGAATCCCCTAGAGATAACTTGAGGGTTAAAGAGGCTTCTAATGTTTGTATATAGGCTATTAATAAGTTAAAAGAGCGTAAAAAATGCGAACTCACTCCTTCAACTTGAAGAACAGCTTGACCCCTAACCAGCTTGGGTTGCATGCATTGAACTTGTTGGTAATGTAACACATGCCGCAGGTAGAAACGGTTCTTCATATGGCTTTGTATTCGCTTGATTGAGCATGTGCAATCCCATGGGTTACCATGTAGATATACCTGCATAAGTAACTATAATTATATTTATTAATAAGTTTCTTGCCTTCTCCTGCTCATCTATGTAGTCTATGATTTCCTGGTGTAGTGTGGTGAACTGGTTATGACTAATGTCTAATTCCTGTAATGAATAAATTAAAAACCTCATAAAGTTGATCAAAATACTTTCAAGTTGGGTAGTTCTTGTATGATCGAGAAAGGAAGTTGTGTGAGTGAGTTGCCCGATATATTCAAAGAAGCGATTTGCCTGAATATTGGCGGATATTTAGTAGGAATACTGAGTAATCCGTTATATGCCAGATGCAGTTTTTTGAGGGACATTAAACTTGCTGTTGTGTGGTATTCAAACCCTGTAATTTCGATATAGTTTCAATCTGCTGAACTAGCTTTACCTTCAACATAGTTCCCGGAAATGTCCAACTCTTCCAACAATTCTTCAGCATGACCAAGCCAGGTCGAGTTGAATACATTGAGATGATTGAAACTGATATCCAAATAAATCAGATTGCATTTCGTGAAAGCTTCTGGGCTGAATGGACGCTTTACTGTTCCGAGTAGATTGTGTGACAAAGTTAAATGACTTATGTTGTTTCCACAGAACGAGCATTGCCCAACCTGTCAAAGAGGTCAAGCATTAGTTATTCATTCAATTCTTAAGGAAGTCTTGGTTGATACCTCATGAATCTCATTTCCGCCTAAGTTTAATGTTGTGAGACGTGGGAGTGAATTGATTTGTTCTGATGGCATTTCCTTCAAACCGTTGCCAAATAAGCCAAGTTGTTCTAGTCCCGATAATCTGAACAATGCCAGATCGCTTATTTGACGTCGTAAATTGCAGTTATTTATTTGAAGTTCTCGTAAATTTGGAACGTCTCCGAAAAGTTGATTCATCTGCAACAATCTTGATATAAAAGGTGAAAAGAACGAGAGATTGAGATTTATGAGTCAGAAAGGAATAATGAATGCGTTCTTGGGAATGGTGAATGACTCAAATCAATGTAGGTAATAAGGAAAAAGAAAAATGAACCATACCTGCTGAACAGAAATGTGGTTTCCATCTAAGCGTAGAGCTTTAAGATTTCGCAAGCCTCGTAATAAATTAGATGACAATTCCGTGATGTTATTATATGCTAATGAAAGCGAAGTGAGCATTGGTAGGTGCGTGAATACGCCTGTAGGCAGAATGCTTAGTTGATTATTGCTCAGATCCAAATGTCTAAGCTTCGGCAAACCGCCAAAATTGCTGATAGTAGCGTGTTCTATCTTATTGAAGCTTAAGTCTAACACTTCTAAGTTGGGCAAACTCATTGTTCTGCTCATTGCTGGCAACTGACAATTGTTAAGCTTAAGTTGTTTGAGATTCTTGAGCTTATTAAAGTTATCGTTCCAGCGGAATACATTAGGCTGCCGTCCTGCGGGTGATTGAATAGATAGGGTCCTTATTTGATTAGTTGGAAGTCGTGAAAGAATATATGACAGTTTCACATCATTAATTCCACCGTTATGACAATATATTGAGTAGAACGGTGAAAGGCCATTTGTGCTTGATGTGTTAATATTTGAACTTGGTAGTTGATCACACTCGCATTCGAATGGACATTGTATTCCGGATATGCTGTTGGGCAGAGCATAGATAGTACAGAGAAAAGAGAGTAAAGATAATAGGGCGTATGCAAATTTTAGCATCTGGGTAACTGAGATCAGGAATGTTGCACGTAAGCTAGATAATGTTAAAAATAAATAGTCAAAAGTTAGTCAGGCTAGCTGACAAGCCAAATTTTGAAGGACACAATGCGTGAATCAAACGAGGGTTAAGACTGCTGCTTTGAGCTAGGGTTAGTCCAAACAGCTGGGGGCGGAGCTTGTCAAAACACAGCCTGAGAGAACGGACAAAGCGAGCCAAGGCATTGTTGAGATGAGTAAGCATTACCAAGAAGCGAGCTAAAGCTGTGTAGGCAGGAGCATCATGATCTTGTTTTGTTTGAGCTTGTGGTAATGATGCTGTATGTAAGCAAATATTCTTAATAGAAATATCCGGGCCAGTCACCTAAGACGTAATGGACTATAAACCAGATGTTATTAAGTCATGAAAATCCGACTGGCTTCCCTCGAAGGAATGATCCGGCCGTTAAATTCAAAACTGTTCTAAAACCTCTTTATATATTTAAAGAGCGATTTGGACTGAACCCTAGAATAAACGTCTTAGAGTGTCATTTGTCTTTTGTAGGTTCAGGACAAGCCTATTTTTTTTTCAAACCGATCAAGCATTCTATTGTTCAGTGTGACAGGCATATTGCTTCTGCAGTTAGCCTGACCTTCTTCTACATTATGCTTTCTCAATATGAAGATAATGAGTTGAACAGGCCCACAGGATCGTATATTATCCTCGCGCGTCCAAGGCGACATGTGCGACAGGCGTTTTTATCCTAACGTTTGTTGCTCTGACCTATTATATGTTTTTTTAAATCATCAGTCGAACACATACAGGACTCTAACTGAAGTATAATAAAGCCGACTTCAACTTATAGCTTATCGTTTACTCATATCTGGACCGCTAGTTGCGCTTACTATTAATCTATATGACCCCAGAGACTGACGCTAATCCTGTGGCATTGCGCGGATTCATGGTAGTTTGTTGGATTGCCTTGATCTGAATATGTTATTCATCAACAGAATTTACCGCGTAACTCTGAGACTTCATTGTTCTGCAAGCAGCTGAGTCTGGTAGCTAGGTTATGGTATATTTTCTAATTAACATAGGATTAGGAGATTACTTATAAATACGACATATCAACAGCTTTAGCAGAGAGAAAGGCCGCCTTAGAAACATGATGTGTTATTATAAATGAGCCGTCTGCCAAGCTCAGGTCCTTGCAAATGTGTTGCCAAGCTCGCATGAGCTGCCTGCAAGAGGAGTTGAGGAAGAAGGATTGAGACTGTTCTCTCTGTTGCATAAGTAGTTATTCGAATGAGATGCGAAATTCATCCATCAAACTGAACATTCTCATTCGAAGTCATCCTGTTCGAGACCATTATTCTAACGAGTATAAACGATACTTGTGAGAGAGCATGCAGATGTTGATGTTAGAACGCCCAGATATGCTTAAATTTCCAAATTCTGCTCAGTTCTCTATCGGTTACTCAATCATGAAGTCATATTCTATCGCAAAGTTCTATGATTATAAATAGCCTTATAAAGAGATATGGTGCTAAATAGAGGCGCGAGTGACGGTTGTATTTCTTTCTGTGGTCACATCACCAGGTCATATTGTCACAAATGACAATTGGGTTGTTAATGAGCGAGATTTCGATTGGCCATAGTCATCTATCACAGACTCTTAAAGTCGACAGATGATGCGTCGAAAGCAGATAGCCGACGGCATCACTGGACATCTTCGCCTTCTTAATATCTTTTGTTTTATGCTTTTGCCGGAAATCTTAAGTTAGGCCGCAAGAATTGAACGGGAACTTGAAGAAACATAAATGTTTGGACCGTGTGTTTCTTCCGGGACTGCTTTATGCCCTATTTGGCTCTCTTCAAAATCTCTGCTCATTATCATCTCCATCGCCGTGCATGCATGCATCATCTCATCTTCCTTACAAGGCAAACATGATCATGTCTCATTTGCTCGGTTCATTAGCACGTGTTTCCGTCATTAAGGATCAGCTCAGAACAAACACTTGAAAGAGATCCGTCTAATTAATGATGATTTGGAGCTGTTGCTCCTAGATTTAGATCGTGAGGATCAGGCTCGTAAAATTTGAGGCAAATTTTTCAGCTGGTGCATGAGGTACTCATCTCAATTATAAAACAACATGATGACATAGGGATCTCTTGATCTGCCAATGACTAGTAGCTAGATCACTCTGAAATCCACTTGACATTGATTCGAACACCTGTCCGTGTATGGAAAACGCAGAGCTCACGCACAATCTGGTCAATACTCTAATGTAATATAAGCAAACGTAATCATATTTGTCCCAATCGACTAACAAGCAAGCAGAAGAAGATGTTTAGCAGGAGGTATATATCATGAAATAACGAATAGACGAAACTCTAAATCGCCAAGCTTTGCAAGGCTAACACAGTTAGGGGGGCATCATTACATTTTAATAAGAAATAACTGACCAAACTGAAAGTGTTAGCTGTGCGCTCATATTGGATGAGTTTGAATAATTAATTTGTCAACAGTCGTTATTTCTCACATAACACATCTAAATTTCAATATTCTAATTGGTTCATAATGAGTTTATTGAATTATTACTTTTTAGGATGTCTTGTTCAATATTCGAACTAAGCGGGTCATGAAGGTTGTCCTACACACGAATTTGCCGGGCCACTACGATTTTGGAATGTAAGCAGTTCTTTCATTAACGCACTCTTGAACACTCGAGCTGCTTTCTAAGTGTAGCGTTTCATTGAAATGCCTTTCATGAGTGGAAATTCTCATTATCAAATTGTTTTAGGTATTCTCGCAGTTTCTTCAAGATCACGGCCGGCGATGATGTGAAAGAAGTAACTAATCAATCCAAGGTTTTTTCCACTCACTCAGACCTCGATTCAATTCTTTTCAGTTTTCGGATATAAGTTCATTGTTCAACGATGACACTTGCTCCAAGCCGATTGCTCCTGTTGTTCTACGAACCAGAGATGAACTCGATCCATTCACCCCTACGTATCTGTATGGAACATCAAACATGATCATAGAGGTTTATTTCTTACCAGCTTATTAAAAATGATTTGTTTCGAAACTTTAGGTAATGGACAACGAATATATAGCATCTGTCACCTTCTATGACCCTAATTGTACAGAATAATTCGAGGAAGTTTAAGTGAAAATAATGTAAATAAAAATGCTACGGCAAAAAGTAACCTGTATGTAGTGAAGCCTGAAGCTGGACTTTGTTAGTAAATGTAAACTCGTAATGTGACATAACTAAAATAAAGTTAACAAACACAACAATAAGATTAGCTTTTCATGAAAAAATCTCAAAACAAGGAAAAGAGGAACAGTGTAGCTATCGCTCTGAAATTTCACGTTCTATGAGCGCTGCAAGATCATCATCTTCGTCTTCTTCATCGTCTCCGCTTCCGTCGTCGTCACCATCATCTAGGCTTATATCTGAATGATCTTCTTCATCGTCATTGTCTTCTTCCGCCGTATGAGCATCCATTGCGTCATATTTCACTTCATGAGAAGCAGCTCGTTCAGGAATGCTATCAGACTCTTCCATTCCCTCCTCTCCCTCTTCGTCTTCCATTTGTTCATCACTGGGGCTAGAAGAGCTGCTAGAACTAGATGATCCAGATGAATCAGAGCTACTATCACTTTCATCAGATAACGCCTCGTCAACCTGTTTTGGTAACATGAATAATCAGAATAACAAGAAAAGTGAAATCGGACCTCATTGGCCATGTCCATCATGACTTCCTTCCTCATGGGCTCAATAGTTGCCAGTTCCGGAACGACAAGCTGATTAGATTGTGGTTTGTCTGATGTGTCAGCGGTTAACTCAAACTCGCTTTCATCAGCCTGAAGTTGTTGAGAAAATATAATTATGATAATATCTACCTTGATCCAATTCTCTACACATTTCTGGAGCCATCGTGGTTTTACCACAGGAATCCCTCTTCTTTGTGCTTGATGAACTTTACTAAAGCAAAATGAATTATAAATACGAACATCAAAGCTAGTAATTACTCGGTTCCCCATCGAGCAGCAATCACATGGGTAGTCTGATCGGTAACAACTTTTTCCACCTGCATTCGAATAAATTCAGAGCTGTCGACCAGTAGAATCGATTACCTTCGCTCCGAAACGATTACAAAGTCGGTAAATATCAGAACGCTCCAACTCCAAGCCCAAAGGTACAACACCTGACAGGACAATAACAAGGTGCCGAAGTACTTGTTGTCTCAACCATTCAATAATAACCTAGAAGACGATAATTCAAAACACCCAAAAAACACGAACGCACTTTAACATCTTTGATTTCACCTGTTTTATCATAATGGGAGTAAAAACATGAATGAACTTCAGTAAGAATTTGCTCGATCTTCTCGAGTATATTGTCGTTTTCAGCATTAGAACCTGCATTAACTGAGTTGGCATTCAACATCGGAAACTCTTACTATCTTCGGCGAATCGTTGTTCCTCATTACTACCAGTCGGAGAATTGATGTCTCCTACTTCTGTGAAGAAACGATACGGTTTCACCTGAAGTTATTTTCCATTCTTCCGTCTGATAATAACGACAGATAAAACCTGTACTAAGGCTTCGGAATACTGCCACACATCAGATCTGTCATCAATAATGGCAATCATTTGGTCTCCGTTGGGAAAAAGGGCTTTCAAATTTCTTGTTTTGTGGCAGGAAGAAAGTAGTTCCTCTCGAGAGAGCACCCGTTCACGGAAAAAAACTCCCTCTGGATCCAACAGCTGAAGAAATGCGAATATGTTGTGTCGAAAAAAATTGCAGCACCTTAGCGATCATATGGGCATATTGACGTTGTCCATATGTCACGATATGCATTTCATAGAGTTTGCTCATGTTTCGAAGGAATTCCCTGGTGTAAGGTCTTAATTTCGTATGATATTCTCCTCTATAGATGTTGTAACGAAATGTATCAGCCTGCAGTATTTTGAACGACGTTGAGATGGGTCACAGTTCACTTACAGTCACTTGACTCGGGGCTACTGGTCCATTAGTTGTATGAATAATAGTCTGATCTAAATCAACAAGAAGGACAAGTTTTCGAGTTGACAGAAGATTTTGTTGATCTTGACTGCCAAGTTCTTTGGCCAACTGGAAGAAAAAGATTTCATATGGATCAGAATAGCAACAAACCTTGCTAGAAACAATGAGCTCGGGAACATGGTGAATCATAGAAACGTTAGCCTCGGAAGATTCTATTCTTTGGCCAGCTCGTCCATCCTTCCTATATATCAAAAAACGTTTACAAAGAAGATGAGAATATCATTACTCTCTCAAATCTTTTCCACAAGTGGCACACAGGTCTTTTATAACAATAGCGTGTGAGCAATCAACAACTTTTGCTATCAAATCTTCCTATTAAAAAAATAATTCACTAATGGGATTAAGAGGGTGAGAAACCTTGGACAACTTTGAATTCTTTTTAACTGAGAACTCGAACTCAACGACGCCTTCACGGTCCACTTTCACTTTATGAACTTCATCTGAATCATCTTCTTTGTATTCCAAAATAATCTGAACGACAGAAATAAGAATCCCCGGTAACTCTCTCTACTCACAGTGTCCTTCTGAACATAACTACCGTTGGCAGTTTTTCTGTTCAAAACGACCCCACTTTTTTCTGAAGTATAACGAATTTCCATTTATTCTAAACTTTAAATTAAGAAAGACACTCTCTCATATCAAATAAAAACGGTGCAGAACCACAAGGAGTCATAAACTCAGAGGAAAATAGAGATTTATTGATATAAAACAAAACAAGAACAACCAGTATGAATAGTTAAATATTAAGAGTTATCTTTTTCCGCAATAGCATCTCCGCTGGAGGTGGTGAAAAAGTTTCTCGAATCCTTTTTTCATTAATTACAACCTAGAAAATGAAGAGGAATGTTATCGATCACACTTCTGTATTAAACTCACTTTGCCCCGTTTACGTTCAGAGGTATGAATATTTTCAGTATCCCGTTCATCATGTTTTTTGTGCTTCTCATCCCGATCACTTTTACGGTCATCCCGCCTGTCTTCTCGGCGATCTCTATCGTCTCTGCGGTCACGGTCTTCCCGACGGTCTCGTTCTTCCCGACGATCACGATCCTCACGACGTTCACGGTCATCCCGTCTTTCTCGGTCTTCTCGACGATCTCTATCGTCTCGTCGGTCTCGATCATCTCTCTTTTTCTCGTCCTTTTTGTCCTTATGATCTCGCTTCTCTTTATCGTCTTTCCGCTCCCTCTCTTCCTTGTGCTCTTTCTTCGAAGTTTTATCGTCAGTCGAAGCAGCTTTCGGCTTCTCATTCTTAGGTTCGGAAGCTTGGTCGTTTTCTTCCTCTTTCAATTTTTCTTTTTTCTCTTTCTTCAGACGTTTTCTCTCCTGCAACAAATTCAGATTAAGATTATTCACTCCAGAAAAAACCTTTCGCTCTTCATCTGTCTCCTCTTCGTGCTTCTTCTTGTGACTTTTCTTCTTCTTGTGCTTCTTCTTATCTTTATCCCGTTCACGAGATTGAGAGCGATTCTTTCTGAATAACTTTTTGTCTAGGAAAAAAGAGTAGAAAACCAACCTATGCTTATGTTTCTTGTTCTTCTTGTGTTTCTTTCCATCCTTATCATCAGCACCGTCATCATCTTCCTTAGGATGTTCAACCGAACTACCTGGCTCACTTTCCTCTTTCGAAGAAGAAGCTCTTATAATGGATTCGTCCTCGCTTTTAGCATGTTCTTTGTCAGAAGCATCATCCATAGCTCGTTCGGAGTCAGCTTTTGTGTCAGACATCTCAACATCACCAGCATTATCTTCATTCTGAATTGAAAAGAAAATAAATTTAAACAATAGAGACAGCAGATACCTGATCCATGTCTACGTCCTTATGGTCTTGCTCATTCTGAGAATCAACGTCGTCTTTCACTTTAGCTAGCTCTTCAGCATCTTTCAGTACATTGTCGATATCGGCCTCATCATACTCATTATCGCCTTCATCAACAACATTGGTTTTCTTTCCTTTACTGTGCTTATCCGAATCGGAACGCTCCGTCTTCTTTTTCTTATAATCACGTCTTCCATCACTACTATCTCTCTCTCGTGACTGAAGGATATATGTAATATAAATAACTCCTTATAAACACTTACATATCTACGATAGGAGCTTGTATGAGAACCTCTAACTCTGTCCCGTGATTCTCTAAAAAAAATTTAATATTAAAACTTTCACACTCGAGTCATACCTGTCATCATAACGAGTGGATTTCCACCTATCATCTTTTTTGCGATCTCTATCTCTATCACGGTCTCTATCACGGTCCCTATCCCTGTCTCTGTCACGATCCCTGACACTTCTGCTATAACGCTTATCATCTCTGCTCGACTTATCACGTCGTCTTCGACGATCTGGAGAAGAATCGGAAGAACGTGATCTGCTTCTAAAGATAGGAAATAGCATTAAGAGAAAGGTTAGATGTACCTTTTTCTATTCCTGGTTCTATCCTTATCTCTTCCATCATTTCGAGCCAAGAATGCTTCCCATGACTCCAAAAATTGAGAACCTGAGTTAACGCTATGCAACATATGAGGAACGTTGGTGGGAGGAGGACGAGAAAACCTCAAAAAGAAATATTATATGAACAAATTATTGTGCTAAATTACATGGGATTCATCATGTTCTGCTGTACTGGCATTCCTATTCCCGGTATAGGTGGCAAGACGGACACGACAGGCATAGGATTACTTACTCCGGGAGGGCAAAGGGTATCTGCAGTAACCACAGGAATAACAGGAGGAGGCTGATTGAACATCTGGAAAATTTAACGTATACATGACTGTAATATAAGCTCACCGGCATAACAGGAGCAGCTACATGTTGAGGAACAATCATATCAGCAGGAGCAGACACGGTCACCGGGGGTACTGTTCGCATATCGGTAATCACAGTGCTTGGAACAACGGTAGTCACAGGTATAGTAGGCATAATCACGGGAGGTGGAACAGAAGGCAAACCAATTCTGCACGTCAATGAAAATATATAAATAGTCGATTTTGAACCAACCTTATGCGAAGTGGATCATTTGTTTCTGTTTGAGCAGGAGCAACAAGAACAGTGGAAGCGGATGTAACCACAGGAGTTATGGCTGTTGGAGCAATCACAGTTTGGCTAACAACGGTAGTCATAGAAGGAACATTAGCTACAGAAGAAGGTGTGCTAGAGGGTGGTGGAGTTGCCGCTGCGGAGGAAGTTGGTGTATTATTCAACCAATTCTGTACCGCTTGTCTTACAGTGACATTAGGAACAATAGAATCCACAGAGAGCTAAAGATAAAATGATTTGAGTTCTGAATGCTAAAATACCTGTTTTTGAGTACAAGTGGGTCCAGGACAAGCTCTCTCACCCGTTTCAGAGAAGTTATCAAAACTTTGTTGTATACAATAACTACAGAAGGAATAACCACAGCATGTAGCTAAGACCGCGTCCTATAACAGAAAGTTTTCATGTATTATTATATTAGAAACGATTACCTTCAAAATATTATTACAGATAGGGCATTTCAGCTCAGAAGGCACGTCTCGTTCTTTCTGCTCTTTCAGCTCAATTTCTTTCTGAAAGCATTGTTTTGCTTAGAATACAGTTTTCACACACTTTTTTCATCTGGCGCGCTCTCCAATGCATTATTGGGATAACACGTTTTCCAGAGGGATGTATCATGGCTAATGGATCATCGTCTGTGGTCTCCATCAACTCCTGCGACGGTATTCCTGTCGTGCGCTTAGTATTTAACTGAAAATAATAATCAGTTCGAACTTACCTTCACGCTAGCAAAAATTGAAATAAAACTCCCTCACCGTTAAATTAATTTTTTTAATTAAGCAAAAAGACAAAAGTGAGATAGGGCTTAATTTATCTATACATACCAACAATGCCACCAGGGCAAAAAATATCACAGCTTAAGTATACCCGAAACGTACCCATAATAAGAAAGATAACAATATAACAAAATAGATCTACAATTCAAATAACAAAAATTACCATAGGACAATTCTTGAACCAGTGGCCAGGTTGATAGCAACGATTACACGTATAAGTTGGAGGAGGTGCTCCAGCTAATATTCTAGTAGCATTTTTCTGATAACTAAAAACAGGCAGGATCAGCTTTGTTAACGTTAATGGCACCGACTTAGAAGGACCGAATTTTTCACTTGTTTGACTTTTGATATGAGCTAGCCTGTCATCTTCTGAGAGTTTTTCAAAATCATCCTGGAATAAAAATAATTTGAGTATTGAAAGGAGCAGGAATATTAACTGTATTAATGTGATTGACTCCAGCGCCAAGATCGCTGCGTTCTTGTTTTGTAACCATTCCCATATTAACACCCCTAAAGATTCCCCTTACTCTATTACTAATTAGAAAGACATACTGGACTTTAGGAAGTTTCTCTGCATCTTCACGTGGCACTCTCTGAACTATTATAGAGGAATTCCGGGGTATCAAATCCTCGTCTGCATACTTCCTTTTCGTGTGGGCATTCTGAGAAGAGAATTAACTATGAAAATCATATGAATTGTTCAGATATGCTACCTCTAATACTAAGTCAAAAGCTTCTGCTTTAATGTTTTCTTTTGAACATATTTGGCGTTTGAGTTCATCTGCTCTAATGTGTAAATCATCAAAATTTATAGTTTTATACTCCAAGGTAGCCCGAAACTTATAATGAACAGATGACATTCTGTAGAAAAAAATTTTATATAAATGTTTGCAAGAACAATGTTACAATATTCAAACTAAGATACAAAAACAATAACAACAAGCTTTAAGTTCAAAGAAAGCATGAAACTGTCACGATTCAAAAAATTTTTCGAAAATGACGTCATTTGTTTGCGCGCGAGTTTAAAATAAGGAGATTTTCCACATGGGACCCATTTCTTGTAGACCTTCACACAAACCATCCTTGGTATAATTGTGTTATTGCAATTTTATCATTGTATTTGAATGGAATTAAGAACTCATGGGTGACATTACATTGATAATAGTTGTCTTCGGGGCAAATTGAATTTGTGGTTGAATTAATACTATAGATAACAGTAATATGCAACATAATTAACTTGTTGTTCTACGAAGAGATGAACTTAAGATCCTTTTTATCCCTAGTGCTATGCATATGTCACACATCTTATTAAACACGGGTTATAATGATGAAGGAATGGTTTGTTTGGCAACTGAATCAGAAGACATATGTCTTGACGTTGTAATACGTTTGAATTGGCACTAAGACCTTTGGCAATTGCCTACAACTACCATATTAAAATTGAAGCGCCTTCCTACCTCTGTGAAAAAATTATGCAGTAACAGAGTTTAAATGCTCCAGCGTTTTGATCAAAACAATCGTCATTTAGTCGAGGAACTTAACAAGTTTACTCTCATCAGGTTATATTCAACTATCCTGTGAGAGTGACAGGACAATGCTTAGGTCGTTGTGGCTGGCTTGTCGTCATCATCACCACACAAGAATTTTCCTCTCTACGTTTCCGCAAGTCTCTCCTCCTTGGAAAGTGAACGATAGCATCTACATACAGAACAAGCGAGTCAACAGACGATTGTGGCCTTGCTTGGATCACCTTTCTACACATCTTATAATCTATGCTGTCATAAAAGAGTCACTTACCTATTCCCTTGTCAGCATCGAATGCGAGACCTCAGCTGTCTCGGTGAGCTAACCACAAGGCTGCGGTTTTAATCAAATTTTTATCCGTTTTTACTGGTTTCGCAATCAATTGACAGAAGGTGCGAACACTCCGCCAACTGACATAGCTTCGGAGCATTCGCATCTCTCTGCACTGCGTATTTTTCACTATACATCAGTAACGCATTTCTTCATTTCTTATCAGTAAAGTCTGTCTAGTTGCTGTTGCTCTCGTCGATCATATAGTTTACAAGTGTCCAATTATTGTTAATTATTTCTATTATAGCTCTTGACTTTCACGTATGACAGTGTTCGATCATATAGTTGAGTACTTAGATAAAGCTGCACCTCATAAAATTCAAGTGAGTCTCTTCATTTTCTACGAAAAACCTCAATGTGTTGCAGCGAACGTCTTCTCCGAATATTCTTTGTACAAAAGTAGAGCCCCATTGGCGGTCGAACAAATCCTTACCTTACCCATTTACTGTTATATTATTGACACCTGTTAAAGATGGAACTAAGGGTATCTTCATTTAAAAAAGATAATTCGATTAATTCCGATTTAGTGACCGTCGCCGTTGGTAATGAAGACACACCTTGTGGGGACATCAGGAATGAAACAGCTAAATTTCAGAGGCAGATAGCCAAGTTCAACGATCTGAGATTTGTAGGAAAAAGTGGAAGAGGTGAGTTGTGCTAGTTTGTCAATCGTTCCGCTAAACCCCATTTTTGACACCAAAATATAAGTTGTTAAAGTGAGAAAGCGTAGCATGTCAAGGAACCCCCTCATTTCTGTGGTAGTTGGTTAGTCTTCCATAGATGTAGATTTTTATCAGCCCATCGCGCATTACACAAATAAGAAGAAGAACGCACATTAAGATTTTATCGGCACCTCTATCCAGCCACAACCTCCCGCTATTCTGACAAACCCAACATGAATGAATTAGATATTTAAAAAGTAACCGTTCAGAGCATCTAACACATATCGAATTCCAGGGAAAAACTTTCATATCACCATAACTGTTCATAGCAAACCGCTCATGGTGGCTGTTGTGCCACAAGCAATAAAGGTGAGTCTTTGCAAAATCTATGAAGTTACGATATTATTGGCTTGTTCCAGGTTACGGTAGACGGTCCTCGTGATGCTCGTACTTCCAAACCATGCGACCAGAAAAGAAAAAGAGGAATAGACATAACAGCATATCAACCTTTATACGGGTAAATATACACTGCAGTCCAACATACTTTATCAAAACATGATTTAGAACCAGTCCGATGATTCCAACCTATATATATCCCTGTTTAACGTTCAATGCTTTAACACCGCCACCTACTATTCCACAAGTCTCAGTGGATTACTCGCCAGCCGTGCCGGTAAAGAAACCTTCTCATCCGAACTACTGTGGCCCCAGAAAAAAACATACTGAATCGGTACAAATTTGGAGACCGTTCGAGAATTGATTAGTCAGATTGTGAATTATATTGTACATGTGATATATTGAAAATCAAAAAAATTAAAACCCGTGTACCATAAGAATACCAAGATCATTAACATATAATTGAGAATTTATAAAATACATAGAATATAGGACAATCTCAATACACTACGACAGGGAAATGAGAAAGAGCATCCTGATAAATGTGTTCATTCAGGGGTGTTCCCTCAAAAAAATGCGTTCTGTCATTAAGGCAAAACTCTCTCAGAACTTTCCCGTTAGTACGATGTTTAGCGTTGCTACTGGGCTATAACTTTCTTATCAAATTTCGTAGGGGGAGCACCCCAGATAGTCCAGCACCTACGCAGGGTGTACGCAGACTCGACCTTTCTCTTCTGTAGGAACGTTTCATCACAACTATCTTCTACTGTTCGTGTTATAACTTCTCGTAGCTTGCATACTCTTCCTGTGACTCGCAGGTCCAAATGTTTTCTGACTAGACTGCTTTTGATGAAAACAATGAAGCTTCAACCAAGGTTTATGTTACAAACATGCCAGATATGTTTCAAGACAACAATTAAACAAGAACAGGATACTTGCAGAAAACTAAAACAGTAAGAAAATTATATTCACAACAAATCTGCCAATCAGAAATTAAAAAAAAAAGAAAACAGTAAGATAAAATTTCAAAATCGAGCATCAACAAATAAAAACAAACTTACAAGAAGCCTAAAATCAAATAAAAACACAAAGTAGTCCAACCTAGTACTGTAAACAATTCCACAACAACATTAAAACCGGAGTGACAAATTCAACATGAACAATACCGGCATGAAAATACCGTTTTTAAAAAAGTTCAAAACTTTGCTGTAATTGCTTAAGTGAATATGAAAACAAGAGCTAAAATCTGAGTAATTATGTAGTTTGATTATAAAATAGTCAGATATGAAAACAAACTATCTAGTAAAATCTGAGGGCGTGTTGGTTTCCATTCAGGCAGTGGCCTGAGCCGAAGTGTTGAGAGTTTGAGTTACCTCTGAAAAAAATTATTAACAAACTTTTTACATATCACAAACCTATTATGTGAATATTTTGGAGAGTAAGCATTGCGGGACTGGAAGGGGAGACTTCTAAAAAGTTGTGGAGTATAACTAAATGGCCGTGCTTTATAGGACTAATCCAGGAAAAGGCTTACCGAGGAGGTCCAGAAAAATAATCTTCCTCGATGATAGTTGGGATACGAGGAGCATTTCGCATCAGTGGTCGATGTAAATCAAATCCAGAACCGCGTGTATGGCGAGACTGAACATGGCGGGCCTAACGTTAATCAAAAGGTCAAAGGATGTTCAACAGCCTACCTGCCAACAAGTATGACAGAAATAACGGAAACAAGCCCGATCGCGGCAAAAATAGGGTCCAGGTACTCTGTTGCACATCATGCAAGGAGCATCCTCCAGGAAAGGATCAATTTGAACCTTCTTACCTGAAGAACGAAATTACGAGTTCGGAAAGTTGAAAAAAAAACTAACCAAATTTACTTGTTTTAATTTCAAGAAAAGCAGATTCAATGGCTCGGAAGTATGACGAATGAGAACGGAAAGTCACCCGACCACTACCTGAATTGAAAAAGATGAATTCTGAATTCCAGCAGCTTCCACCTATCGGGTACTTGTACTTATCAGTATCGATTCCAACAAATACTACATTACCATACAGTTCCTCCATGATGGAATATAAAACATTTGCCGTAATCATACCATGCAAAGCACCCACGAAAACCTATAGAGCATTTAACTTTTTCCAACAACAAAAAAAATACAAAACTTACAGTTTTTTTCGCATCTAACCGACAACCTGGGTCAGCAACATAAGAAGCATCCGACACAACCCAAGGAATTATTTGAACTTGTCTTATCTCAGTGGTTTGATTTCTTCTAGCTCTGAGCTTGAAATACCATTCTCCAGCTGATCCAAACTCCTCAACATTATTTGATTCAAACACAAAATGAAATTGTAAATCTCTACCTGTGAGCAATCTTTCAACAGTGCCTTCACTGATGTTTCGTATTCGAAAATCATGTAAACATAGCCAGTAGCCTTAAACTTCGTTACGCTTTGACTAATCATTGAAACGAAACCTTTCCTCTAGGAGAATCTCTCATCTGCGAGCGAGAATATCTTGGCTCTTTACCAGGCCATTCAACATGACAAGCTCCATACACACTGAATGCTTCCATGAGAGCATCCTCAGTAATATCCCAAGGAACTGAGAAATAGTAGTAAAAATGTATCAAAATTTTATACTCACCACCCCCAACGAAAATCTTACAGGAAAATAATGGATGACTGTAGTTTCTCGGAGGAAGTTCGCCATTCCATACGTATGCGGTGCGATGTCTTCTGCTAATAGTATTAACATGTCCAACAGGATCTCCAGCCATTGATGGAGAAGTGACAACCTTCAAATAATAAAAAGAATAATCAGAAAACCTTGTAAACATACAGATTCGTCAGACGAAGTGTCGTGTCTATAGTTTCCATTTGACTTAACAGGCTCAGGAGGATAGTTCTTAAAGCGATTCAAAAAATGAAAAAAACACAGAAATGAAGAGCACGAACCACAAGCTGCATGAAAATATATTGTCTTTGTTCTTTCGTCCACTTTGAACAATCGGCAGGAAGACTGTTACAGAACATGGAGTCAGCGCCCATGGCTGGCAAATTCATGGACCTATTGGTAAACTCCGAGTTTTCCGAAGAAACGAGAACAGAATGGGGTTCAGCTGTGGGAGTACCAATACTCAACTCTTCCATAGCATCACATTCATTACAATGATTCAAGGAATCAGCTCTAGCCATAGCAACGCTATCCTCTGAAGATAATCAAAGTGGTCCGATAACGCCTCAAAAGTTCATACCAGAGATCTTCTCTAAAGTCTGCTCTGGCGAACTGTTAGTAATTTCCTCAGCGTCACAGTCGAAAGCTTCCAGCTTGTTCTCTTGCTCATCATGAAAGAATTGAAAAGTATCTCAACGAACTAATTCCAACTTACTGAATATGTATTGTTATTATTCAAAACACTGTCGGGAGTTGACAACAGATAATTACAATTCTCGTCCATATTTAAAAGTTTTTTTTTACAGAATTTCACAATCTGCAAACAGTACCTAGCTGGAGACTTACTTATATTACATACCTGTATGATAAAATAATATTTTCAAATTTTTACTAAAACCTAACGATGTATCAACTGAAAAAAAAATGCTGTTCAAACAAATTTAATTCTAATTGAGCTTAAAACGCTGAGTTGACTTAATAATTATCAAAAATCAATAACTTTCCGAAAACGTAGGTATTCATCCAATTAGGACCCATTTGCCAATGGGTTCGGTCCTTGAACTTTCGGTAACTTGGAAAAGTGCCCTATAGCGGAGCACGTCTCAGCAGTGGAGTAAACCGTAGGTTCATAATGAAATCTTTATTTCGAAAAAAAACTTTGTACAAGAATAAATGTTTTCTGATCTATTTAATAAAGACTATTTTCAGTTTTACCAAAACGGACACCATCCGATGTAAGCTTGGCATAAGTTTTCGGCTAGAGTGGCTTGTTCAATCAACTCGTCGATTTGTTGCTCCACAGAAACTTCCAGTGGATCAGTTATGTAACGACGTGCTAAAATGTAATAGATTAGAACTACATATTGAAACTATGAGGAACCAGAGAGTTTGTGTTTTATCTTCTCCATTACTTGTTCGGAAACCATTCTTGGAGCTTCTCTTTGAGAGATTGCGGCCTTCTTTCCATATTCCTTTTGTTGGCCAGGATCCTTCTTTGTACCTAAATTATAAAAACATCATATATCCGTCGATCCCCTCCGTATTACCATCAAGTAAACGCCAATTAATCACAGGATCATATACAAAGGCTTCTAGAACTGCCAGCAAACTTTCCTGAACGTATACATAGCTTCAAGATGATTAAAAAAACAACTTACCTTATTGGATCGGAGCAATGTGAGTACTTGTTGGCAAGTGAATCTATATATACCATCGATACCAGTCACTTCCATAGCCTTAAATTTATAGTTTGGAAAAAGGATTGATCTATAGTTTTACATTAATTAGCATCCTTGTGAGACGGAACGGAATTCTTTCGGGGAATTTTTCTCTTGTCATGGCCACATCGAAACAGTCACCAAAGTCAATATGAACTATTTTTCCAGTAAGGCGATCCAGCATGAGATTGGATGGATGTCTGGGTTGAACCTAATTAGAGGAAAGTAAGTTCATTGAGTTACCTGTCACCAAGCCCAAGGATATAGCCGACCATAGACATGCATGCTACAGATCGAGTGTAGTTGGTTCGTCGATCGAACCAAACTTCAGAGCTTCAAATACGAAATAAGAGAGAACAATTATAAACTGCGTACCTTGGACTTTTCAACCACAAAATTTTTCTAAGATCATCTCCTTCGCTACATTCTAAAGCACATTGAAAGACTTGCATCTGTAAGCAAAAAAAGAAATATAGCAAATGTTAAGGAAATAACCTTTTGCATAATGGTCAACTGATCAGTATCAGGAGCGAATATTAGCATCAGTTTGTGTTCTAAAGACAGCGTGGAATCCTTCTTCTTCTCTCTATAGTCTTTAATCATGCAGTGGAGAGTGTCACTGTTAGGGATCCAACCAATCAAGCCAGAGTTCTGACTGAGAGCAGTAATGGAATATCGCTGAAATGACATTCAAATCTTTGGAAGCTGGAAGGTATTAATAGTACTTCAATGGTCAAGTTTCTTCTACACGTTTCAGCATTATTTACAAGTAAAGTATTAACTAATCCAAAAAGTTGCATTACACGTTCATCTTGTCGAGGATCCTCACGACCCTTTAATAGGAATGCATACTCTAACCCATTGCTTCCTAAAAGCGAGCAGATTGAAAAAAAAAACAAACAGTCCATACCTCTCATGGTCATCTTCCTAGGTCTTTGTTTACTACTTATAATAGTGAGATGAGTACCCACAGAAGCTATATTAATAACAGGCGTATTAGGATCGTAAGTTCCAGGCACGGCTAACTCAAGATTCTAGAATTATTGTATTATCAAATTATCAATAAGATTTCAGGTACTTTTGCTCTCATGAGGTGTGGACTGACATAGTTCAAGTCCAAAGAACTTAGCTGTCGTATCTGTCCTGCAATCCGTTTGAAAATCTGGAGATCAATTCTTATTAGTAGTTAGACATTTTGTTATATACTTGACAATAGATTTCCCACGCCTGCGATAGTTCTTTTTGATTTTCGTTCTTTTCGTAAGCCAAGCAGAACTTGAAAGCATCAGTGAGATCAGCGTAATAAGTCTTAAAGACAGATTAAAACAGCAGAATCAATAGAAGCCAACTTGATTAAAAGATTGTTCCTTCAGAGTAGTAGGACCTAAATCTATCATATCGTGCATCGGGCGAAGAATTTCCATCATGGATTTGAAATCTTTTTCCTATGAAATAATCGGTAAATATTAAATAGAAAAAAGAAACTACTTGGAAGTATAAGCGACTCGCATCATCCAGAGCATCATGCCACTGTTCATGCCAAAGTATAGCGCATCTAACTAATTCTTCTGATACCAGTCTGGCCTATAAATACCAGGAGATGAAAGAAAAAACTTATATGTCCCACTTCATCAACTAAACGACTGTGAATTTCTCCCATCATATGAAGCATTTCCTTGGCATTGGTAGCACGATTCAAATTTGTTGACTTCGAAGCTACTGTCAGAGCGTATACCAAAGCCTTGAATAATTAGTATTAGGTAATTAGAAGAAAGTCTCAATATGAGATTATAACGGTGATTCAACCCATCATTTCTCTGGAGACTATTTCTCTTACTTGAGGTCTTGTTTTAGAGACTTCGTGTATAACTTGTTTAATGAGAACAGCCATTTTTTGATTGGAGTCTAGCCTAGCCATCAACTGAGGAACAACCTACAATAGTTCGAAATACAGAACTTTTCTACTTATGAAACCTTCTTACCTCAAGCCAAGTTTCAACAGGTAAACCTTTGATGCTCTCTCGCAATTGGTTATAAACTGAATCATCTTCCCCGTAATCAAACCAAAGCTGTAGAAGTCGCAGCGTGTCTTCTAGCCGAGATCCAGGTGCAAGCATAAGAGCTTTAGCAAAACACCGGACAGCATTTTTAGCATGATAAAGACACGGGCGAATTTCTGCGGGTTGCATGACAGGAGCATGTAGAGGGCTTAATGAACGATCCACGAAAAGAACTCCGGATGGAATGTCTGGAAGAAATTTTACCGTAAGACATACTCGCGGATGAAAAAAAAACCGTTAATGTCGGCTGATAGCGGCTTAGGTATGAGAACGGATGGTGAAGAATCTTGAGGTCTTGTAATACTTGTAGAATACTTTTGAGCAAGCTCTTTCTCTCTATTCATTGCGTGAAGATGTGAACATGCTAGCTTATGCCATGCTTTGTGCCACTTTTGATCGTATTCAGTAGCCTTTGAATAACAAGAGATAACTTTCCTGGAGACTTCCATTTCCGATGGTGACATAAGCGAAGGTGCCTTGAAATGATACAGTAGTTATAATCCGAAAAAAAAACTCACGTCTTCAATAGTCATCTTTCCTAGAGCCTTAGTAGAACCGTGCAAAACTTTGTTAAATTCAGAACCATGGCCTCCAGATCCCTATAATCAACCAGATTCGTATAACTTATCGGCAGAAAATTACCTTATTTTTCTCATCTTCAATAGAGAGCACCTCAGTCCACTGTGCCAGCTTCAAGTAAGCTTTGGCACATAGCCGGGAGTTTTCGGAGGTATAGTTGTTTGGAGGATATCGCTCTATATGTTTCACCAAACCATCAAGTGTATGAACAGCATTCTGCTTAGAGTTGTCAATCCACAGCTGCTTACAGAACGCCAAGACCTGATAAAACTGTTGTGAAACGTTATTCCGTTTGAACTACCAATTGGGGTTTATCCGTTGGAGCTGTAGCTTTATCAAGTGGTGTGTCAGGCGAAACATTCAGAAGATCTCGCAGAACGGCACGGCACATTGAAAGCTTTCCTTGCTGCCGACAGAGCGAAGCAAACTTAACACGTAGGGGATGCATTTCCTGCGGTGAAAGAACCAGAGATCTTGAAGAAGGAAGTTTACTACATGTTATATGAAACTTTGTGATTTACCGAAGCATCAATAGGCGTTGCCAATGCTCAATATTTTGACTACAGCCTTGCAGACGTCTACTCCACAACAGAGCAATTCGTGGACGTCGTTCAGGACGCAACTAGAAAACAAGAAAAATAGAACAGAATACTCTACAGTCCAACCTTGTACTCGATTGCTTCTTCTAACTCAGCCAACTGTTGAACTTGAATCATAGCCCCATATGCCCTTTCATAACTTTCACTTGCCATTGCTGTTAACTCACTGTCATACATATCTCGTACCTTAAACAATATATGTAGATAGACAAGATTAATAACACTCACTTTATTAATATAGCTTGTAGCTAAAGAATATTCCTCATTACGCACAGCCAAGACAGCCCTGAGAAGTGCACCGTCTTGACTATTCTCATTCACTTGCTGAACATATTTACTCATTTCACTCCAATTTCCTAAAGATGTGTTTTTCGAAACTTCAATCAAAACGTGAACGTACCAACAGCCCATGCTCCTCTTGATGCAATCACAGTAACCTTCTGATCTCTTCCTACCATTTCTGCAGCTCTTGTGTTCAACTCAGTCCAACTAAGATGATTATGAAGATTATCTTATAATTAAAACGCTTTGCTTACTCTCCCAAAGCTTCCAAACAACGAAGTTCATGAGCTTTTATTTCCTCATGCTTCTTTTCATTTTCCTGCAACTTTGTTAAGTAGCCTGCCTCCTTAGTGCTTTCAATTCTCTGCTTTTCTTTCAAACCCAAAGTACGATCTTTCTAAAACGAATAACCTATTTCTAGAGAAGAAAGCTAGCTATTCTAACATCGTATGAGTCCAAAGCTTTCTCCCATTCGTTCAATTTCTCGTACCATCTACCTTGCATCTAAAAACGAATACGATTCATAGTTTGTGAAAAGAAAACTACAGGAATTTCCAGACGTCTAGTTTCCGCATATCGAACAACTCCAGCTGCTTCTTCATGTACATTAAGCTTATTAGCGAACCTAAAGAAACATAATAGAGAATGCTATTCACAAACTAACGTGATGAGTGATTGACAATCGTCTGGCTGCAGGTTGTTTTCTCTTCTGCTTTTCAATATTTCATTTTCAGTATAGCGTAAACCTTTGGCATATGCCTTGGTTTCTTCTGCACTCCTTCTAAGAGTTTGATAATCAATGGGTAATGGTCCCTGAAATAGCAGGTAAATGAAAATCGGATGCACTAAACAGTCTTACTCTTTCAGAATGATCCATGAACTCAGCTAGATTCAGAATAGTTTGTATGACGTCTGGATGGTCACTATGTTGCAAAGCGTAAGACAAAGCAAGCGTCACAGAATCCTGTTCAGACTCTTTGAGTTCGGTCCATACCGACATGAATGCGGCATTGAAAATATTTCTAAAAGGAACGTTTTTTTAATTTTTTTATTATTTAGTTAACTTACTTGGCCAAATGCGGATAAAGATCACTGACGGATGCAGCAGCCCTAATAGCAGCGGAGCTACCAGATCTGATGAAAGCGAGTCGCAACTTTATCAGCCATTGAGTCCAATCTTCTTTAGAACTCAAATGCCCAACAGCCCATGCTTCGGAAACAACATCAATGTTGACTCTCTGTCTTCCAGATGTTTGATTATATAACTGGCTACTTGCGTTTCCATGACCTTTTCGTAATCGAGGATGATCAGGCTGCGAAAAGTACAATTCATTCGACAAACTTCGAAAAACTTACGTCAGCTATTGCTTTAGTACCATAGCCTCTTTTAGGTCGCTGGTTTACTGGTGACGATAAAACAGCTTGCACTCGTTCTGGAAAAGTAATGTTTGTATGAGAACTTTTCTTTGAGAAATACCCATATAGGCGTGATGGAAAGGAGTATTAATCAAATTATGCTTTCGAAGTTTATGATCCACAAAACGTTTGAAAACTTCAAAGTTTTTCCACATCTGATCAATGACGGCAATCAACAACTTTAAAAGAAGGTCTTCCAGCTGTGGAGTTTTGAAGAGATTCAACTCGAAACACTTGAACCAAGTCTGCATTAGACGAGGTGCGAAGTCGGAAACATCATCATTTTCAATGAGATGTAATACAGTTTCTGCAGAAAAATTATTTTCTGACAATGATCATCATGCATACCTAGAGCGGACTTCTTCACGGCCAGAGGAACAACAGACTCTTCAATGATCGAAAGAACTGGAGGGAGTACCAGTTGCAAATGTGGTGTTAGGCAGTAGGACAACGATTTTATGCAGGCTAGTACCTAATCATAACCACCGGTAAAGAACTTTTTTCTTTATGTTACTTGTGATGTTATTCTTCTTTCTGGATCACGATCAGCTTGAAGAACTTGAAGCAAATATGGTATCAATTGAGCAACGTGAGGGGAGAATTCGGATTCCAATGCTGTTCCTATCTGTTCCAGAACACTCACAATTGTGATTTTGATACTACTGGTTTCCGACCAAGCTTCCTTTATAGAAATATTAATTTAAAAACTCATATCATCCTAATACCCCTATTAACCCGAAAAGATCAGGAATATACGGTTTAGCATGACTTTTGATGATTCCAACCAAACTTGCCAACTGTCTCAAGAAAAATTCTCGCTGGGATGGCCTATCTTTACAATTTCTTGTTACTTCTATCAGTCGAGGAACAACCTGAGATGTCGGATGGATAAGATTAGAATGGATGTGTAAATGATTGAACCTGCTGAACATACTGAGGATAAGTATCTCCTAAGCTTCTGAATATTGTCAACAACGCTTGAGCAATATCCTGATAATGTTGTATCAGAGCTTTATCTTGGACCATAACCATTAAGTTAGCGATCGTGATAGCTGGGTAGAACTCTTCCAAGGTACATTTTTCATAGTTGAACCATTGGATGATATCTACAATATCAGTTCTTCTAGAAATTGAGAGTATATTCAATACCTTGTCTAGGGTCGGTAGAATCATGATTTGTGCTAGGTTTCGATAAAGCCATACTTATACGAGTTGAAGATTGAACGGAACCAGTAAACACCTTTAATAAAAGGAATATATCAGCTCTAAATGGCTCTAGCTAACTTTATGAGTGTAAGGATCGATAGCTCCTAAAATGCCCAAAACTTTAATAGCTTGACGACGCATGCTTGAAGACATTTCGGTTTTCAGAAGACGGAGAATGTCGTCCAATAAGTTCGGATAATCTCTGTATGGGTCTACAACATAAGCAGTCGCTCGACTCATTCGGCCAATACATTGTAGAGTTGCCTTAGAATATATGGTGAAAGCAAAGATCGTGAAGTGAATTTGTTACCTCACGTCTCTGCAAACTACTAGACTCAGAGACAAGAACAGTGAGCTGGCTGAACAAAGGCTCAATACACTTTACAACTTCAGATCCTCCAACAACGCAGAGTTCAGATACAGCATTTAACACTTGAACAGTAACGTCCACATGCTAAGTAGAGAGTAATGTTTAGAAGAACTCTTGGGTCTTACTTTGGGGTCCAAACGGAGCTTCGGCAACAAAGCTGTGAATAATCCACCCAAGTAAGGTCTCATGAACTTAGGGTTCTGCCTAGCAATCTGTACAAGCAATCTGGCACTGTGTTGCTCCAAACTGAAAACAATATTCAGAGTTTTTCGAGTAAGTCGATATACCGAGACTGTCCACTATTACTAAGCTGATCTAACGTCTCCAGCAAAACTCTTCTCAGACGAGGTAACACAAGAGCCGGATTTATTTCAGAAAGTCTTCCAATCAAGCTCACAGCCGCCTTAGAAATTGAAATATGATTTTGAGAACTAGTGATAGTGTTAGTACTTCCTGCATTTCCAGCTTCTCATCATGCAAACTCATGAAAAGGAGTTCCAACATCTTTGGTTGAGCAAGATGAGATAGGAATTGATTATCAGCTTCCACGAAACATTTAAAAACACACAATCGCACGACAAGCTCTTAATCGAGCCATTATTGAGAGATCAAAGTCTTGTAACATACTCTGATCCATGACACCAACACTAACCAAGCATTTCAAGACACCGTGAATCAATTCCAAAACCCATTGGCGATGTTCTCTATGAACGCCCGTGAATACTTTTATAAAAGGACTTAAAATATTTGTACAGCACCGAACAGCTGCTAAGCGAACAGGAACAGAATCAGCAAGCAAGTAGCCCTGTATAATTCAATTCAGTTTGAACTTTCATGATAATATAAATTACCTCAGCTATATATTGCATGCACATTTGCAATGAGTGCCTTTGGAACTCAAAGCTTCCCAGGGTTTTAAGAGCCAAAACTTTATCGGTTTCATCTTTCCCAGGCTAAATGCATGTTCGATTACATGTTTCAGATAGAAAATAGTAACCTCAACAGTTATGGCGTTTTGAGGTAGAATAGGTTTACGAGGAGGATCGATTTTAGCTGGCAGAGTTTGACCTGAAACAATACATTTTCGAGAAATTCATCTCACCTTTTACCTGTAAGAGTTTTATAGAGAACTTTCATGAGCCCATCCTGAACATCAACAACTAATGTGGGTATATTACTAGTAATTTCATGAAGGAGCCCAGTCAATCCTTCAGAAAGAGGAAGCTTCAGTAAATCGTCAAGTATGTTCTTGATTTCACTAAACACTGCCGTCTTATAAGCACGAACATACAATTTGAGGTAAGTAAATACTTGAGCATCAACAAATTTCCTGAAAAAAGATATTATTTTTTGCCTAATATATATGAAAAATACTTTTGGGATCCGCTATAAATCATTTCATGGCATTTTGTAGTAATTTTCTTGGCTTTTGTAGCAAATTTATCAGGCTGTTGAAGAATTATGAGACCCATAGACATCAAAGCCTTAGATAGATGATTCCTCTCCCACCTTCAAAGAGAAAACTAGAAATCAGAGCAACAAGATATCTTACATAGTTTGCATTTGATTGAAGAACGTTATACGTTGTTCAACTGTACAACAACCGTCTAATGCTGAAAGTCTGGGTAGCAGTTCCAGTAACACAGACTGAAGAGTAATTAGCTTTAAGAATATGAAGTTATGAGTTTACTTGAACATGCAGATTATTGGATTTCTCTATTCCAAGGATGGATCTGACAATCTGAACATTTACGCATGTATTATAACTTGCTCAACAGTATACCTTATCGAAGTTGTCCCGTACTAAGCCTCTTGCCGTCGTGCTTTCAACTGTGACAGAAAACCTGAATTAAAACTTCAGAAGACGAAAACACAGTTCAGTCTATACCTTGCTTCAGTCATCCATTCTATTGGATCATCAATTGAAGCAGCTTTACGTTTTGTTCCTTTAGCTTCAAGATGTACTTTCTCGAAATTAGCATCGGCGATTCGGAGCAACTCGTTTAATACCTATTAGTAAAACGGTATCGATGTTCATAACGCTTTGTGATTAAGCTTAGTGTTTAAGCTAACGTTTTGATATCAGGGTCAAGTGCAGAAATCATTTTCAAAGTATTAAGGGGGAGATCGGTTGTTCTCGTTTTTGTAGGCTAAGTCAACTTTAAATCTGAATTGCGACTTACCAAAAGCATGGAATGTGATCTATCATCGTACGATGTGGAATGACTATCATTACTATCCGGAAAAGCTTCTTTAATGCACATCTAAGCATATATAAAGCTGAATGGATCGAGACTAGTTTGAACTGCTACCTGATACCATTCTGTTTTTTGTTTAGCTTCTCTCTGCGAGGTGATTGTGAGTGCTGCATGTAAAGCCTCAGTTGCTTGTAACCTAATGTTATGCTGCAATGCGTACTTGCATGATTTGGAACACACTTTTATAAACCTTCGGATCTCGTATAACAGCGAATATATTACGGAAGAAAACGTTTGCCCGTGAAAAGAAAGAAGTTGAAGTGAACATAGCCAATTCTCGAGCTAATAAAACGGCAGCTAACCTTCTTATGGAATTGACAATAGGTTCCTTTAAAATGATCGACATCTAATATTTTATTTGCGCTGAGGATACCTGAAGCCATTCTAGACATTGATCTAGACACTTCTCGACCAAATCAGCAGAATGAGCTTTAGAAGTCTAAATCGGGTTGGTTCAAGAAAGTTATGCTTGTGTCACCTGAATCAGAAAAACTAAGGCTCTCGCAGCCAAATCCATAGTGGCTTCGTCATTTTTTGGAAAAGTAATCGCTCTAAGTAAGAAGTTGGAATACCAAACAATACGCTGACTTCGTACATTGATCTCTGCCAGGCAAACTAAAGTATCAGATATGAGGATATCAATTGAATGAAAGATTTACCAATAAGATAGATGCCAACTTTTCTTCTATCTAAATCATCTGAATAAATACTTTCGTGAATAACACTCTTAAAATAGTCGTCATTTTAATCAATTTGTGAATGACTAACTTGAGCATGGTCATTTTTATTATCAAGGAATGCTATAAACTCTTCTACAAACTGCGGTTCTTCATTTCGCAGAGAAACCGTAACATATCTGAATAACCCGTTGTATTCAGAAAGCGTTTTCAGAAATTCACCTGTAAAGCTCATTAGCTGTTCTCTCTCTTTCAGATGGTTTGCTCAGATCTGTTAAGAATTGTGCAGCTTCAGAACGAGCTGAGGTATGATCGCGTTCCCTAGTTTTGGGCTTCGCAGCTCCGGAATCAAAATCAGCCATTATATGATGTCATGTGAACTAAAAAAAAGTAACTCGTATACTAATGTTTGTTGCCGAGAGAAAATAGAATAAAGAAACTTCACGACTTCCAGAAATCAATAGAAAGACTATTACCTCGTACTTTTGGAAAAATTTAAGGGAGAGCACAGAAGTACTAGGAGAAGCCTGAGGATTGATGTTCAATAAAGAGCTAAACTTTCGGCTTCTCATGTATGATTATTGTTAAGGCTTTCAAATTAGCAAAGATACATATCAAGACAAGCTATTAAGCTCTGCGACTAGAAATCTCAAGAGAATCGGCTTAAGAGTGAAAATTCAATAATCTCTATAACTTCAGTATTACATTTCAAACAATATCTTTCTGTTTAAGGAAAAAACCTTCGTCCTACAGTGCGTATTGAGGGCTAAAGACGGGACTGATAAAGACTTGACGGTTATTTGCGTACCACGCTCTCTTAGAAATTATTCGTTTCTGGGTGAAGCTTGATTCGCTTGAATGGATTGCTCTGCTTGTTTAAATTAACGAAACTATCGTCATCCTCAACTTTATCTTATCATTTTTAAGTTAATGTAACCTATTGGTAATGAGTTCCGGTCAGAATGAATGTTCCAAAATAATTTTAAAAGACAAAGATGGTAATCATCTCATATCTGTTGATTACTTCAAGTGAGCTGCCACGCCAAACATGCTAGTCTTCTAATTTTTTTTAGAAATAAGAACAATGCCAAGTATCAATTCCTAACTCATGCTCACAAAGTTGATGCGATCACTGTGAGTACATTGTTTTCTGTGTTTAATGAACCTTTTTTCTAGGAAACATGGATCAAGCCAATTTACTGCTCGAGGGAAACGGCTAAAATTCTTCCTACGTTGACCAGGTACTAAAACATTTCGTATTCATTCCATCTTTTCTATCTGATTCTTACAGAGGCACTTCTGGTACAGGAGTTCTAACTCGATTTTTGAGGAACTTAGAAGTGGGACAAACGTTGAAACTGGAGAAAGGGCTACAAGTAAGAAATATTTTCGTTTAATTGTTTAATGGTGGCTTTTAGGTAACTGTCTTTGACTCTAATCATTGCTATGGGTCTGTGATGTATTTGTTCGAAGGGTCAAAACTGGAGTTTAGTCCAGTCCTATGCACTGGTCATTTCAAAGCTGATACCCATTTCTTCACCAGGTTCGACAACTCTCCACAGTATGAGGCCTTGAAAAAGGTACGTCAGTTTCTTGCTCCTTAGACTGTAAACCACTTTGTTCCAGAGTAAAATTCACACAGTTTATTTTGATAACAGAATGATCAATGATGATAACTTCCTATCCAAGAGTGAGGTGATAAACGGGTCAGTTTTGCAGCTTACCAATGTGGGCAAGTTTCGATTTTCTTTTACAGAATCGTAAACTTGGCCACACGTCATCCCTTAGCAGTGTGTTTGCTTCCAGTTCATCACCTGGGGAAAGAAGATATTTTGGAATCTATCTCAAATACCTTGAACGTATGAAATAACTGCTAAAACATCTACTTCTATATTTTAGGAATGTGTTGAATTATATGACACTCGCTTTGAGGTTCATCAAATCAGGTCTGGATACGAGTCTGTTCCCGGAAATTTCGTTGAACCTTCTGTGAACTCTGTAAGGATAAGGGCTATTGCCAGAAATGGAGTGTATGTGTTTCTCATTTACGTCTCATCAAATGGCAATGTTTAAGGAACTTGAACGATTACTTGAAGAATTCTTCTATAGCTAACTACATAATATGTGACATTTCTCATTCGGAGCTGTATGAGACGTAGAGTTCATTTCATTATACTCATTCTGACAAACTTCATTTCAGGGTTACTCCTTCTTCTAACTACTCGAGATTCCGATACACCGAACATTCCTGTCGTTCTGAGATTCTAAAATTTTTGAGAAGGTTAGTTAGAGATTTTTAACTTCTGTTAATTGCTCTGAAATAGTTTGAGATTCGAAAATATGATTCCCGTTGGTAGTTCTCTCAAGCCAGAGGATAGAACCAGTATCCTAGCTGAACAAACAGAGTGAGCATAATTTTTTTTTGTTTTCATTAATTGAACGTTATCAGGAAAGAGTCAGTTCACACCCAGCTTATCGATGAAAGCACTATGTTTGCTCCTCCTGCTTTAGTGCCGGAGCCAACAATACAATTAGTTTGTGAATTGATAACTAAAGTTCTCAGAAATGTGTTTTCCAGACAAAAATGGAATCGAAACCAGCTGTAGCTTTAACCATCAGTGATTCGATATCCTCAACTCCTGATGTCATACCTCAGACTGCTTCTTCGCCTTCCAAGAACCAAACTGCTCCGCCTTCTGATGTTCCGATAACTCTTGAAAGTTCGGCACAGGCATGTATATCAGATCCGATTCACAGCTCAATACCAATTCCCAACAATGCACATGCGCAAGAACCTGCGACTTCCATGACAGTATCTGAACAAGATACAATACATACTTCTGACACGCAGCCGATGCCCAACCACACTAACGTTCTGATGCCAATGGTTGACCATAATTCAGTTCCAATCCCTGATGAAACTACTCTACCAATCACGGAACAAAACTCAGTAAACATCCATAACCACAACGCAGGACCACTCCCTGGACATGATGTAGTGCATTATGACGACAACGAATACCATAATTACTATCCACAGCCCTCAACTTCTGTTCCGAATGGCACAGCAGAGAGGGAGAGTGAAAACACTTACTACAATAACGAGTATTATAACATGGAAGGACATCATGGTAAGCCTTGCTTGGCTACATGGGATGCGAACTATTCGGAGGAGCCATCAACTCAACGACCTGTGATAATACTGTCTCATGATCCAATTCCATCAGAACAATACTACGAAGCACCAAAGTATTATAGTACTCATCCGGAGAGCGGAGAGCACCAAGAATACGTACAATTGGAAGAGGGGGAGGAGATTTTCATAACACATGATGGGATTGCTGAGTTTTTTGTACCTGCCTCAGAGTCCGACATGATGCACGGAGAAAACATTGTTATCACAGAGTATGTTGGAGAGCCTAGCACATCGAATCTAGAATCTATCCAACATGAAACTAACAACTTCCGAATACCGGAACTTCCTGAGCCTGCTCCAAAACCTAAAAAAAAGAGAATTCGTATCAAACGTGACGATGGCTTGGAATCAGTAGGAGAGGTAGTTAAGGCGAACACTAAAATGCTTCGTTTATTGGAAAAGATTGATAGAGAGAAAGCGGTTGGTCATTATTTTTGCAACAGTTCTAAGTTTTCATAATTGCAGGCGGAGAAGAACGGCGAATCTGTTCTCCGAAGACTTGTGAGTTCCCCTCAACATTTCAGATTTCATTTTTTTTTCTATTTAGAGCGAAACGGAAAATCTGAATCCCTCAACAAGAAGTATCTTCCGAAAGGAAGGTACATGCATTCATAACATATCGTATGATGGGTGAGTTTGTGAAACGAAAGAAACGTTCTGTACAATATACCGTTCAGTATCTGTGTGGACTGTATCCTCCCAGCGTTTGATGTGAGTGTTCTCTCTCCACGAAAAAGAAATGCTTTAAAAGCAACAGCTCCTTTGGAATGTGGCGTGCGGAAGAAAAGAATTCCTAACCCATCACTGTTCTAATTTATTAACCGCATTCAATTTGATCTCAGAGTACTTCATACATTGATAATTTAAACATGCAAAATAAACTTTCAACTTCTTAGATATAGTTGAATAGAGTTCATTCTCTCCGAAGGACTGTTTACAGTGTAGATGAGACCAGTAAGTATGTACACACTTCTGTTTGCCGAAGAGTGTGCGGGTCACTGTGCCGCTTAGCTTATCGTCCTTCGTCCAACTTTAAGAACAGTTTCCAGCTCATTCCTCTTTATGTTATCAAGAAAGTATTTAGTATTAATTGCTGTTTGTCCTCTGTTATTCACATGTTGGTTATCTCATCCAGTAAAGTTAGAGCCTAAAAAGGAAATTGTAAGTGTACCTTATCTAATACGTGTAAATAATCTGCATAACAGGAAGTATTACATAATGAGGAGGTCATTACGAAGCCTTACAGAATAGAAGTGAGTGACGATAGGTGAGTACTGCCATTATTTTACTGTGCATCGTTGATATTATCAGCATTGAATCTGTGAAAAGCTTCGTGAAGGAATGGAAGACTGAAAACAGCGACAACCAATTCTTTGAAAATTTGACTCAGGTCATAATCGATTATGATTGGAAATCCCATCAGAACTATCTCAATACGTTCAAACACTATAAGTTGGTCAAATCGTTCTTAAAGTTTCATTTCGCATTTTTCTTAGTATGAAAATTGATGGTATAAACGTTCATTTTCTACGAGCAAATGTTCCTCCGAATAAGAACATGCGAGTCGTTCCTCTTGTGTTACTCCATGGCTTCCCAGGGTCATTCTATGACTACTACAAAGTAAGTTTCAAGAAAGTGTGAAATAATCAAGTGTTCAGATGATTCCACTGCTCTCTAACCCCACGAGACATGGTTTTGATTTTGGTATCTCAAAACCGATCATATTCGACGTTATTGTTCCTAGTATACCTGGTTTTACTTTCTCAGAACTGAATGAAGAGCAAGGTTAGTCTTGAGAAGCAAAATTGGATACAAGGATACGTTGCAGCAGCCGATATGGATATACACAAGATTGCTGGCATTATCGTTCGATTACTTGAAGAACTTGATGTGAACGATTACATCATTCACGGATCGAATAGTTAGAACACACTTTTCTATAGCATAGGCTAAACTTATTTTTAGAATTCGGTGGTGATCTAGCTGGTCTTATTACTTCTGTTTCTCCTCAGGCAAAAGCAGTACATATATCTAACCCATATATAGATGTGAATTACAATACAAAGGTAAGATAAACCAAACCTGATTGTTTTCTGGGGAAGCAACCACACTTTGTGGCCTCATATTCCCAAATGAACTTGAGAAGAATAGAATATGCTAATGTTGACCTTCAAAGTAAATATATCTTTTAAGGTATGGATCTACTCCGTTATCGATTGTTACTTGAATAGAAATCGATGTGATAAAATTTGGGATGAGACAAAACCATATGTGGAAGTAACTGATGATTTAGGTATGTTCCCTTTGCCACCATTATCAATGGCTCACTTGTCTAGTGGAAAAATTGAGAGAATCGCCCATCGAAGAAGCGAAACTTCTCATGAGAATCTGGAAGAACAGTTTAAGCGGTGAAATAGTGAAAACAGAGGATGGACTTGTTCTGTCCAGAAAGAAAGAACTAAACGAACTTTTCACTTATGACGAACTGGCAACAACTATTTATCTTCACTCTATCACCAATTCTCTGCCCAGTGCTCTAAAAATAATGCAAAACAGCTATATGGATTCTCATCCTAGGTAATTTGTCGTACAAACATACATGTATAATGAATCATATCTCAGGTCACAAATTGTAGACAAACCAGTTGGTATCAGTTTCTCAACTGAATGCCCGTGGATTTTCAACTCTGAACTGTTAACGCACAAGTTTTTAAACCATACCATTTTACGGGACAATGAAGACCGCCCAATCAAAGGAGGTCTATTCCACTATATTCAAGATCCTCAAAATTCAGCAGCTCATATTTTCTCTTTTGCTGAGTACATTTTGCAATGAAATAATTAAAATATATGGTTAAATAATATTTATAGTCATTTGTTTTGTTTCAATCATATTGAAGATTATGAATCACAGAAATATACATGAAACTAGATCACAGCTAAAAACAACAATACGAAGACAGTATTGTGTGGAACGAAGTCACAATTATGAATATAGGAGGGAAGTTAGGGGAAATCAAAGTCCGTTGTTACTGGCGGAGCTAAAACTTTTGGTATAATCCTGCCTTTCGTAACCGAACCCGAACTTGATGATTTTAATTCTTCAATAGAGAGGTTATGGTATTAAATGAAAGTGTTTTGCTTACGTGGAGTCATATGACGACTTCCCTGAGATGCACGATAAAGTGGAGAGAGCGTCTCAGTTAGGGTGGCCACACGTTTGTTTTTAGAATAGCACATCATATCCATGTATGGGTTATCTCTTAAACGAAATTGATTAAAATTAGAAAGTTCAAAGAAACGAACCCTTTCCGTGGAATGGAAATTGGTGACACTAGGGTTCTATTGGCTGGGCTACCACCAACCCCTAATAACCTGGGAGTTGAAGGAACCTAAGCAAATAAATTAACGAATACTTTGAATAAGTACCTCTGAGGAGTTAACAGCAGAAGGGCTGTGGAAATGATCTGATGTCATGTCAAATGAATTAGCAGAATTGATACTTCTGTTCGCCTGATTCTCCTTCAATAAATTATTAAGACCGACATCTACTTCGGCACGAACAGGCAGCATAAAAGATATTCCAGTGGTTGTAGTGGGAGGTGGGTTTTCAAAGGCGTTGCTCAAGTTGAAACTTTCTCTAGAGACTAAAATTTCAGATTAAAACGAAGGCGGAAAAATTAAAAAACACCGTCAGCAGATGATGCTGTAGCAAAAAGCTTCTCTAGCTCTGAGCCAAACCCTGTCTTTTCTTCAGGTTTTTCGAACCCACTAAAATAGGTTTCAATAATGATTAACAACTACAGAGCAAACCCAAACGTTTCTTTTGTTTCTTCATACTGTTTTTGATACAACATCATCTTTTCCAAAGTGTCTTTCAGTTCCATTTTAGTTCTTTGCAGTTTCTCTCTAGTGGCAACTAGTAATCTAAAGATAAATTTGTATAGGTTAACAAGGTGAAGAAATTTTGGTACTTCTGATCTTCTTCCGACTTGGAATCAAATTGCAGTAGCTTTTTGTGGAACTCCTCTTTCTGAAATGTCTTAAAATGTTTAGAATGAATGCAACAATCACTTCAATTTTGAAATTCTCTGTCAAGCTTCTTAATAACATTCTCTGGAAGGCTACAGCTTTCGTGAACCTTCCTTGAAACTCAGTCGTGATCTGACTAGGAGGCTGCATTAGAAACAAATTGTAAGAGGATGAAAAGAAAAAGTTCTGAATTACCCTAAAGAGCTTTCTTAAATTCTGATCTAAGTTTCGGTTAATCTCCCTCCAACCAACATTTTTTTTACAAAAAGAGCATGTTGAAGGTTGTCTAGAAAGATCTATAAACATATGTTACAGGCAGAAGTACGCTTTCCTTACCTAAGCATTTGTTGCAAGACAAATGAAAACAGGAAGTTATAAAAAATTTTAATTCAGCCTTTGGGATTTTGAAACAAGCATTGCAATGAACAAAATCAGCCATTGCAATGAATACCCTTACATGAAACTGCTAAACAAGGTGTTCTGAAATAAATTAACGTACGTAATGATTTGAGAGATTTTCTCGAGCTTACTCGGTGTCAAAATGCACACAATTAGCTTTTATACCTGAACCTTATATTGTCACCCCGGTGTTTGTTTTATTTTACTGAACAATAGTTAGAATTGGATAATTAATTTCATGTATATACTACACATACGTAATTGGAGCAGAGGGGTGATTAAGAAATCCACGTGACGATAACTCACGTGCCGTGGAATGACGGGGATTCACGTGAAAATTTGAATCAGTAAATAAGATCATATGTGGCTCTATTTTTCAAATTCAAGTTTGTCGAGCTTAATCTCTTGATAAAGATTTTTCATTTCGTTTTTTACTTGTCTAATGTATATGTTTCGATATGTCAGCATTCTGTTTAGTTGTCAAATAGAGTAATCAGCCTGTATGACTTCGAACTATTTGGTTTGTGTGAAGCACTGAACGGCTGCATAATAGAGCAAAGATTAGATTTAAGTTTTTATTATTTTTTTCATTTTATAATTACAATTTTCGAAATTATTACAATTGTTTAAAACAATAAAACACGGGGTAAGTGACTTTTTCTCATCTCTTCATAAAGAGTCGACTTCTCTTATAATGATTTTATGTTCAGGGCCACATCGAACAGCGATCGGGACGATAGGGACCTTAAGTAAAGGATTTAGTTTGTTTTCGTAAATATTATAATTACCTGGTTTGGGATTTGGGCTTCACCTTCTGATGATATTAAAAACAATGCATAATTAGAATCTGGCTCAATCTCTTTTCTATTCATTTGGAAAACGAGTTTGATAGTCTGCTCAGCTGTTGTTTCAGGGGCCATCATCAACGACTTATAGTTAGACTGAAAGAAATCAGGTTGAATACTTTCTCCCAATTACGTTTAAATTGATTAATTTAAGAGTTCGTGCAGTTGATAAGACAATAGGCTAGAAGAGAGAGTAAGCTAACCTCTGGAGAGATATTGTGATCATAAATTTTTACGAGGCTACCCGATGAACACATGTGTAGAATGAAACGCGACATATTCTCTGGATGGCATCTTAAATGAAGAGAGCTTATAAGTTATAAAACGATATACAAGCAAAAAAGAAATTCAAAAATTTGTGAATTTTCAGTTAGTTTGTTTGTACTCACCTTTGCAATTCAAGTGGTCTTGACAACCTGTCCAATTCAAGAATAGTGCTCACGGTTTTGCCATTTGTTCGGGTGCTTACCTAAAGTTGAAACGTTTTAAACGGCCAGCTTTTTTAATTTCTTACTTCCATCCATAACTTGTACAGATTTGTGTCGCGACATGAGGAGAGTTTGAACTTGTTAATCACTGTTTCAATAACTTGTTCTGTTGTTGCGAAATTCGAAACTCTGATAGTCTTGTAGTCGGCACATGTTTTGACGTTGTTCGTGTAAATTTTGAGAGAACCCTGAAACGATAATGTTGCGAATCTTTGAAGTAGATTTATGATTTACGGTATCACTTTCAGACGAGTTGCTGTCGAATGAATTCAAGGAAAGCAGTGAATTGCTTCGAGTTAAGGTTACATCATGTTGTAATGAGGGAATGCTGGATGTGGATGACCTTAAAAGTCTTGGAGGAGGAATAGGAGAAGAAGTCGAGGGAATGTTGTATTGCTGTAAACGGGCAACACTGTATTTGAGCATTGTTACTTGAAATCTGAAAGCAAAACAATTAAAAAGTGTAAAAAAATGCGAGAAAAAAATGAAGAAGAACAGATATGTTATAAGAACTGACAAGAGATGAATTGTAAATGGAAAGATGTTCAGAGCGAAGTTCATTTCGAGGTTAGTAATGAACTATGATGATTTAGGGAAATTATAGGTTTAAGGTTGGATAGTTTGTGAAAGTGAACCGAAAGGAATTTGATTTGGTAATGAAAGTTCGGAAATTTGCATGTATTCACTGAGTGAATCATGGAACAGGAATTTGAGGTTATGTATAGTACTAGTCGGAGGTTGAAGGAGCGACGCGCATAACTAATTACCAGCTGATAGTAATCTAGATAAGTCTTTGCTAATAAAAACATCTACAGCAATGTCAACAGGTATACAATTCAATCGCAAAAAAACTTGACTAATGACCAGCTCTTGGAAAAAACTGAGAAGTTGCAATTTTAAAAGAGAAAAATGAAGAAAATTTAGATGTAAGTGAACGAACACACTTTGGAACAGCTGTGCACGAGTCGACGGGACGGGTGGTCGTAAGTCTGAAACGGAGGTAGGAGAAGCACAGACTAATTTCAGACAAGAAGGAAATGTACTGGTAGCTCACGGTCTATTCGTTCAAAAGTATAATAAGTTTTTACGTTGCTATTGTAGATAAGTAAAAAAAACAATGGATCTTGTTAGCGAACCAGCAATTGACATGCCAATGAGTGACTAAGACAACATATGAGCGAATAGTTATGAAAAACATAAAAAAGTGAGATTGATTGTCAAACTTTCGAATAATAATAATCGGCAGAACAACATTTGAAAACGGATCAGGGACGATCGAGAGTAGTTCATCGTTTGCGATACTCGGCTGATGATGCAACTAACCCAACGTAGATGAGTCGTGCCCCCGGATAATATGGGATAATGACCTTCGTCGACGTTTGTCTCGATACCCGATCATCAGACTGAATTGCTGACGCTCGTCTATCTTATTTGAAAAAAATTAATACATAGAAAAGAGTTAAATGTAAGCAGATGAGCAGGAGCTCACGAGATGGGCAATTGAAGCTACTGATACTCAACAGGTCATTTGAGATAAGAAAAACAATGTGTGAACTGAGTACGCATGGGAGAGATAAGTTCATATTGCCTAGAGCCTATTATCTCACAATATCCTCCCTGTGAACAGAGGAATTGGTAAACTTTAGGCTGGAAAGTTAAATGTAATGGGAAAATCTCTGCTCAGAACTAAAGTATGGGAAAAAATCTTTTTTTTTCTGTTTTCGGTAGTATTAGATGTGGGAGGGTTGAACTAAAGAGAGACAAATGAATCATACCAGTGTAGGAGGCTAAGTTTATCAGTTATGAAAAACCAATTATCGGAGTTCAGTGGACAACATTCAAATATTTTGATTTTCTAGGACTTTACTGTTTGTATTAGTGGAAAACAATATTATGTTATGAGCGAAACGATATTAGAGATTACAGCAATGAGAAGAGCCATTTGAAACGGCTCGAACCATTGCCGTCCAAGCCAATTGCGTTCAGTTTATTGATATGGAAGCGCTCTTCTGTTAGAAATCAAACAACAAGAATTGAAAGGAGCTTGTCTCTGGGTGTGATCGTGAGGAAGAAGTATGTTTGCCAATTTTTTTATCATCGCAAGCTGAACATGATGAAAGGACAGATGAGAAGGAGTATTAATAAAAGGCACTCCCTTGAACAAAGTCCTGTACAATACAATCGTCTCACATGCAATACTTCTGAATTCAGGGAAGTTTGATAAAAGACCAGAACTTATGAAAAGAACAGTGATAAGAGAAAAAAGCGCGCTCAAACTGTGGAATATCATGTGCAACCGAATACTGTGCAGTGTGAGCTCCGAATGATATTTTGCATGTGCGGGTGTTTGTCACGTGTAATTTGCAATTTACCTGCATTTGCGTATGATTGGTGAGCTCATGTCAGAATACTGTCGGTGATCGTTTGTAACGGAACGCTGTCGACCCGGAAAGCTATGACAGCTGTCCAAATTCAAACAGTTTTCATATTAGGCGCGCAGAGGAAGAATTATCAACCAAAACGCGTTCGAATAGAAAATCGAATAAAGAAAACGGAAAAATTAATTGAAATAATTTGCGGGTTCTGGGTTTGGAGAAGAAATCTGATGAGTAGAAAAGTAATTTTTTAAGCATTTCATTTAGGGGGCGGTGATCAGAACCGATAAGAGTCGAAATTGAAGAATTACGAACAGCTGGAGTTCAAAATAAACCGAATGAATAGTTTAGATGTAAGGGTCGCTTCGATGTTTATAGTTTATTTTAAACAACCCTGTTACTCTCTCTGGAACATAGTATAGAACTCTGAGATGTCTCTTATATGAGAGAAAGTGAAAGAGGTGGTTGGCCAAGAGTCATGAAAGGATCAGAAGAGAGAAAGAAAAACAGCATAAATAGAAAACCGGCAGAAAAATATCCGGGAGATTTTCGTGTTGTCAAATATTCAGAGATTAAACATGATTAGTCCAAAAAAAAAGAGAAATATTTGCAACAATTTTTCGATTTCGAATGGTCAAACAATGTTTTAGCGCATTGTCTACGATTCAATCATTTCCAGATGTTCGAATAGACTACTTTAAGTAGTTTGGATTGACTGATCTCTTAACGCACGCAATGGATTGTGAAGTAGGATTGAGAGATGTTTCTTGAAAAACTGAACCCTCATGAGGACGTTTGCAGATGATGGAAGACAGGCTGATGATGCTGTAGCCATTTATGGCATTGGCTTTCAATCAATCTCAGATGGCCATTTTCAGCCCATCAAAGTATGATATTAAGCTATAATATGCATATGAAAGCGAACGTCACAGCAGGAAGTTCAATATGAAAATGAGGTACGATTCCATGGCGCCTGAATGACGTTTTCGTAGAAGATAATGAGGGAGATAAGAAGGTTAGTAGTATGTTTATATATATATATATATATATATATAAATGATTTAGCATTAAGTTCTACTTTCGAGAATGTTAATCGCGGCGATTATAATCATTTCAATGAGAAATAGTTTTTAAGAAAAAAACTGACGAAAATTTGAATTGAAAATTTGAAAAGGTATGGGGTTGGATGACAGCCAACAACCAGTAAACTTTCATCTTTGAGAGACAGATCGTTTACAGAAGTTGTAAAACAAGGTAAAGAACGAGGAATTAGTACCGTATCATGTTGAAATAACGAAAAGCTGGAAAGTAAATGAGGATGGGAACGTCGCCGTCTCAAACACTATTAGACAACAAATAATATAGTTGGAGTGATTATGTAACAGTTCATATCTATATATGGACATGTGTTGAGAAACAGAATGATATTATCTTTCAATCATAAGAACGCCATTGGTTAAGTATTATGATGGCTGAGTGATTGCTAATCATTAGTAATGACCAGGCTCAAAATATATTTGAACTTCATGATGTTCAGGTCAATGAAGAAGAAAAGAAATTTGAACAGACTTCACAAATTACTGCAGGCAAATGGAAAGTTTTCAATTTACAAAAAAGGAGTGCATGGTGAAGAGGAATAATGACAATTTATTTGGTAATGTACCGATCGGAGGCCGTTTTAGGGGAAAGGCATGATGGTTTTTGGGGATGTAACGATCCCAAGGATAGACAAAGCCCCTGGAGGGCAACAAAGATTAGGAAGAAGAAAGAGAAAGGCGAATAGAAGAACCGATGACTTTTGGAGGGAAAATATCCAAAAGAGGAAAGACTATGGCATTGGAAATGAAGGCGATCTGTCTGTCATCATCGTCATCATCACAGAAGTCCTATTCGTGTATTTTCTGCAGGTGGAAATGTCCTTCTTCTATAAATGAGAAGGTGTTGAAGGACAGTAACAGCAGCTGCTGTAGTTATTTAGTTTTGTACTCTTCCGTTGAAGAAAATGATCAAGATGAAGTGGTTGTGTTGAATGGACGACATGAAAAAGTGTTGAAACCATTTGCTCGCCTAATACAAAAAAGAAAAAAGGTTGTGAATGTTGGATGTGTGTACATGAAAACAGATGAATGGAAAATAAAAATTTGCTATAATCTAAGTTTTTCTTTTCGTGCTTTGAACAAGAATTCTAGACAAATCCGACTGGAAGCCAGTATGAGAGGATGTTTAAAAAATAACGTTGACAGCGCCATGTTGATAAACAACATTTTGAAGTTCAGTTGAGTCTGAACGGCTAACGCCTCATCTAGCACTTCATCTGTCAAACTATAGAAACACCTTTTCGCATTTTCAATGACTGGATATCAAAGAGGGAATATAATGAATATCTCTCAATCCTCACTTCAGAAATGAGAAGCTTGAGCAAATGAATTGGGCGAATCGTTACAGTCAAGATATATATAATGAAGCAATTGAAATTCATAAAACTGTTTCTCTTTCATTCTCTCTCTCTCTCTCTCTCTCTCTCTCTTTCTTTCTCTCTCTCTCTCTCTCTCTCAACATGGCAAATGCGTTCGAATGATTGTAGAAAGTGTCAGAAGAGTGAACGCTGAACGAAAAAAGAAGGAATGAAAGAAAACAAAACTAAGAAATTCATAATTGGATTTCAAGTTTTTCTAAATTAATCCAACGACATTCTGGTTACATTAATCATTCAATTGTCTAAAAATAAATGAGGTAGAGGGAAAGCTAATTAACAGTTCCATATGTTTTTCAGGTAAAAAAAGGTTGCCTGGAATAGGAAAGGTCGTCATAGGACTGGACGAGGTCAGGAAAAAACGAAAGTCCAAAATAAGAAAGAAGGTTATTGTCTCATAATTTGTCAATTCTTTTCTTTTTTTTTTGTCATTTCATTCGAAGTCATCGGGATTAGGAGTGTGTCATAGTTAAGAATAGGAACGGACTGTCGTTCTGATCAGAATGATTAGCAGGATTGATACACATGATTCAGAAATTGAGAAGTTCTTTCTTCTCCTTATTTCTTTTCTTCATCCCTATCAAAAGATGATTTACATAAATGGATATTTAGCGGTTGACTGGTCTCTTAGACTCCCCAGACTTTGAAGTTGTCACAATCGTCTTCTTGTTCATCTACGCTCGTTTGAATCGGATACGAAAGAGAACGATTATCCTAATCCGGTGAAAGCTGATCGTTCGATATTTATTCACAGCATCGACCTGGATCACTCAGAAGCTACTTTGCGAATGCATGGATGTCATTATTTACGTTAGAGGTAACTCTCTCAGAAAGCCTAAAACGGAAAACAAGAAAACTCAATTATAGACAGATGCATATGGTTTCCGACAAAGAGCAGCATCCGGAATCCAGAATGACAAAATGAAGAAAACCAGTATGAGGTGAGAGAAGTGCGAACGAAAAAAGAGGTTGTGACAAGAAAAAAAGGAAAAAAATAACTTTTCAAGTTCATCTGCCATATATAGGTGAAGAATCAAAAATTAGTAATTAGAAGATGGTTGACGAAGTGATGAGAATAGAATCGAGACTACTAGCTATTTGACTAATCATGTTGTTTTAGGTTTGGAACAAAAACGAATAGTCATTTCTGTCAAATGTCAATGAAAGCAGAATGAAAAAAGAAGAAAGCATTAGATGAAAACATATTTTGTCAAAAGTCTTCAGCAATAGACATCATCGTCGCTCGTTGTATATGATCATCTAGCTTCTCGATCGTGCTGATGAGAGACAAGTTGTAAAATTCATAAAACAGTTTACGCACGCATTGCTCTTTTGGTGATCTTAGACGTATTGAGTTGATGTATGTTAAGTACAATTATGAGTACGAAGTATACACATGTGTGAGGCAAATAGAATGATAGTGAGGATGCTGAAGAGTACACATGAAATTCAGACAAGCACGAGTTGATAATAAACGATTATGAGGTTAATCTGCAATTTAAAATGGAATTAGAAGACGTATATAATGTGTATATGCAGATCTGATGAGACCGACAGAAGCGTGGACAAACAGAAAGAAAGAAACAAAGATAGTGAAAAGGTATTACGATAGAAGCATTGAGGAGTAGTAGAAGGGAGAGAGAAGAAGAAGAAGAAGAAGATGGAGAGAGAAAACGGAAAGAGAAGACTTTAGATAAAGAGAAAAGGAATAGTTTGAAATCTAAGTAGGCAGAGGACTTATTCGGTTACTTGAGAAGATCTTAACTAACATTACAAATATAAATATTATTCTTCATATAGATAGAGATATTTGTCAAAAATAAGTTTCTAAACTTTAAAACATTGAAATGAGATTGTACAAAACATCTGAAAGTTGCAAAAATAATCGAATGGCTGATGTTGTTTTCCATAACTTTCATGAATATAGATTGATTAGCCAATGTGATTCTTGAAACTTCATTTTGCGCATTGATTAGATGCTGTTTATCCTAATTAGGCAATCAAGTTATGCCGTATACAGCAATAGATAGTTCAACAGCCAGATTATACAGGTCTGAATCATGTAAGTATCCATGCTTATGCTAATCTGTCACATTGAATAACGTTACGTGAAATGTACGAGATCGTCTCATCTTTCAGAATACCGATTAAGATTCATAACTACATTACTGACGTGGCAGGCTGGTTGCATTCACTGTTGGCAAATGTCAATTCGTCTTCTACAATTATCCATCTTAAAACGAGCATAGAGATTTATAGACTTTATAAGATCACTGAGTGTAAGGCCAAGTTTTTTTTTATTATCACTCAGCCCATTAACTTCTCAACCCTAATATTATTCTTTTTCATTTCGTCCTTTCTTCTATTTTTATATGCATTGATTGGCGAAGACAACTAGACTTCTTGTATCATTAGTTGTAATTAGTCGTTCTCGTCTTTTTATGTCCAACTGGTTTGCCACAATCAACCATCACGAAGTACGTCTTCGCTTCTCACAATCTTCACACCAAGAGCCGTCGTTTGACCGAATTCTTTAAGGAACGAATTTTTCCATTATCTATTATTATTTTAACCGTTTTTTATAAATTTCTCACGAATTGAATGAATGATACTGTTTTGAGATCCGCATGAGCCAGGCTGTCGTGAAGCAATGGAATGAATCAACGGCTTCTGTAAAAGTCATCAAGGTATATAACACTTTCAGGATACTTTGAATCATCATTGAATTAAGGATGTGCATAAGAAGAATTCATCAAAACGCTTATGGATAAAGAAGCCAATACACGTTTGGAGAGAGCAGTTTCTCGAAGATCGCTGTGTTTCACCTAGTCAACTGTACAAAGAGGTAAGTAGCTGTTACTCAGATAGTCAAATTTACTTTTCCAGTTACTTATTTCTGCTTTTCCTCATATTTTATTGAATGGACTCTTAATCATCTATATTCTATTTGGAGGGCTGATTTTCAGCGTTGTCGATGATGAGATTCGAAGAAAACGTTTGTCCGAAGTAGTGTTGTTCGCGTTCACTACAATTACTACCATCGGTAAGTGTTTTTCATTGATGGGAAAAATCTGACTATCTAAGGGTATGGCGACGTTACTCCAAGCAATTATATTAGTCAAATGTCTTGTATTCTATACTGTTTGATTGGAATCCCATTGATTTTTCTTGTTCTTACCAATAACGGGCAGTTCTTAACCGAGGCTTACAACATTTGGATGATGAGTTATCATAAACAGAAAGTATTATTATCTATTTTGTGAAACTTCCTGAGTCATAGTTTCCAGACGCGCTTTGATAGTCTACCTCTTTCGGTCAGTCTTATGCTATTGCTTATCCATTCCTTAATTGGTGGTTTGATATTCAGTACATGGATAGATTCAATGCCATTCATCTCTGCAGTGTACTTCAGGTTGTGATGCAATTCAAACATTTATCATACTTATCAACAGCTTTGCAGTTTCATCTCTATTGCAACTATAGGCTTTGGAGATATCACACCTACGCCGGAGAACCCTTTCCAAGTTATGATCATCATACTATACATGAGTCTAGGTACATTTAAAAAGCTGGTTTCTCATCGGTCAGATGATATTCGTTAAGGAATCATTGCCCTGTCAACACTTCTTGGTTCACTTTCATCTTATTTGAAATGGATTCATAGCATTGGACGGTGTTGATTGATGATACTTGACCAAGTTCAAATTAAAATTTCAGAACTTTCAAAGATTCGCAAGATTTTGAAGTTTGGTTGGGCGGAGATGTAATGACAATCGGAGAATTGGTTGTGACAATCTCGAAGCAGTTCCAAGTAAAAAAAACTGAGTTTTGAAATATTTTCAGTATCCACTAATTTAGGTAGATCCAAAGCAATTACAATATGTACTTCGCGACTTGGATTCAATCATTACCACCTGCATGGTATCTGAAGGTGGAGACAACTGTGCTATCGTAAAAACATCACCCGAGGAGAAACCGAAAATGATGAACTTAGTTGAGTAGAGCGCTAGATGTAAAAATTTATTAAGTTTATATACAGACAAGTTGTGCCATGGAGCTTTCACAACAACAACAGAAACCGACATTTGAAAAAAGTCCCCCGGAGGACACAAAAGCGGTAGGCACTTAAACTATGAGCGTATGGAAATTACTTTAAGGCATTACATGCTTTGGGAGTTTTGCACCACAAAATAAAGAAACAAGGATCATTCCATCGAAGTACATCTAGCGCTTCTTTGCGATCTATGTCTAGATCATTGAAGAAAAACGATCCCGAAAAATGTGATATTAGTACATGTAATGTATAAATTGAAGAGCATAAGCTATCACATTACTAACAACAAACTTTTTAGAAAATTATTAATAAAAGAAGTTTTAGACATAAAATTAATTGGAAATTGAAAATATACTTTGAGATCAGGCTTTAAACAAATTATAATCCGGACATGTGACTAAAAGCTCCCTGTCACTGGTACTACGTCACTTGTCTTTAGGTCAATAGAAAGGCGGTTGACCCATATTGACTAATCTGTTTATATTTCGAAGATCCTGTAACAACTTATTATTTCGGGATTAGTAACAAGTTCTTGCCTTTCCTGGACTTGAATTTATATTAAATTTAAAATGACGATCTGTTTGAGGAATGCTTGTAGTCAATGGTAACACAGAAACCTGAGAGTGATTATTAGATAGGAATCAAGTTTTCAACTAACTCTTTCAGAGACATTACGTTTCACTGGAGACAGACCGAACCCGCGTGGTTGGGGGAAAGGTAGAAGAGGGAGGTTAGCAGGATCATCATCCATCTTTTTAACAAAATCTTGAACTCTATAAAACAAAACAGTATCCAGTAATGCATGTGAACGCTACCTTGGTAAGAACACTTTGTTGTAGTACATAATTAGATCAACTTTCATTTCGTCTGAAGCTTCAGGCGATTGTTTGAACTCTTCGTCAGACCTGAACGATTATGATTCTAAGCACATTGTAGAATTCACTAACATCTCAATATCGCTTTTGATCACCAACACTTCACGGTAGACTTGAGAACGAGATTGTGGCTGGTGCCTATAGTTGGTCATAATATCTATGAAAGTTGTTTGCATCTTCAAAGTTTTAGCTATGATATATCTGTAATAAGATAAGTTTTCTATAAGATACGAGAACAGTGATTTACATTATGCATAAGAGGTTTTGATCGAGATGCCTTCCGGCCAACAGACTCGTTTCGGACCTCAAAACATGTTCCAATAGAGTCCAAATCATACGACGACCACGTTCGTCAACGCGAATCCTATCACACAAATCTGTTAATCTCATGCAACAGATAAAGTAGACCTGACAAAAAACATCATTTTAGTGATAAATAAACCCAAGAAACCTTTCTGAAAAACATGGCGGTTGCAGTCGAACTGTTGAATGATGGACTAGCGGTTCCATCTTCAAGACGTCTTCTTTTGGCAGGTGAATAGCTTTTACTTAATTGTCTTGATTGATTCCAAGCAATGTTACATGATGGAACGCAATCTCTACGCCTCCTGATAGCATTCCATATAGGGCTATCATTTGACCATGCCAACTCCTCCAAAACCTCTTCCTCCTTCTGTGAATAAGCAAAGTACATAAAATAATATCCCAAGTGAAGCACTAACCCTGTTCAGGTGTTTAACCATATTTCTGCTCAAACCCGGCTCTGCCCTGATTATAACTTCAATAACTTTGTGGAAAGAAATCGGAGGCAATTTCAGAAGCTGAAAGTAGTCATTGAGAATTCATGAGGAAAGTCGCAAAACCTTGACACTCCATGGAAATACTCTGACACTTCCATATGAGAAAAGTACCAACTCAATCGCACAAGCAAAAACTGATGATAAAAACTCTTCTTTCCGGAAAACGTTCTGAAAGCTGATGTTCTTTCCATTAATATTAATCTTGACTCACGCAGAACTCTAAATCTCTTCCAGGATTTTTGTCCATTTCATACTTGGCTATTCTCTCCATTAGAATGTAAAAGAGAGTGATCACAGTTGCTTGATGCTTTTCAATAGACAGAGAAATACTATGATCATTCACAATTCTGTTTTCATTCGTCTCGGACTGAATTTCCTCTACGAATCTGAAATCCGAAACTTAATCAGAACACTTCGTCTAGGTACCTGATCGCCAGGTTTTCTGCGTGTAAGGCTATAGTAGGTAGAGGGTTGTCACGCATGCTCTGACAGCATTGTTCCAGGAATGAATTCTGCAAGGTACGATTTATAAGAATCGAGAACTAATTAATTTACGCGTAGTGTCCAATCAGATGGAATCAAGGCAATAAGTCTGGATATATTGTGCAAAGAGCTAGAGAGAGGAGTGAGAGGGAATAGTTGTTCAGACGAAATGATATAACTATAACAACAACAAATGAAAATATAAAAAAATCAAAGTTCGAACCTTTTAGCTGACAAAGGTGTGCCTGTGTTCTTTTGTTCTGACAACCTCTCCAAACAATTCTGAGAACGGTTATACATATTGCTACTATTCCTAATATATATTAACCTGAGTAGACATTCTGAGTAAGAGCTCCGCATCAGCAAAACTCGCGTCACCGCTTCCACGTTTCAATAGTTCAATCGGAGAACCTGAAAAGTATGTATCAAGCCGGGCTGGAAAGACGGAACTTACAATCATACAAACTATCAAATACTTTGTCGACAGAAGCAGGAAGAAATATTCTTTCGTCTAGTTCAGCTCTTTTAGTAATCAGTTCAGTGTACGAACGATTCCAAACTTCTCTTCAAAGTGACATATATATAAGAGCTTGAAATGAGTTAGCTTACATCAACTCTTGATGCCTGGCGATGATACCGCCTTCCACATCTCGACCATTGAAAAGGACATGGTCCCTTTTGATATTATAGCTAAATTGAACCATTTTGAAATTGCTTAAGTTCATCAGCTTACATATGAGTCCTGAAATGCTTAGCATCCAAAACAATCCCATCAAACCGACGGCACAAACATTCTAATGCACCTTCCCCACAGTCCAACATCTGTTGAGCTTTAACACCATATTTATGAGAAATACTAAAAACAAGGAGATACCAAAATCTTCACTAACAAGATTCTCCATGTTACAAACACACAGCTCATTATAAATCTGCTCGATAACACATAACAATAAGTGAAAGCTGTTAATCAAATCCTCAGATGGGAATGATTCTGAAAATGTGATCGTAAAAGCAGCAGCTATCTAATCACTTACTTTTCAACAGTAGAAACATGGTCCAGATCAAACGTAACAGGTTGGTCGTGGAGAAAACCTCATCATTTTCCACATTCATAAATAAAGTTCGGAATATTTTTAGAAACTTTTTGTAAACAACAGCGGATACAGCCAAGGAACTCTACATACTATGGATGAGCATACCAAGAAAAAAAAATGATTTACTTGAACTTTGTTCAGATGATCCCTCATCTTTTTGCTGCTTGAAGTTGTTTCGGTCCATCTTTCCATTTTGTCAAAGAATTCCATAGCACTGCGTTTTCCGTTGTAATGAGGTGAACAAGATATAAAACTGACCTTATTCCACAAACACATAGTATATTAGCTAAGCTCAGAGAAGTAGGTGATTTACTTGTTAATTTCTTCGAAATCATCTGAGAATATAAGGCACACGCAATCCAGGCATTCGGGTTCCCCTTAAACATCGTAATATTGCGAGAAAAGTCAACGAATGTACCTCGAGGACAACATATTGAGACGATGAATGATACTGCTTCCAAGCTTGAATACTGAACTCCTCTTTATCAAAATGATCAGTCTTCTGAATTCCAAGTCCTTCAATGATCGCAAGAAATTTTTCACTGGGTTCCGGAGTTTCTCTTTGAGCTGTTAAGTGATGGAGAGCTAATCGGTTTACAATCGGAGATGGAGGCACAACAATCTTAGACACTAATGAAGATTCTTCGTCCATTTGGTTGATGTGTCCCTGTGTTTGGGATTGTTCGATCTAAAAGACGGCAAACAACTTTCTCATCTTGGATATTATATTCTCACTTCATCTAATGGTTCTGCTTTTATCGAAACAACTGATGCTTCCATTTTGAATGGTATGGACCCTGAAAAACAGTTTATAACATGATAACAGCAGTCGATTGAAGAAAGTGCGAAAACAATGACAAGAATCCTACTGCACTGAACATAATTAATTGGAATATTCAACTAAAACTTCTGTTAAACTCTGAAGATACACCTTGGAAGCGTGCTAGATGTCATAAAAAGCGGTATGCTATTTTTCGATTTCCCTCTTTCGCGCTCTTATAGGGTACTGTAAGTAAGAGCAGTACTGGATGAGAGAGTATCCAAGATGTGTAGTGTGCCAGACAGTTAGAAGTCCTTTAAACGATGAAATGAAGCAAATCCCCCGTCATCAACTTTAGTGATAAACTAACAAACTGCTTATCATGTTTTTTTTTAACTCTTCAAGTTAAATTATTTAAATGATTTATGCTAGCTTAAAGCTTCTTCTCAGAAATAATGCTAAATACAAACGTGCTTGAATCGTTTTTTTGCGCTCCCTTCAAACTCATGATCTGATGTCGTCTAGCTTATTTTAAGCAATTTACCTTCAGACGTTTTGTGAATGTCATTCAAAATATGATTGTTGATCTTGTGAGTGCTACACAGAGAGAGGATTGGGAACAGACTCGTCAGTTATTGTACCGACACTGGATCACAGAATGTCCAAAACTGTTTAATCCCAGTCCCGAGCAGCCATGGGAGTCAGTAAGCGAAAGTGTCATCAGTTAGTTTACTTATTTTATAATGTTATTGTTTGTATTATCATTAGGCCCTTCTTTGTTTTTACCGATAGCAGGAGCTCTACGTGTAGATTCTCAGGTTAACAACACAAGCTTAGTTAGCCTGAATGCAGAGGCCGGCATATCCGATGATTCCAGTAAAGCTGGTAAAATATGTGGACATGTTTTTAAAGTCGGAGAGCTAACATATATGTGCAAGTGAGTTTTTGTTGCCCCTATAAGCATGCAAGAATGTTTTTTTCAGAAATTGTGCTACTGATCCTACGTGTGTAATGTGTCGTGAATGTTTTATGCGCTCTGAACATAAAGATCATAAATATAAGGTTTTGCATATTATTATTTTGTTTTTTATTTGCTCAAACTCAGATTCGCGCTTCATCAGGACATGGATATTGTGACTGTGGTGATCCGGATGCTTGGAAAAAAGGCTACGCTTGTGCTGCACATGCTCCCAGAACCAATTCTGAACAGTATGATTATGATGAGATTATGTTCCTCATGTTAATCCTTTTCAGCCAAGATTATGTGATACCACAAAATTTACAGTCTCGTCTCACAGAATTGTTCTCAATAATCCTGCAATATTGCAATAGCCTTGTATGTTGGGATGAAGGTGAAACTCTACCATTCTTTTTAAGAAAGTATGTTTTTTGCTTAACTTTTCCATCTTTTATTGTTGTCTTAGAATCGAGGAAGAGATTGCTCCCGCCAATCCAAGCTATATGACTGTACTTTATAACGACGAAACCCATACTTATGAGAATGTAAGCATTCGATTTTTTTTGTTTCATCACATTTTAATACTTCAGGTTATAAGAGCTTTAGAATTATTTATTAATTGTACCAAAGAACAAGCTATGCTAATTGCGACAATCGTTGATCGAGAAGGACGAAGTGCGGTAAAAATTGGTTCACGGCCTGAATGCGAAAGAATTCGAACAGAAATCCAGGTACTAGAGTTATAGTTCGAAACACGTTATCACTCAGAACCAGAGAAGAACATCCCGGGACACAAACAGACGGACCGAAAAGAATGGTCCGCTAGATGTCAAAATCATGGAAACTGCTTTAGTAGCTCATCAAGCTAATGCTATAAACCTAATGGCTTGGACAAACCAGCAACTTGAACTTTGTCGTTAGTTGAATCTTATCTTAATCTATGTATTGTTAACTTCTGTAGCTTTCTTGAGTGAATTAATTGGTGATGTTCTCCTCAAAGTTAATGCCCTCGACCACCAAGAAAGTTTGATGGAAGTCGATGGCGTTCAAAATGAAACCTTGCTTGTCCGATTCTTACGATATAATCGACGAATGTGGAAAGCAGCGCGAACAAATATTCATCAGATGTTAATGAAAACTGTACTTATGAATCCTGCACAGAAGTATGAATTTGCTAAAACATTCTTGAAGGTACTATTTCTGTTTTGGCAGTATTGAGCTCTGAATTTAGCATTACGAAGTCATGTATATGGATTTTGTGGATGATGATCATGATCTGCTAGTATCTATTGTTAGTTTGTCTGTTCAGTTCTTAACTGTGCCAGGAATTTCCAAGTAAGATCCTTAATCTTTCTCGTTTTCCATTCAGCTGTTTTCAGACGTTTGATCGCCGAGGAAAATGCATTATCTGTTATGCTCGAAGCACTGAAACAGCATTCAAGCAAATATATCAAAAGTAAATTCCGTTAAATGCAGTACTTAAATAGTTTTTTTATTCAGCTCTAGAAGGGAAAACTCAGCAAATGTTTGATTTCACGAACCGTTCGTTCCCAGCGGTATTGAAAAGAGCAATGAATATGACTCGGGATTTAGTGTATGAATCATTTTGGTCGGGCTCTCTAAAATTTCTTTTTTTCAGGTACATCTTGAACTCTCTTCCTCAGGAGAGTGAATGGACTGAGGGTTTAGAATCCAACTTCATATCTGGATTCACGAAACTACTTGAGTTCCTGGATTATATGCAGGTAGTTCTTGATATTCATAATTGTTTATTGATCATTTGATGTTAGGGAATGGATGAAGTTAAAAGGTTATCTTCTGAACACCAATTGTGGGAATTAGAATGGGAAACAGCGTTCAATATCCAATTGCGTATTCAAGAAGTATTAGGATTATTCATTGATTGGACCACTAGCAATGTACGAGTGAACACGGAACAGAATTATATGATTATATGCATTTCAGAGAACTGTACATTTGAAACTGTTAGCTCTTTGTTTGGATGCAATGAGAAAACACCCTGTCACATCTTCCGATTCTAATGAAACTCATATGGTTATAGATCGTAAGTTCAGCTTTGTTTGGCTCTATTATTTTACTGTTCAGTAAATGAAGAGACGTCAATTTGTAAATCTTTCGATGTACTTCACGGATCTGTGTCTATCCATCAACCACTTTGGCGTCTTGCTGCCGGTCTATTTGCTGTCGGAGGAGGAACTTTAAACTTTTTCGCCGAAGGTAAGCTCTTCAAAACATGAAAAGAATATGGTAGACGAATTTATAGGCTATGAAGTTAGGGATCCTTTAGAGAATGAAATTTTACAATTTGTAAAGTCAATGAGGCAAGATATTTATGAAAATTGTTTGAGGTATTAAAGAACATGAAGTCATTAATGAATCTTAATTAATGATTTAAGAGTATCTGTTCTCTGTGCTCAAACCAATGCCCAATTATGGAGAAGAAACGGATTCTCTTTAATTAATCAAATTCATAATTATTATTCTCCTCTATGTCGAACGGAAATGTTTGACAGAGACTTGCAAATGCTACAGGTCGGAGCCGCACTGTTCAAGCCTTCAGATTTTGTCTTACATCTCATTACTAGGTAACTTGCGTATTTTATTTCCATTAAAGTCATTTTTATAAAGATTCCGTTTGACTGAATGGGCTGATATCAATCTGGATCTTTCTGGCAAAGCTCAGAGTCCCATAAAGTTAGAACCCGAAGAAAATAGCAAAGTGATTGTTTCGCTGGCCGAAGATATGCTTAATCTACTGATCCAAATTTGTGGTAAAGATTTTTTCAACTTCTGTTTCTTAATACCCTTATTAAGGAGAAAGATATAAACCAGGTTTGGGAAAATGTACCTTGAGAGATTTACTTAAAAGGGAGGTTGTTCATGTTCTATGTATGGATGCGCATGCCTTCAGTAAGGTATGACTTTTCTAAGTGAAAGGACAGCCGTTAACTAAGCATGCCCAAAAAATATGTTTTCATTTCCAATTTTTACGCATGTCAAGCGGTCGAGTCTTCGCATTTTCAACAAATCGTGTGAATCTATTTCATATTGTATGTTTTTCAGATAGTTAAGAAGATGCCTACTGATCCTCAATTGGATAAGGTCTCTCTTCACGATGTTGTTAATGAGGTTGCGGAATTCAGGTAAATGCATTTTTTTGATTGAATTGTTTGACATTCCTCTATTAAAGAAAACCTATGCTTACTTCTGCTGGACAGTTCTATTTGAAAGAAGAATATCTACGGGACTACAACCCTTTCTTCTACCATTACTCCAAGAGTGATATATCTCAAGCAGAGCTACATCAACATAAAGTCAGGTCGAAAATGGATAGGTTTAATTTTTCTCTGTTTCTAATTTTTACTCGAATTTTAAGATCCCTGAAAGCATGTCCACCGAGCATCCCATGCGAATTTGAACATTTTTTCGCACCCATTATTGAATTACTCAGGTGTAAAACAGTGATTCGAGTTTGCAAAGTTGTGATTGATAGATGCTTGAAGTGTCATCGGTTCTCTAGTGATCGGTTATTGCACAGAGTAAGTTCGCTGATTTCAGCTCCTTACAATGTGTTTTACAGGCTTTGTTCCTTATTGGAATGGGATTACAAGAACAAGAGAGAAGTACAAATAACTCATTCGATTACGTTAGTCAAGCGAACGAGGAAGGACTTTTACAATTACTTGAAAAAGTACATGATGCCCATTTCTCACAAACACATCACGATCTAGTTTGGTGGACAATGACGGTTTGAGTTTAATGCTTATTAAATATTTATACTTCTTTTTTCAGAAGTTCAAGCAGATTGAGAACAAACTGAAAGACTGTGAAACTCCTGAAGTTCCAAAAGAAAGCGAAAAAGAGGAAGCTGCTCCTTCTTCTGCTTCCAGAGCGGCGAAAGGAGCAAAGTACCGGGAGATGGCAAGACAACGAGTAATTCAGATGATTTCTCAACTTTTCACCAATATATTTACTTAGATGATGAAACTACAATCATCTTTCCTGAATAGCATGCAGACGGAAACTTCGAAAACCGATGCAGCACCTCCGGCCGGTGAAACTGCTGCAACAGCGACTGCATTGAATAACCGAATAGATGAAGACGAAGATTTCCCCATGTAATGGGTTTAATTTTATTTGAATTGAACTGTTGATTCTTACAGTTGTGCTACTGACAGCGGTTTCCCAGTATGTCTTGGTGCTAAACGTACGAAAGTTGTTCATGTAGAACCAAGAAAGGTATCATAGATTATGATTTCTGAAACAAAATATTCTTTATAGTTGACTTGTATTCTTTGTCAAGAAGATGACATCTCCTCTCCTGATCAGAATCGACCGTTTGTATGTGCCGCATATGTTCAAAGGTATTCATTATCTTATTGTCAAAATACTAAACTGTTTTTACAGATCTCAACTCTTCTCGCAGAAAAATGCTGAAGAGCCTAGTGCAAAATCGTTGAAAAACTTTTTCGTGTCGGCTGGTCTGCAACATGGGATTGACGCTTCTACATGCTCACATACTATGCATTTTGAGTGTTTCACCAAGTAACGTGGTTTCTCAGTTCTGAAATATTTGTATTATTTGCAGCCTGCTAGACAACCTTCTTGGGAAAGAGAGGCAACGTCCTAGACAGCCACTACACTTCCCTCAGCGTCTCGTTGACATCGAAGTATATCAGTTTTTTCAATACTCCTAATAAGTTGTTATTCAAGACTGGAGAATATTTGTGTCCATTATGCAAGCGACTTTCTAACTGTGCTATGCCAATTCTACCATCTCATTTTGTGATGAACGTTCCTGGGTACGTACGCATGACACTCCCTCTTGAATTGATTTTTTTTTCAGTTTCTCATCTGCTAGAGCTGATGTCGAAGATACTTTCGAAACGTGGTACAGTAAGGTGAAAGGTATTCTGAACTCACATGGCAAGCAATCTCCTTCTTTGAAACGTAAATCTCACAATCGAAAACGGTACCACTAATTTTCTCCTATAATATACGTTTAAACTTTTCCAGTTCTCATTCGGAACGTTCACTTCTGGATCTTGCTAAACAAGGACATGCATTTTTCGATTCACCCAGAGACATTGCGTTATCCAACTCTGTTTCGAGCGCTTCTGCCATGTCTCTGCTGATGGATTCTGAAGAACAAGCTGAGAAATCGGGTGAAGCCTCTTCATCTAGTCAATACATGGGTTTGTCGTTATACAAGATCGTTTCATTTGTTTTTTTATCAGACTTCCAAGACATGACTGAACTCCAATCGGAATTCTTAGCTGCTGTGGAAAGTACACGTAGAGAACGCAAAGATCCCAAGTTTGCTAGTAGCTTCGCCAATATCCTACGCAGCGTACCGGGCCTAGCGTTGATCATGAGGAATAACAAAATGTAGGTTTAGCTGCTTTATACTAAACGCAATTGGTCACTTATAGTGTGGGAACTTCTTATGAGAGGTATAACGATGTCATCAGGGCTTTCTGCAAAGCTTTAACTAAAGTAAGGCAACTTGTCGGTTTAAGGTGATGCCAAATTCTTTTCAGAATGTTGACGATAAGAACAAAGAACTCTTTGATGACAGGATGCGCGGATATTTGTTTGCTACTACTGTTTGGCAAAGTACTGCCCATGTATTGCGGTCAGCTTCGTCTAACTTGAAAACCGAGAACAAACCCCTCTTTGGAGCTCTCAATACACGACAAGTATTTTTCACATTGTTATGTTTTGACATTCATATGCATTTAGCGTGATTGTATCACAGCCATGGGCAGACTATCCGCAGCCATGTCTCACTCCCTGCAACATATGCAGCAACACACAATACTGGGGCTGAAAGCTCTTCTTGGTCGTCCTCCTGTAAATGCACCGTCCTTACCCACTTCTCCTGCTTCTCCAGAGATATGTGCAACAAGTCCTCCTTCATCTCTTCCTACTAGGTTACTTTCATTACTCAATCATAATTATCTCTTAGTTACAGTCCCGTTGCAACAACATCTCCTGAATCATCTGTTCAAAAACTGTCGGGTCCTCTGCTAGAGTTTCTCTTTAATACCCATACAAAAGCTTCTAGTCCTTCAGCATCTGTGAATTTACTTCATATTGACATACTCAGTCTGGCGGTATTCAAATTTTCTTCGTTTCTCATTTACTCTTCTCCATTTTAAGATTTCACTTTCTATGTGTATCGGATGGACTTGGAATAATGGTGTACAATTTTCTTCAGCATCTCGTAAAGATTGTGAAATGATACCTGATGGTTCTGCTGACGAGCAATACTGTATTCGTCTATGCTTACTAGGCCACTACTTCCAGGTTAAAAACTCGCATCATATTCAATTTTCTTTTTCTAAAGGTGTTCGCTACATTCGAAGATACAGAATCGAAAACTGAAGTCAGCTCTGATCCCGTTTTCGAGGAACGTGTCAAGCAACTCTGGTTGGCTGGTAGACCTTTCGATACTCCACTTGTGAATGCAAATGTACTTTGTGCGGTATGACCAAAAACACAATGACGGTGTTAAATTCTCTTTATAGCGTTTGAAAGAAGCTACGTTCATCATGCTTCGACCAATAGCACTGTTATATCATGTCATCACTATGGTTGAACCCCCTGAAGCTCTTAAAGGTTTCTCTAACATCGTCTGTTCTCTCTATAATTCTGTTCAGATCCTTCTTTGGATGAATTCGAACCTTTGTGCAGATACTTGGGACTACCCACTAGCATGATCGATCTAATGAGCGGATCAGTGATTGAAGAGCTTTTCGACATGTTTGATTATTTATTTGAAATCATCTAGTTTTTATTGTTGCAGGTGGTCATTGGCTATTCCTCATCCATTTGAGAGAGGAACTTTAGCTCGTCAACCGATTCATCCGAATATGCTCATAGATCTTCCAGAAGATTTCAGTGAAGTAATTCAATGGGCTACCAGTTTCAGGTTGTGTAATCGAAGCGTAGTCAATTAATAGAAGTGTTCAGATGTCCAACTGTTCCTTTTGATGAATCTGCATCGAATATTCCTACCCTCTGCTTGATTTGCGGCACTATACTCTGTGCTCAAAGTTACTGCTGTCAAAAGCAGGTATGTTGCTTATTAATGTATGAATATCACGTTTGCTTGTGTAGGTGGGAAAAGAATCAGCCGGAGCTTGTCGTTTTCATACGGAAAAGTGTTCTGGGCCGATGGGAATATTTTTAAAGTATGTTTAATTTTGAACTGAGTGGTATATGTTTTCATTTAGAATTCGCGATTGCACAGTGTTCTTGCTCACTTCAAGAGCTCGTGGATGTTTCCGACCTGCTCCCTATGTTGATGAGTTTGGCGAAACCGATCAAGGATTTAGGTGACTAATAATAATATAGCTCGTTTGCTAACAATGTCGGTTTAGACGTGGTAACCCTCTTAGACTCAATGCTCAGCTCTACAAAAAGTTGTGTCGATTGTGGCTAACTCAAGGAATCAGTGAAGAAATAGTTAACCAATACGAGATTGATCCTCGAAATCATCAATATGATTGGTCTCATTTCTAACTCGTGTTTCTAACTACTTCTTAAATATTTATCGTAGAGCCAACTTATATTCAGAGTTTCTATATTACATCTTGTATCCCTGTGGTGTCGTAGATCATTTTATTCGGGTATGCTTTCCATTTGTAGCGTCAAATAGAGTTTATTACGGTACCCCTGCATTAATGGTTATGTGCATAGCTCAACTTTAGTCAAAACTCTTATTATTATACTGTGTTCTTAATAACGCCTCATATAAGTCAACAAACGTTTGCTATCTTAATAAAAAAATTTTATTTTGTTCAATCAATTCTCCATTATTTGTTGTAAATACTCTTTCTGCGTTTGTTCAATTTGCCTTATTGCTGCTGCTTCAGCCCTTAATCTCTCCAATTCCACCTGCCGTTCACGAATAACTATCTTAAGTCATAGAATGAAGTGTGATGTTCAAATAAACATTCAAACGCTACCTGTGTTTGTTGAAAATCTGCCATATTCTTACGGCTTGCTGATTTTAACTCGGCCCTTGTGTTCATAGCTTTTAGTTTCTCTGCTTCAACTAAGGTTGCTAACTAAACTAGTGGTTATTATACAGTTTGTAGAGCCACTACTACCTCTTCCATCGTTTTCTGCAAAGAATCAACGTGAGATTTGAATCCGGTTAGCTGACCAGTAAATTCTTTGCAATCAGTTTGGAGCTCGACGAACACTTCGGATACTTCTGGAATGGAAAAGTATGATCATGAACATCTCAATGGAACAGACCTGGGTTGAGTAGACGCAGTCTATTCAATTCATCAATATGAATACCAGCTCGTTCGAGAATGCTGTTCAGTTTACTATCTTCGGACATTTTGAAAATCTTAGCGACTCAATAGCGTAAAGTAGCTCTGGCCCGCGTCACGTTGCCATAGTAACAGAAGAGCTTCAGCAGAATGTATTAGCCAATCATACTATCCCACATATGGTAGTAATGATAGAACTCACAGAATTGAAAAAAAAGATTGGAAAGATTGGAAGAGTTCACAAAATGAGAAAAAAGGTTTTTACAATAATCAGATGTCAAGAAAAAATGTCCGATCTTTTAGTCACTCTCCAACAATATGTTATTTTATTTTTCATCCATTTGTAAGTGTACTTTTCGACTACAAAGATTTATGATAGTTATTTCATTTGAGTCGGATATACCTTTCCTCGTTTCATCCAATGCTTAAACTAACGAGGGAGTTTAATTTTTTTGAAGATTAAGGATGCTCTCGCTGTTTTAAATTTACTCCAATTTTTGAAAGATTTCATCAAGCAGTAGCAGCAGCTTTGTAGCTGTGTATATCTCACTTCGTTATTGTAACGATGGAGAAGGATATTACCATTAACTTATAGACCCATCATAACTTCAACTTCACGTTGACTGTGAATTAGGCTCATAAATGATACGCAAACTTACGTGAAGTTTGTATTTTTTTGAGAAAAAAATATTTGAATTTTGAAATGCTTTGAACTAATACACTGAATGTGTTTTGTTTTCTCTGTTCGAGTTGGTAGCTTCATAGATTTGCTGAGAAATGTGTAATTCTTTCTAGCTCGTTCATGGAGGAAGACAGTAGGGCACAACTGTCTGATGGAGAGAATGATTCTGAACGCCACAGAGTACGTTAATCATGTAGTCGCTGAAAGAATTCAGAAGTTGTTCAGGAGCAAGAGGCGGAAAGAATCAATCAACGGCTCAACAAACAACATCCTAAAAGCAGACTAAAGCAAGGCGCAAAGCTGCGGGAAACGTATGAAAGTATTGCAAGGGGAATCACAGGTTGCAACAACGTAGTGAATAATCAATCGAAACGCTTTAAGTTAATGAAAAAGAAGAAGCTGAAAAGGTTGATGAAAGTTTAGTGAAGAAGGTCAGCGATGCTATCCTTGAAGCTGATTCCTTGTTCTCACTGGTAAGCTAGAATTCATATCTGTTCATCTTAGTATATATATCATTCAGGTTCGGGAAACTGGTGATTCGAAACAACTATGTAATGATGCGAGTGTGCTTCAATCAGCAGGAAGAGTTCTCTTGAAGCAAATAAACGATATTTCAGTTCAAAATACTGCACGAACTTTGAACTTATCAACTTATGCCATGAGAATGGTTAGTAATTATTCTTATAAGATTAATCATCACATGCTACAGAGACGTTATGCCCAAGAGGGGCTAGAGTGTCAGACCAGATTGGATCGTGAACTCAATCCTCTCATGATAGAGGATGAAATTGATAACTCCGATGATGAAGATTTAGATTCTCGCAATGACGAGTCATCTAGTTCGGTGTCGAATGTTTTTGAGACAGTTCTGACCTTTCCGCTTTTCAGATGAGTAAACGGGAATGGGCATATATAGGAAAAAACTTAGGAAAACTACTTCACAATCCTCCCACTCTTTCTTACTTGTGAGTATACCTTTGTAGTCAAATTATGATACCTGTATTTCAGACGTCCACTTCTGAAAGACGAAGATCCCGCTCCTACCGAACATAAACCGAAAAAAGAGAGAAGAAAGGTTTGTCCTGTTGAATGATTTTTGGAGAAGTTTTGAAAAAGGCAGATGATAAAGAAGCTCGTGTGGTTGTCCGGCGAAGAGAAGATATTGAAGACAATTCAGATGAACTAGCTGTTAGTAAAGAGGTATCGAATAATCTTATGCTCTTATATGCGGACTACTTCAGCTGGCATTAGTGTCCAAAGCTCTGAAAAAAGCTTTCCAAAGACAGAAGAAAGATAAGATTGATTACTACTCTTTTGTAATCGACCCCAACGACTTTTCAAAAACAGTATGCTCTGTCGTGAAACAATTTTTCATCCTTTACAATTCTAGATCGAAAATATGTTTTACGTTTCGTTCCTCGTGAAAGATGGAAGAACCAAGGTGTTATTAGAAGATGGGCTACCTTGTTTAAGTAAATACCTTTATTTTCACTTAATTCTTGTTGCCTTTCCAGTGAAATTAAGTGAGGGAGAGAAGAAATATATCAGTGATAATCCCAAATCAGCCTTGGTATCCCACCAGTCTATTCTATCGTTCTCAGTGCATGAATGGAAGGTATTGAAACCAAACTCTTTTCTCTTTCACAAATTACTATCTTAGGCAATGAAAGAAATCCTTCAAATTGAAGAGCCAGCTATTCCTAACACAAGCAAATCCTCGTGATGACACAAACCAATTGTCATTATGATTCTCATTATGGTCTCATATTTATTTTCAACTTACTAATACAATTAATGTTTTACAATTTCGAGAATAAGATAAACGTAAAAAGAACTTATTCACTGTAAACGACCGGTTCTTTTCTCTGAAGACTATCCCTCGCTTTAGGATTTCCTTGCAAGATGCGAGCTGACATATAAACATCGAGCACGAAAGAAATGCAGACCAAAATGCAAAAAAGCTAAATTTAGTTTTTTCTTTACAGAAATAAGAGCAGGTGAAAACTCACAGCTGCGAAATACCAGAGTGTGTGTTGCCAGCGTAAACTGCTGTACGACATTGTGATGGAATTTACAAAAAATAGGAAAGCTCCGGAACCACAGTAGATTATTTCCTAAAACTTTATCAATGTACAATACAGGAGATTGCTAATCAAACCCAGAGTATCCAGTCGATGGATTTCGTTGTGTTATGCAGATTGAATGAGAAAATTATTACAAGCATTGGTGAGATGATAGATACTTAAATGTACAATTATTTCAGTCCTTCAAGTTTGTTCAAACCTATTGTGCATACCATAAGACTGGCATATGTTGGGGAAAATTGGGAACCCACTGAACCAATCAGACACAAAGATACTAGAGATCCTATCTTCAAAGGGTTTATAATGTAATACACTTTTGAAACTTTTCGAACCCCTTGAAAAACTCTCAAACCAGACTGGGGTGTTGCCAAATTCCATTTAATGAACTGTGGTAGTTCTGAGTGTTCATGCTGTTGTCTAAAACTCAAAGTTAAAAATAGTTGTAAGCTGAGAGCTAATCTAACAGGATTCCTTGACAGAAGAGTAGGAATGTAAACAGCAGAATGAAAAAAAGGAAAACAAACCTAGTTGTGTTGGACATATTGAAATGGAACTAAAATCAATGAGACAGCTTTACACATTCGAAGTGTTCACATCAATATTACCATGTTTGTTCTTAGACTGAGTTTGATCTGATAAGCAAAAGCTATGCGGTTCCCATGCTATTTCAATACTTGTGGGCATGAATAGTCATTATAGATGAGAAACTTATCAAATAAAGTTCAGGGTGCATCGCTTCTCATCAGCCGTCATTTACAGCCTTAGCCCTCCATAATTTGTTGCTTTCAGCAGTATGTTTACATTCAATTCTCTCTTCCAGAGGCTCTAGAACTAATGAAGAAGAAAGGTTTCTCTATATCGATAAACGAGAGTAAAACCATTCGTTTGGAAAAAGGATGAGCAAATAATTTTTTCTATTTTACTATATTTAACGCCTCATTCATTTTTCTTCGTCATAATTAATAATTTAACGTGAAAGGTGTTATTCTCTTGAGTACTAGCATAGTCCTATCTTATCTTCAAATCTGACATTTACAAACTTTTTGATTTCCAAAATTCAAAAGTGGACGCCTTTTAACACGTATATCCACATACATCGGCGCTCCAATGTAATTAGCATAGACGTTCACGCGGGTTTTCTGCGACAACGTCTTTTCATTTCGGGAATGAATGGTGATCGGTTGTGTTTGATTTTTTTTCAATTAAAATGAGTTTTCAGTGTTCTGTATGTTTAAGTAATTTCTTCCCTTCGTTTTATTTGCTCAAATTATAGAGTTCATTCGTCATCCATTTTCAAATTGTACAAGTGTAATTATACAGTTTCTGGATGTTCTACATTATGCTAGGTACGTATACTAACTAAGTAATATTTGTATCCTTGTTTGGTATTGACCTATTATTGTCGATTGATCGAACCTGATGCGCGAGTCTGTGACTGAGAAATGAGAAAAAGAGAGCTTTTTTTATTTGCCGTAGACAACTCATATTTGCCTAACATTTACTAGCTTACTAAGACTGCTCACTTTTGTTCAAAAAGTCTCTGTGTGTCGCACTATAGAGGAAATTCTTTACTATTGTTAAACTGATAGTGAAAAACTAACTTTATGGTTTATTCTAAACAAAATAATAGGCGGTATGGGAACAGTATTTCTTGTTTCCAATGCTTTAATCCTTCACAAGTTCAACCGACATGGGTGAACTCGAATCTCGAACGCAAACCTGATTTTCGTGTCCTAAATCGCTATATCCCTTAGAATTGATACGCTCCATTTCTATGAAGATATTGGAAAACGCTGAATTTTCAGCCCACCAATACAAGGATTTCAATGTGTTCCATCGTTTTTTCAATATTTAGTCACTTTATGATCCCTTCAGTACTTCCTCTGCTCTTTGTTGGTGACTTGATCTTTTATCGTTCCACCATTAACACTTCGTTTGTTGAACATGCAGAGCAATGAATGTCCGAAACGTGCGCAACTCTTGAGTGAAGTACTGTTAGCCATTATGGCCAACTTCCGTTCTCACCACAGACGCCCTTTCTCTGTATGCTTAGTTGTATATTCAGAAGACCATATTTTCCAGGAAGATAATAGAGAAGCATATTTTTCTAAACTTAGAACGATTAATAATCCGTTTGTATGCATTTCTATTTGACTGTTTATAGAATGTTAATGGAATTCAATATGTTGAGAAGTTTGAATGGTTGATTTAAAACCAACAGTTCATATGGTGAAAACGTGCAGAGCCATTTCTAGAAGCATTCAGTAACGAGAGTAGTCTTCGTTCACACTCTCGTCATAATAAAACCTCTACCTCGTTTAGCGATTCAAAAATCTTGAATAGCTTATGTATAGTTCTGAGTAGATCTCCCTAGGTAGTTTCCCCAATTTTCAGATGATGATATGATGATACTTCATTAATATTTTGCTTGACATCCTTTGGCATTGAGCCATTTCTTTCTTTCCTTTTCTGTTTATATTTCTGCGCTTTCTTTTCTTGTTTTTTATCTCTCGGAAAGAAACATATCAATCATAGATGGCCTCTGTTTAATCGCTTTCCTTGAGAGTCCTGATTTACGTTATCTGATATGTATGCATTATATGTCTGCATACGAGGAAGAGGTTAGAAAAAATGGTTTTCGTTGACAATAGAATCACAGTCTCTTGAGCCCTCACCTTTTCGCTTTCTTTCAGAACATTCATTATCGTTTTTCCCATTTTGCTGGATTTCGATTCAATCCGTCTCTCTACCTTCGTGTCCCAATTCCTTAGTCATCAATCCAAGCGCGCCCTCATCATTTCCTGACCGTCAGAAAGAGGACATATGCAGTAGGCAACCCTCAGACATCAGAATATCGTTCAATCGATTCCTGGTTGCCTCTCTGAAAGTTTCACAAAAGGTTAATGTAACTAATTCTCAATTTGAGTGCATTCACCTCATTAAATTCTGCGGAATACGCAATAAAAATAAAAAGTACTTATCCAATCGTTATTATCATCACATCAATCAATGATTAAGACGTAAGGAGTGTCTCAATAGCATATGAGCATTTTTTCGTACTTTACATTTCAAATTCTTTCTATGCGGTCATACTAGTTTTCAAGTTCCATGTTTTAACTTTCAAATGTCCTTTTTATGTTCTATTGAAAGTACAAATAATCAAGTATTTTCACAGTTTCAACAGGTAATCAACGTTTGCTTTGTTATACACGTCATGTATTGATGAGAGATTCTTGTCACCAGAAGTTGTCGATAATTGGGAAATCTGAGGAAACATAGTTCTATGTTGTTTCGGCAAATTTCGCTTCAAAACTGTAGTTTTGTCGAAAATTTAAACTGTATCTCTCTAAATCCATATTCCGAAACATTTCCCGTTCAGTCAGACTTGTTTCTACACATTTTGATTAAGTTCTGTCATTGCTTATTGGAAATGCTGATTTCACTTTCCGTACGAAGTGTTCATAGTCAATTTTGTACATAGTTCTACGAATGTATGACCCTGCACATGAACAAGCAAATCTCTTTTAGAGGTCAACTTATCCTGTTTCTTGAACAGAAGCTTCTTTTTAAGCATTTATTCTTACAATGTAACGTCGTTCGCATTATCTTCACGTTTTTTTCCTGTTCAAGTGTTCGAGAGAACTATGGGCAGAAGCTTTAAGTGAAATTGGCGTGACTGATAGAGACATGAATCTCTTACTTAGTATTTCTCACTCAAGTATCCATAAAGTGCTTTTAGCTATAAGAAATAAAGAAAAAAGTAGTCTTTCTAATACACATACATTTAAAAACTCCCTCTTCAATTTTTCGCAGTTTTTGCTTTGATTTTATGGAGCAGTATACATATTCTAGATATGTCAGACAAGATCACTTTTCACTAGTGAAAATAGAAAGTGATCATGTTAGATGTGGAAAGTAGCCTGTTGTTAATATAACTCGTGTTTCTATTTTTGTTATGTATTGTTGTGTCCATTTATACACTTAAACTCCACTTTTTTCGCCTTTAGTAGTAAGAATTATCTTTTTTTGGGGAAGCTAAGTAACTTGCTGTCTTTGAACCAGTTCAGTCACAGTTCTCTCATTATCTCATTCTTTTTTTCGCGCCACCCAACTTCGCTTTCAGTTAATCATTTTGCACGAGCAGCGAAGGTGTATTCCTTTGTATCTTCCTTTCATTTGAGTTAGTTCATGTAATTTTCGTGCATGTGTCTTCTGAAGTGGCTGAACCGTAATGATGAGAGGACGAAAGGACAGCGACGTATGTCATGTATTTTGATAGTTGCTCTCTCTCTTTCTCTTTCTTAAATCACTGTCATACACATGACGGACATTGTAGTCAATTTCGCTTTCTAATATAAGCTTGCTGATCAAAGCTGCCTGAACACAATATCCTCAGCTGGAATGCTTGTTAGTTTTGTTTATTCTCTCTAACTAAATGTTGGAGGTGATATTTGCGTTCCGTTGACACTTTCATGTATTTTCAATGAAGTCCTATCCGATTTTGACAGCTGACGAACCATAGCTACAGTCATAAAGCTAGGCACTATTTTTGAAGATGTCATTTTTTAAATTGTTCTCATAATAGAATTCAAAAATGAACCGGTTCAAGCGAAGCTGACCGCCAGACACCTCAAACAAAGTTCAATTATATGAATATGTTTGAGGTCAAGCATATCAATTCTAAATTGAGAGCTTCTTGAGTCCTAAACTTGTGCTAGCGTTGAAAACAGTTTGTATTAATACTAGTTATTTCATCATGCACTGAACCGAATGTTTGGTTTCATTTTGATTTCTAGCTTTGATATACTCTTCTATAAATCCTGCGATCAGTTTCCCGAATTATTTTGTTTTTACTATTTCTTTCATTCAGCATGATGCATACTATTATTTTGGTTAGATTGCCGCTTTAAATGCCTTCATGATACCGACACTGTCGGATATAAACCTGTTCATCTCTTCAGCCAACCTTCCGGGTCAGAAAATCTGTATGTGGATGTTTGGATAGAATGATAACGACCTCAAATAAAAAACTCTCGAGAGCGTGAAAGTGACAAAATCTCTCATATACGGTTTTTTCTATTTGCTATCAACTCCATAGATGACGTTTAAAGTAAACCTTTTGTATCTTCACATAAATGACATTTTCTAAATGAATGCTGTACCAGATCAATCTGTCCGTCGATAAGACACAGACACTATCCTGATCAAAATCCGAGAATGTTTTTTATTTTTAATCTTCTAAGAATGTTTATATTCTCCCAATGTTGCTTTCTTGATTACGATTCAAATGAAATGTGCAGCGCCCTATGTTCATGTTCTTCCGGTTGTCTATTTTCACTTCTGTTGCGCATTTGGGATAGTTCCAATCCTATTTAGTGTATAGTGTTTTGCTATTGAAGGTTTTTTGTGGACAACAAGTCTCAATCTAGTTACTATCTGTCCACCTTTGGGTATTATCAACTGGTTTCTACGTGCATCCCTCCATATCTATAATATTCCTTTCTTTTGCCATACTTAGTTAAAGGCATATACTAACAGTAGACATACAGCAATATTCGGCTTGATTTAGTCGTCATAAAGCATCAACTAAAATCATACAAACTCGTTTGGTGCAATACCAATCTCTCTTCCTCTTTCATGCCTTTCATCAGCTTATGCTTAAGCAATGCGGGCTTCTCTGGTCTGTAACCTATTCAGCTTATTTTTTTTTCTCCTGCTTGAACACCTGTGAACAGTTTCTTGACAGAATCTGTTTACAATGCCGTAAGTTCTGCACTGTTCGGCGTTCTGTTTATTTTAATATTCAATAGATAAGGCTTACAATTACTACTTCCGTCTTCAGTTCATACAGTTCTCCATTGTAACCTTCTTGTTTTTCAAAGATACTTTATCTTTATCTCAATGTTACTACGGACTAATTTTGCTTGTAACGCAAACCGGGACAGATAACCTTGAATCTTGGCTAGGTGTAACATGCCATCTTTCAGACAGGAAATCTCGTTCCATTTAACATATTTTCTCCGCCTCTGTTTTGTCACAGTCGCTCATGGCACTTCAGGGAAGCAGCATCATTTGCTTTGTCCGTATCCTTCAGCATTCTCTCTGTTTTCATACAAAAACAGTGATGAAGAGAATGCGAAATAAGACGGCCGTCTTGTTTTCCGAGACGTTTCATAACCTCAGAGGATTGCTGCTCAATCCATGTTTTATAATGCATATGTTGCGTTCTTATGTACTTTAAATTGCCAAATGACGTCAAGTCACTTGGCCTTTGGCCGAACATCATTATTGCAGTAGCGATCGTTTTCGTTCTTAATAATGAAGCTTAAACATTTAATATAATCGTCGATTTTGTCTGTTTCTGCGAACTCGTTTGCTTCATAGTTTACTGGACATATCTTTATTACTTATCTTCATCATGTTTTTCGATATGCTTTTATCATTTCATAGAATTATTTTGTTTTTACATTAAATTGAAGGATATTTTTTCATTCGATCGCTGTTCACGTGTTTCGCTTCTCTTCATACTCTCGTTATAATCTGTTATGTTCAATATTTCAGATTTTGTCGTGACTAAGAAGCAACATGTTCTAAAACGACAAGCTTAGGGTCTCAAAAAACCAACTTTCCGCTAATTTTCACTTATCACTAGTCAAAATGAGGACGGGTACTCTGGTTGTTTTATTGTTTTTTTGTAGCTGTACTTATGCTGTTGAGCATGACTCAGTAAGATTTATTCTTCAAAAATCATCAATATTTCTTGATTTTCAGCTCTGTCTCGATGACGATGAGTCATGCCCCGAACCAACACATACTATTATACGGTTAGAAAAAAGAGATGATGTATTAGCGCGGAAAATAGCCGAAGATCATGGAATGCATGTTCGAGTAAGTTTTCGTAGAATTTTCCTTTTTCATTTAAATGGGTTACTCATATCGTTTTTCTATAGGGGGATCCTTTCCTGGATAGTCATTATTTCTTATATCACAAAGATGAAACATTGTCTCGGCGTCGAAAACGTTCAGTTCATCAACGTTTAGAGGTTGTTTTGGATTTTCTAAAGTTTTGTAACCTTAATATTCAGGAACACCCTGCTGTGGCGTGGTCACAGGAACAAAGACCTAAACGAAGAACCAAAAGAGATTATGTTTTTAATGATGATGAGGTGAGTATCAGAAATCGAATTTTCACATAACTTGTAATGTTTCTAGGTGTCTAGCCACACAATTGATAAGAGGGAAACTTTGGATGGAACAACAAGCTCTACGAAAAGAAGAAGACAATCCGAGCCTGTCCGCGAAATTCCTCAATTACCTTTTCGTGATCCCTTGTACAAAGATCAGTGGTACTTGGTAGGAAAACACATAAACTCACTTAACTAGATCAATCTACCTATAGACTGGTAATGCTATGGATGGGTTTGACATGAATGTGCGGGAAGCCTGGCTTATGGGATATGCTGGGAGGAACGTTTCTATTTCAATTCTCGATGATGGTATTCAACGTGATCATCCTGACTTAAGGGATAATTATGATCCTTTGGCCAGTACAGATATTAATGATCATGATGATGATCCAACGCCTCAAAACAATGGAGATAATAAGTAATTACTCGGAAAATCGAATAGCTCAATAATTGGGTGATTTTAGACACGGAACTCGTTGTGCTGGTGAAGTAGCTGCTATAGCAAACAATGATCAATGTGGTGTTGGTGTTGCATTCAAAGCGAAAATTGGAGGGGTTTGTTCTTTGAGTAAGCTTTTGTAAATGTTTCCGATATAGGTACGTATGCTCGATGGAGCTGTGTCTGATTCAGTCGAAGCCGCTTCCTTGTCTTTGAATCAAGATCATATTGATATTTACTCAGCAAGTTGGGGACCTGAAGACGATGGAAAAACGTTTGACGGACCTGGACCTTTGGCTAGAGAAGCATTTTATCGTGGTATCAAAAATGGTAGAGGAGGAAAAGGAAACATATTCGTTTGGGCTAGTGGAAATGGAGGATCTAGGTAGCTCTTTCCAAGCTTTGAGATATCTACTGTTCAATTTTAGGCAAGACTCTTGTTCTGCCGATGGCTATACAACATCAGTTTACACTTTATCAATTTCTTCGGCTACCTACGATAATCGTCGTCCATGGTACCTTGAAGAATGCCCTTCCTCTATTGCTACAACGTATAGTTCAGCTAATATCAATCAACCAGCCATAGTAGTTTTGTCTTTTCATTCTAAAACAACTTCAATACTTATAGGTCACTGTTGATGTACCTCATGGATGTACTAAACAACATACAGGCACTAGTGCCTCCGCTCCTTTAGCGGCAGGAATTATTGCTTTGGCTTTAGAAGCTAAGCCTGATCTGACTTGGAGAGATATGCAACATATCGTATTGAGAACAGCAAACCCCAAACCTCTACTGAAAAATCCTGGCTGGTCCAAAAACGGTGTTGGTCGTATGATCAGCAATAAGTTCGGATATGGACTTATGGATGGTACTTCACTTGTGAAGCTCGCTAAAGTTTGGAAAGCTGTTCCTGAGCAACACATATGTACATATGAATACAAACTGGCTGCTCCTAATCCTAGACCTATCGAAGGAAGATTCCAGATGAACTTCACTTTAGAGGTAAGAATACGCTCGAGTAACTGAAATATGGAACATGTTAAAGGTTAATGGCTGTGAATCAGGCACTCCTGTACTCTATTTGGAACACGTTCAAGTGCACGCGACAGGTTATCCATTCAATAATTATTGAGTATTTATGTTTTGACTTTAGTTCGATATTCCAAACGTGGTGATTTGAAGTTGACCGTATTTTCACCATCGGGAACTCGTTCAGTTCTTTTGCCTCCTAGACCACAAGTATAGTTTTGTATAGGATTAGAGGAGCTCATTTTCAAATTTTACAGGATTTCAACAGCAACGGTTTCCACAAGTGGCCCTTCCTTTCAGTTCAACAATGGGGAGAAGATCCCAGAGGAACTTGGATTTTGATGGTTGAAAGTGTAACAAACAATCCTTCAGCTACAGGTGCGTTGTAGATCTCTTTCATTTTAAACTCTTCTCTTTAGGCACTTTCCATGATTGGACTCTTTTACTTTATGGTACTGCTGAGCCTGCCCAACCAGAAGATCCTATCCATCCCCCATCTCCTGGAACCCAATCAGTATTAGGACGAGTCCAGCAACTCACTAGCCAGGTTCGTGCATATTTTACTCATACCGGCTAGTTGTCAAGTCGCATCTGAGCACTATAATGATCTCACTTGCTGAAGTTGGCGTAGTTCGGCTTTCACTCCAAATAATAATTGAGTGTGTTCGACCGCTAGATTGTAAACAATGGGGTTTTTCGTGCTGGTTTAATTTTAAATACATACTGATCAATGATTTACTTTTTCTCACAACTTTCATATGATCGGTTTGTGTCTGAATGATGAACCCCTATAGTTTGCTTTTAACGCTTCTTACTTCTGAGTGCTTGCTTTAATCTATTGAGTGCTGTGCGTGTGTGGTCCGCTCAAAATTTTCTTTATATGTTTACTCATCTTGCTTGTACTAATGTCAGTGTTGTGCATGTCTCTATGTTAATTATGTACACTTATCTACTTGAATGTTTCATTTTCCGTGTTATGTCTATCTTCGTTCATTTTGTGTTTACGTTTTCGTCGACTCGCATGATAAATAATATTTTGAACATTCTGATGATGGAATATCAAGCATTATACTCATGAACGTCTCATTGTCCCTTCACTGTCTCTGAGGTTCCGCTTGATTCTTCGTTCTTTACGCTTTCTATGTGCTTGGGCTTTTGATAACTTCATATCTTCATTTCTTAAATGGGCATGGGATCGGATATGTTGCAGAAGCATGTGAAACGTCCTACGGCTTACTCTCGTGTCCGTCAAATGGAGATTCCCTCACTTCGTCAGCAACAGTTGCCTCCTCAAATTCAACATGGTATTTGGATCTTCAATCAACGAGCTGGACAATGGGTTTGGACCCCATCCCGATCTCGCCGTCACCGTCGTGTTCGTCGCTACTGATTCGTGATGAAGCATGACGATGATCATCCTATAATTTCTAGTCATTTTGTTTGCCTTGAATCTCTTGGTGGTGGTAATGCTGGTAATGTAACGTGGCGGTTCATTTTTGATGTAGTGTATAAGCCAATTTTGTCCTGACTTGACTATTTATATTGCATGGCATAATGTCGGTTCAACCGAGTTTTTCGTTCAGTCGTGTCGCTTACTCGTTTTTAAGTGGCATGTTCAATGCACGAGACTTCACAAGACTTGTGATTTGTGTAAGCGTTCATTTTTCGTTATTTTCTGTCGTGCCTTCATCAGCAAAGTGCAGATGGATTTGATTTCTCCAGAAGTCGGCATTTTGTCCAAATTCAGTCTTGCGCACTTTTTTTTCCCACAGTTAGTAAAGTTCGAGAGATGAAAGAAACACTTTACTTTTGCATGAGCGTACTTGGTCATATCTCCAGATAACACTGCCAGTAGTATTCATGGTCGTTCAAGCGGCCGTGCTGTTAATAATAGTTGTTGCTGCCTATCTATCTTGTCGACGGTCATCACCAGTTGTACCGAATTAGATCATAATTTTTTTTATCTCTATTAGCTCATTGACTTGCCTTAGCCAGAGTCACTTTCTATCGTGACTCAGTTTTTCTGGTGTTTTGAAGATATCGGTGGTTTGTTCTGCTCAGTCGTGTTAGATTCTGCTTCTTTTTCCTATTTTTATTGTCGATCTTTACTTTTGTTGTATCTGTGATATACTCGACCCCTAGAGAGATTATGATTCAATAATAGGGCGCTACTTATGGGTAATTCTGCGTGTTCGTTTTGTGATATGCCATCATAGTTTGTACCTTTTCAATGTCGAAGATTCTACTCCTATTTTTAGGGCATGTTGTGTTATTTCTTACTTTCTAAAACTGCATGAGTTTGGTTTGTCTCCCCTTCCTCCCCCCTCTATCTCCAGATTTGCATTTAACACTCTTCTGACATGTTATACCCTGCCATAAACTGCATCTTTTCTGCCTGATTATCCTCAGATGAAATCATAAAGTTTTAATTGGAAAAAGATTTAGCCGCAACAACGGAGTCATGAGCATATGCGGAACTTTTTCGATTCCATGTTCGCACGGATGTTTGGTGGTTCTCCCTAAACAAATCCATCTCTAAAAAGTTTTATGCGGAAGGATATGGCTTTACTTTATTTTATTGTACTTAGTAAAGAGACCAAGTGATCTTCACTTAAGCATTTTGATACCTGAGGTAATTAGCATATTAGAGTTTCTTCCTCCAGGCCCAGTTTTAATTTAAATCTTGTTCGTGTTGCTTCATTGTACAGGGCTTTCGAAATATCCATAGCTTCTAAACATCCCATTCTACCCTTGCTGTTTATGGTACTTCGGTATATCAGTATTATATTTAAGTTTGACATTTTACGCATCTTATACCATTTAGTCACTCTTCGACATTGTTGTTGGTCTCTTTAGGAAGAATCAACTTCATCATCATCCAACTCATGCTTAAGTAAGACAAAACTGAAGAAATACACTCATGTCCTATTCTAAATAGGCGTCTAACTCTATATTTAGTCGTTGTGAAGTCCTTGTATGTAAAACTGTGTTCATATCTTGTGCTCTGCGCGATTCTACTGAGATAGTTATAGATTAAATAAAATTTTGTTGTTCTGTTGTGGTGTTGGGTGATGTGTTTCGTAGAACAAAAGATGGATACTGCATTCTCCATCTGAGAAAAACTATCGCATATCTGATATTGTAAAAAAGAAATAACTGTTATATATGAAACGCATGTCGCTGTATGCATGAACCCAGTTTCCATTAATGCAGTGGTAGGGCTATACACATTATGCCTGCAATCTTGGTCGAACACTCAAATATAAACAAAAATTTCAATGGGATATATACATTGTTCATTCTTATTCAGACGGAGGAAACAGAATCTATTGCTTTCGGAGATTTAACTTCAGTCGGAGATTGTCATGAGCTATGTGATGGTTGTACCGAGCCAAGGTCCGCTACATCTTGCATTAGATGCAAAGGATTAACGCAAACGTTACGTAACAAGGGCGGAAGTGGTTTCAAGTAAGTTCGGAGTATGAAACTGTACCAAAAGTCTTTTAAGATGTGTTAATCATTGTGATGACACGTACTTCTTGGATGGAAACATGTGCAAGATGTGCTCCTCGCATTGTCATACATGTACAGAAGCTGAGGTTAACATTTTTTGCAAGTATTCATCACTCTAGTCTGGCTTCCAGGTGTGTGCGACATGTCCCGGATCTCAGTTGCTTGTGGATGCTAAAGAAGTCGGGTTACATGGAAAATGCGTTGATAAGTGCCCTGGCAATCTTGTGACAGATTGTAAGTTGAAGTGTTTCTTTACTTTGAACTTGGATTTACTTAAATATTCAAATGTCTAATTCGTTTTTGACCCACAGGGCTGTTGCATTCGATCTCCTCAATCACGCTTGGATTGTTTTATATTCTATGTTTCAGACGAGTCCAATCTGTTGCAAGCTCGCTGTGTTACTGTAGCAGAAAAATGTGGAGCTGGCTATTACATTGATGTTCTCGGAAAGTGTAGTCCTTGCGATGAAGCTTGTCAAACATGCCATGGACCTGGTAACACCAATGAAAATAGCTTAGCTTATTGTTTTGAAGGTTCTTTGAGTTGCGACTCATGCTCTTCCGGATATGGAAATCGTTCAACTTCATACTGCCGCCCCTGTTGCGTGAACGGACAAGAACCTGGTAGAGAACGTTGTGGTATGTTTTTCAAGTTTAAAACTCTTGATGAAAATCATTTGCAGAAGATTGCTCGCCTAATGCTAAATATCCTGACCGCCATCGTTCATCGCGCTCTATGTTTTGGACTTTGGTATGGTCTGTGATCATTGTAGCTATCTTAATTATTGTATATGGGGTGGTGCAATGCTTCATACGTGAAGATCGGCAACAAATAGAGTGAGTTGAAAGTGTTAAGCAACAACAGTTATCAAGTTCTTTCAGTTATACACCATTGCCTCATTACAATAGTGCTTCTGACAAAGTGAAACTGTTAGGAGAGGAATCATCTGACGATGAAGAACTCTACGAACTTAATCCTAAAACCGAAGTTTGAGAATAAGATCTATTATTCTCAGAAACAAATGATGCGGGGTATATAGTTGTGTGAATATGTTTTTGCCCATGATGAGCGATTTCAATAAGTTATCTTTGAAGAGCATTTCTCGGAAGGGAGAAGTATATTTTCACATAACCATATCAAATTCTAGGGATTTTATATCACGAGTGGGTTCGAAGAGATATATAATATCATTCTTGCCTGAAATAATCATATTCAAAGCCAAAGTTTTATTTCCACATCTATCCATATCAACCGGTTCTGTGATAAACTGCTACAGTCATAGTCTAGCCATACCTATGCCCGTAGAATTGTATTTTTCTAACATTGCCTTATTATTTATTTTTTTATTTTTTAATTTAAATCTTTTATGACTCATCTTGCATAATACCATGGCTGAATGATTCTTACCATTTTTCGTAATAAAATAGTTTTTATGAGACATAAATCAGAATTCTTTATAAAACTGTATTCGTTTACATAATCTCTTTTGATTTACATTTGAGCTTCATTGTGAAAGACGTCGTTCCAGAGAAGATATGCGCGATTTCTGGAATATCAAACTATATTGTTTCTTTTCACAAGCTCTTGCTACCAATTGAGTAATTTCCTTATCTTTAGCTTGAAGTTTATCTCCTAATACAACCACAGCGCCTGTAGATCGTTCATCTCGCGAAGCTGAATTGAGGAAGTTGAAATATGAAAATGATTTATGCGGGAAATACCCAGTTTCTTGACTACTTTAGAATACTCTTCCGTCAAGCTTGAATGCTGATCAGATATTTGTTTCAATTTCTCATCACATTCCTTGTATTTTAGTTCCATCTAAACATGCATAATGAACGATTGAGTGTGGAAGGTTGTACGAACCAGACGGAGTTGTCGCCGGGTTCCTTTCAAGACTTCATCCAACTGACTATCCTTGATTATTACTTCTCGTACTTCTTTAACGGTTGGTGTGACTTGCTTCTTCTGGCTCTCAGATGAGCTTTCTATCATTCGATGTTTCTCTTTCTTAGTCAATTCCAAAGATAACGTGAGACTTCTCATTCGTTCTTTCAACTCCGAATTCTCCTTATCGATTCGACGAAAGTTGGAAGATATTTGGGATAACTCCTGAAGCATTAACAACTTGTAATATCATCTTGCAACATCTGGCATACCTTATCTTTCCCGTGCAACTGTTCTTGTAAAGTCTGGATTTTGTCTCGTAATATTGCTAATTGATGGTTGTCAAAGACAGCGGAGTCCTAAGATAGGAAAGAGTTTTGATTATCCAAAATAGGTCAAGTATTACTCGTTCTGATCTCATTTCCTTCAATCGTCTGCTCATCTTCTGAATCTCCTTTTCATATGATTGCTCTTCTGTTCGGATCTGTTCCAAATATTTTTCTTTCTTTTCCAATCGATCTGAATGCATCTCATTGCATATATGAGCTGAGAAGAAGCACTAGAAACCTTTAAATTCGGCAACTTGATCATTGGATTCTTTCAATTTTTTTTGTGAAACTTCCAGCTTCTCCATCAGCCGCTTGCGCTCATTCCACTTGTTAACCTCTTCCTAGAAAAGCATAGCAACCTCCATGAATATCATTCTGATTTCAATCGTACTTCACTATCTTTCTTCAATTGAATCTTGTTTTGATTCAAACTAACAATTTCCTTTTCTCTCTCCATAAGACGTTTTTTGAGTTTTTGAACTTCTTGTCTGTGCTGCTCTATTTCCATTCTGAAAGAAACAGTCAAACGTCTTGCCTCGGTCATTTATTGTTTAAAAACCTCAATGACACTTCCATATTGTGATTGGCAGAGACCTGCGCCATGTTATCATCGCGTCTTTTAGCATCTAGCTGTTCCATTGCTTCATCTTTGATTTTCTGACAAGCTCTCGTTAAACTCTTCAAAGAACGATTTTAGTATCCGAAAATTTCCAGATGGATATCTCACATTGTTGGTTTCAACTGCTTTCTTAAGTCGTTCTTTCAAAAAACGAATTTCATTTTTGTATTTGAGAGATTCATCTTGCTTTTCGGTTGTAAACTCATCCAGTTGACTTAGAGACTTCTTTGAGCTTCTCTCAGAAGTCTTAATATTGTCTCCTATTCTTCCTACTCCCACGTCTCCGTCCTCTTCTCCGTCGTCTTGAATATCCGTTTGAACTGAAGTCTATCAAAACGAAAATCTCAAAAAGCCAAACTCGGAAAAACAAACATTATGGACAGTTTTCCTAGCTGACGTCTGCATAAATTGCCGATTCCGGTACAAGTCCTTATTTGAGACTTGCAGTTCCTCAACTTCTGCCTGAAACATCGAGCATTTGCAAATCTAAATTGCTCATTCAAGACAAACCTTTAATCGCGCGATTTCTCCAGCTGCTTGTTTAAGTTTCGTTTCAGCTTCATCGTCCGGTACTCTCAGCTCTCTTGTTACAATCTCTTTCTCTCTAACCATTTTCGTTGGTTCATTCATTTTGATTAATAGCAAATCTCTATAACTGGCAACTTCCGCTTCTTTTTGAGTTAGCTGCTCCTAAGCAAGAAGGTGATTAGAGTGAATGAATCTTCATCTGAATACTTTGTATCCTCGGATAGCAGCTTCAGCCGTTTGTTTCATCTGTTCCAGCTTCTGCTTAAACTCCACGGAATTATCTTGAACGATTGTTTTGACAACTAAACGCTCTGATAGTTTATCTGAAAAACGATGTATGCCTCGTTATGTCATACGAAACGAAAACAAACAAACCGCTACTTCCAGAACTGTCATAGTCCATTTCATAATCTGTTTCATCTTTAATCGCAGCTTCTTCCAGCACATTTGCTATTTCAATTGTTTTTGTTTTATTTTCTCCTTTCTCCCAATGGAAATCCATTTTTTTGAAAATCTGTTCGACATTCATGCTTGAGATGACTTGCAAGTATTCATCATTCGTCTTTTCCACATCTTCTATTTTCGCTTTCAAATGCTTAATCTCATCTTCTTTCTCTTTTATCTGAAACATATCAATTGGAGTGATGCTTCTCAAATTCATTTTTACCATTTTTTCAATTTTTTCCGATTTCGTTGTCTCCTTGCTGATATTCGTATATGCTGTTTGTAACATCTTTTCAACTCGTTGACGATTCAAATCTTCTCCTATCAAGTCATTACGAGCTTTATCCAAATTCGTCTGATTCATCAGCTGATTTTCAAGCTTTTCCTGAATCTCCTCAGCCTGAATCAATCAACCTATGCAAATGTGACTGTTTACTCGTAAACTTCTCGACGCTTAGCCAGCGCTATCTCTTCAACTCTCAATGTTTCAGCTATTTTTCCTTTAAGCTTCTCCATTTGTTCTAACGTGAATGATGCCATATTACTAGCTCGCTGTTGCTTAAGAGATTCATAGATGAATTATAAACGACTTAGATTAGAGTGATGAACCTGTAATGCTCTTTGAAGGATGACAACCATGTGAACGAAACGCTTCCTCTCAGCCATCCATTCTTGTCGATTTTTAGCCAAAAACTCATCTGAATCTCGTTTCTTTCTCGTCTCTCTCTGTAGATCAAAGAGAGTTTCCTGTTGTTCTCGTATCGTGAACAGCAGACGATGTTCGATCGCGGCTGAAAAACAAAAAAAAAAGTTTCAAAACAAAAAGAAAAAATATTTGTTTTCAACCTAAAACGCTCTTCAAATCAGATTCATTTTCGATGTCTTCAATGAACTTCTTGAGCTCCTCATTTTCCTTTTGAAGCGATTCCGTTTCTTTGTTCCAAAATTCATTTTGATCCGTTAAAACAGATATGATCTTCTGAAGTCAAATATCATATAGCTCTCATAATTTCAATCTCAAAATTTACTTTCAAATATTCGTTTTTGGCCATCAATTGCTCATTCGATGTCTTGTCCTCCATGCTCTTGCCCAATGATACCTCGTGTTCTTCCAATTCAATCGACGTTTTTGCCATCTGAGCAAAGATGTTTGAAGCATGGACGAAATTGTTTCGAACCTCAACATTATCCGTTCCAACAAATTCTTTTTTGATAACTTTCTTATATTTCGTCATAAGCTCTTCCCATTGCTTCAATGGAATAGAATGGATTACCCGATGTTGCATAGCTGCCAACTCCATGCAAGTTAAATCCTATAACTTATGTCACTTTTCTTGATTATTCATATAATTACCAAGTCATATTGCAGATTAGCTATGTGCTTGTCGTTCTTTGTTCGATTTTTAACTATTTTCTCTTTCATTTTCTGTGAAGCTTCTTCGCTACGAAGAACGCGAGCTCTCAACACTGTGCATGTCCGTGATAGTCTGCAAATCCATTTTTAAAAATATTCTTTTCAACCACGAAATGTTACCGAATGTTCTGCATTTTCTCAGCAATTAGCTTCCTTGACATTTCTTCTGTTCGACGTTCGAGCACATTGCCACCTTTCTTGATTGAATCACGTAGCACCTATAGCTTCATTGATGCAACATCCATTCATCCTACAACTTACGTTAAGCTCAACAATTTCCATCTTTGCTTGTTCTAATTCGATTTGAGTTGAAGATGTCTGATGTTCATACTCATAATTTTCCAATTCTGATTGTTCTTTCAATACTCTGATTTCATTGTAAGCCATCTGTAAAGCAGTCATTCAAAGCTATCTCACTTACGAATAATACCTTCAACTGAGCTTTCGATTCGTCGATGATGGATTTTTTGTTTTTCATCCAGTGCTCCATTTCGTTCAATTGCCCAGTCTTGGCATTGTTTTCCTGAAACAGAAATGTTAGAAACACCTATCCCAACTTGGAAAACCTCAATCAATTTCATAATTTCATAGTAAAGGTTAGATATGAGCATGGCTTGCTGCTCGAAATCTGCAACCAATGGTTGGAACATCTGTTGTCGTTGCCCTCTGAGATTCTGTTCTCCAGCTTCCTTTTCTATGTGTTCTACTAATTTTTCTTTTTGCTCTTCTTCATTATGAGAATCTTTTTTGACGTCAGAGGTTTCAGTTTTTTTGATATTTTTGTCTTTTTCTGCTGATGTTGGTTGCAGGTCCTTGGTTGACTGATTCGGAGGGCTTTCTTTGAATTCTCTCTCAGCATAACGACCAAGCTCGATTTGCAGCATCGTACAGAAGTTTGTCATTTTGCTTATCTGAATTTCTCTGAGCTTCAGTTGAGTCTCCAATCTTTTGACTTCTCCACGAGCATCTCCAAATTTAAGCTGCAAAAAGAACTTCATTGTTTCATTGTTAATGATGAGGTACCTCTCGTAGCCGTTCGATTTCAGCTGCGAGGGAGGCATGACTTTCATCCTTCTTTACCAATTCATCCTCCAGATTTTTTTGACTCTTTTGAAGTTCGTCATTCTGAAAACGGTCTTGGTTCATAGAATTTACATTTTCCTAACCTGTGCAGATCCTTTTCGTAGCTTCTGCTCTAATTGCACTAAACGTATGCGCAAGTTGGCTGTTTGATCTTCATTGATTCCTTTTGATTGGATATGTTCTCCGAACAGTTCTCGAGCCATTCTATAACAGATACAAGGAGAGAGAGAGTGTGTTTCCTGATTGCAAAAGTGAATTTACTTCGTTGCTTCCACCAATTCTTCTTTCAGCTTCTCCAGTTCTAACTCTTTCTCTTGAGTCATATCAGATGCTATTTTTTCTCTCAGATACATCAGCTCCCTCTGAAAACGTATTATACAGTTTATATAGGAAAAACAAAATTACTTCAGCCATTTCGAGTTCATCTTTGAGTTCTTCAATCACTCCACTCTGCCCCATTATTAAATTCTGAAATCAATGAAAGACTCCGTGCGTGAACACTTTTTTTTCTGTTCTCTGATACCTTCATGCCTGACTCTGAATCCAACGCCTCATTTTCCATTTGTTCAGTTTTCGATGAATACTCTTCTAGTTTTTCCAACAAAATGCCGTTTTCATTACTAAGCTCAGCTTCTCTCTCTTCTGCCCCCAACAAATCTTCTTTCAGTTTTGAAATTCTGAGATTCAAAGTTGTTTATAAGAAGAACGGAACAACAGAATGAACCTTATTGAGCTTTCCTCCATGAGTTTGGTAGCTTCTTCAAGAGCATTACTCACTTTCGTTACTTCTGCACGGAGCTCATCGTTTTGGGCAACGACTGCCTTAACAAATAAAACCAAATTATAGGGTCGACACTCATCGAGCAAATCACCTGCATCTGTCGACTCAACGTTACAGCTTGTTCATTACGTAACTTGAGTTTCTTTGTTTCCCATTCATTTGTAGATTCTTCTGTTTTTGCAAAAATTCTCCGACGCAGTTCACTGATTGTATCTTCTGATTGTGCTCGCTGTTAATAAACGAAAGATTATTGAAAGAAAGTGTGCTCATACATAATCGATAAGAGTATCTCGTTCCCTAGTGAGGGCATCGACTCGTGCGACTAAAGCTTCAAATCTATAAACAGATTAGAAATTAAGGAGAAATTGTATAAAAGTAACCTATCCCCTTGATCTGCCATCTGCCTATCTCTATCTCTGCTCAACTGTTGCAGGGCTCGATTTTCTTCTTTCAAACTGTTGATTTGTGCTCTGAAATTTTCAGAATGACATTTCTTTAGATGATACCATACACACCTGAAAGCTTCACTAGATTCTCCAGCATCAGCTCGAGATGTTATTCGCTCTCGCAAAGTCTCCAATTCTTCCTTGAAACACAGATTATATAAATTGTGTTTAAATATAATTTGGAAACCTTAAGTTCTTGTTTCTCTTCTTCCCACTGATCTTCTCTTTCTGCCATAGCTGATGTTTCTCTTTCAGCAACCTCTTTCAGTTCTTCAGCTGCTGTGAACATGTAACTCATAAGATAGCTATAGAAAGAAGTAATTATGTTATATTTAGTATCCTCTTCAAATACCTTAGTCCATTAACCAAAGTTTGAAGTTCGTACATGCTTTCTGTACCTTCCAGCTTAAACTATAAAATCATTTATGCATATTTTCAATAGCTCATTCTATTATAACAAACATTTTGCAATTTTTCACACCACATCTTGATGGTGGCAATATCCTCAAAATCATCATTATAAACTAATTCTTCTAATGAACGATAGTTTATTGATTGATTATGATCCTCTGGAGATAAATCAATTGAAGACATCTTTTCACATCAGAATATGAACACACTAAAAATATATAAAGTTAAAAATATAAAGTATTATAGGTAAGAAATAGAAAGATCAATAGGTTCGAAGGAAATTATATGGCGCATTGACAATTTCACTGCCAAAGCTACGAGCAGTTGCTATGGTAACAAAACTGAATGCTTCCTAGGTCAGGTCTTCCTTTAGCATTCTCTGATTTTCGTATTTTAATCTTACGCTATATAATTTGCTGAGTTGATCAAATTGATAAAAAATTTTGAATATGGAGAATATACAACAAGTATATCTTCTTAGCTACTCTCATACAGCTATGCCATTGGTATAAGCAATAAGAGAGAAAGTGCAATGACAGGTCATTCGTTAATGATTCACGCATCTTACGTGAGAACGACCGCTAACTGAACAAAAAAAAAATGCACAATGAGTTCACGCATTATACCTCACAACAACCGCTAACTACACAGTTAGCCTGTAAATGGTTTTCGGTGAAAGATAAAAAAACGACCGAGAATTAAAGATTTGAGATGAAAAATGAATTTACGATTGAGAATACGATGAAGAAAAATGCTTGAACGATAGTTTTGATGAGAAACAACTGATTGGAAGATGATAAAGCCAAAACATTAGCCCCGTAGGGGGCTCGAACCCCTGACCGTTAGATTAAAAGTCTAACGCTCTACCAAACTGAGCTAACGAGGCTACGAATCGACAGTTTCTATAACTACCCACAATATTGGTATATTGTCTAAGTATTCAAAATATATCCAAGTCAATACGAAAAACTATTACCTATTGACTGTGCAGATTTGGTTGTTCAAGATTGTAATTAACGCTCTAATATACCATTCTTCTGTCAATAACAGGATAATCACACAATTCATGAATGAAAAAATAATAATTTCTTCTACTGTTCATGACCTACGAAAATAAAGTATCTAAAGATGTTTATAATCTTTTCTCACAATCCTCTATTTTGTTTCACTAAATGACTGTCGGAACAAACCAATACGAAATTGTGCAGAAAGAGAATCAAGATGGTTCTTCGACGAAAATGAACTAGCATCTTCTTAAAACCTAATTAGGCTATAAAAGTAATAAAAGAACCAAAATATTAGCCTCGTAGGGGGCTCGAACCCCTGACCGTTAGATTAAAAGTCTAACGCTCTACCAAACTGAGCTAACGGGGCTACGTTTGGTTAAAATTACTGTTTGTAGAAATCAGATTAATCATCAAGTTAGGAAATATCTTGAACCACCTCGATATTTTGCAACAATTACCTCTTTCTCATACTGATCAAAGTACTGCTCTAATAGTTTATTTAATTGATATACATTCAAGTTCTGTGCAAAATTCAAAGTAATGCAAAGCGGTCTTGTACACGTGATAGTTCCGTTTCAAGTTGATAAGCAAGTTGAGTTTCTCCAGCCCATTCAGCAACAGTTTGTACCATTTCTATATCTGTGCTGAACTGATTCGGGTTCTTCGCATGTACAATATTCTAAAACAATATGATACAAGAAGAACTCAAAATCGAAAGTACAGTTTGACAACTCCGGAGATGGCGCGACATCACTGGCAACGATTCCAAGCTTGACCATCTCAGGTCGTTAGGTTCATCAACTGTTAACAGAGGATCATGTCGTAATACTCCTTCGGGGACATCTTCTTCTTCTGAACCCAATTGAAAAGATGTAACAAGTTCATTCAAAAAATTCCAACCTCCTTCTTCACCGACATCCATTAAACCAAAGATAGACTCAGCGTTCCACGAGAGATCAACCCAATCTTTGGTCAAAATTTCAGACTTATAACTGGAATTTACAGTTCAGTTTGAAACACAAAAAACACTTACGCATCACTTGGTCTAATTTTGACTCGCCCAAAGTTTATGAGTAATGTTTGTTCAAAAGCCTTTCTCTCAGATGGAACTTTGAAGTTTATTCGAACCAACTCATGCTTCCTAGAATGAATAGACCGTTGAGAAGTCCCAACTTTCAATTCCTTACTTTCCACCAATCTCAATAAACTCTATGAAGTCAAGATTTGGTAATAATACGGGTCCTGATTCTTCTTGTGGTTCTGTACAGTTCAGGTAATATAATTTCACATCGCATTTCACAGGTTTCATTGTTTCAGGACACACCGGTACAAGAAGACGTCTCTCGACAGTGCGAGCCCACAAGAAACGGAGGGGTTGATGGTAAAACCTGACAGTGGTTTATAAACTTATTTATCTATTCTCAAACCTATTATCGGTGATGTTGTGACATATGACTGGGTAGAAAGAAATCAGAAGAAGTGCCAATGATAGTTTATCATTCTTGAAACCGCAACTGGAATAGTTGGATTGTTTTATTTTCTTTATTCATATAGCGATTTACCTTCCAGTACCCATAAACAGCATTCCCATAGCTTGATGCGCAGCGAGCTGCTCTTGATGTTTTCTTATATTTCTTGACCAAGATAGTACACTCCCCTGCATTCTCCAAAGCCTTGCCAATCTAAGAGGTTGAACATCACCCTCACCCGCATGGAGCTGAAAAGATCTTCGATACACTCATGTTTGAATCAGTTTCGAACCATTGCTAAACAAGTTAGTAGAGTATTCATGCACAAACTGAGAACATTGGCTCCTGCGTGCTCCGCTAATCTCACGAACAGTTTTTTCTTCTGTGTCGGCTCAATCATATTTACATATGTATACTACAAAAAAATATTTTAAAAGCTCTTTGAAGGTAACAACTAACTATGACATCGGAGACTACCCTCTTTGTCGGACTGGGATGAGCAACATGTTTTAAAGTCAATGCGAAGCAGGCACCAGTAACAGCATACAGGTATATCTAGAATCGAATTAGGCTTTGAAGGTGTATCATCCATATTGTAATACTTGAGCCAAAGTTTCTCTGTCAACAATACTTTCCCAATACTTATCCTCTTCTTCTGTGAGAATCGAATCTTCATCATCACCCCATTTTAAGGAAGATTTAAGATAACTGGAGACAATTTCCGGAACCTATTACAATAGAACTAGAGCTTTTAATTCAAAGTGCGTACTTGACTTTCCACCCATTCCTTCGTTGATTTGATGTCATTCCACAGAATTAAGTTCCGACAGAGAACTCGAATAAGAACCTTAAGGAGTAAAATATTTAAGTGGCGATGACAGAATTATGAATACCAAGTCTGGACGTATCCCTTCCAATAGAGAAATCGTTTGCGGTAAACTCAAGAGATCAGCCATATAGGTATTGTTTGTTTGGAAAAACATTAAACCGAGCGCAATCGTGGCTGGATGACTAGTCAAATGTGTATTAATGTTCTCTTTTTCCTATGGAAAACAAGATAAGTCGGAACATAACATCAGGAACAAACCCAAACGTGACTAGAAGGATCAGGAGTGAACTGATTAACTCCAGAATGAATAAAGTCACTGGTAGTATTGTTATGCTGAGGGAACACACACATATCCTGGGACAAAAAATAATCAACTCAAAAGTTTTGGATCAAACTTACTCTAGGTCCTCCATTCATCATTGTTGTTAATCTCTTAACGATCGAGCTTTGTGGTTCAATAAAGCAAGGATCGCTTTCCAACATTTGATTTCCTGTAAAGGAACAACTCAAAGCAGTCAAATGATACAACGAACCCAAGGAGAGGCATATTAACCCAACTGAGAACCCTGCTGATAGCTTATAAGCATAACGATCGGCAAAAGGAACATCTTCTGGATTGGAAGATCGCCCAATCTAAACCGAAGGTTTACAAAAGCCAAATACTCGACACTACTTCATTAACTAATTTTTTAGTTATGTTTATATGACCTGATTCAGCGAATACCAGTCCAATTGCAGAAACTGATGCTGTCTGAAAAACTCATTTTACTTTTACTTCTGCAAATGTGATTTACTTGTATAAGAGGAGTTATCATAATTGGTAACAAAGTGGGACCCATCAGGAATGGAAGTTGTGTAGTTATCATTCTGAATATTCGACTGTCGTTAGTTCCTATGCTCGAAGCGGCGTATCCCAAGATGAGAGCGACAGATTGGAAGTCTTCCACTGCAGCCAGCAGGTCGTGAACATCAAACATATTAGTATTTACAATATGGCCATTTAGACCGAGCCCGTAGAGTATACCCGCTTTCGTTGCTGGAGTGAACTACAAAAAACGAAAAGTATTCAACACGTGCTGTTCTAACTTACTTTTTCTGTGTTATTGCAAATAGCCATAATCCATTCTCCATCAACTTTAACCTGTGAAGAATCTGCAAACCTAAGAGCAGAAGATACGCCGTTGTAGAAGTCACCCCATTCTCGGAATGGACGCAAAGTCTATAATGATTTCATTTTTTTTTCTTTTAAATGTTATCCCTGACATCGTTAATAGTAATTTCAAAATTTGTGTTAGATGGGAACAAACGAGCTGTGAGACAAAGCTTCGGAACATCAACATGAGATACTGAGAGTGTAGGAGTGGTCGTTCTAAAACCATATAAGATGCTTGAAACATAAGAACGAATTACCTGAAGTTAAGGAACGCGCTACCCATAGATTGAACCAAGTAACGGATAGATGCTCCAGACAAGAACAATTCTTGGGCATCCTTCAAATCAGTATCCGCTAATCCCCTATAATTAGAAACAATCAAAAGTCTTCAGAGTTGTTTTCTTACAAGCTTTCTGTGTTAATCAACACTGGACAACTGCTTTTGCTGAGCATATCTTTCACATTCATTAATCTCTTGTCTACCGACCAACGGGCTGTTGCTATATCCCAAAACTCATGAGTTGTAGGGAAGCTCCTGAATATTCTATTTAATTACGTTGAGAATTCAACGTACACTTCTAGTTTTGAAGTTCGGCATACAAGCGTATCTACAGCGGTTTGATCAGAGTGTACTATTTTACCAAACAATAGAGCTATGTAAGGTGGGAATCTATCAACATCTTCCAATCCCATTCCAGAAACTCGCAAAGTCCAAACGCATCTGGAAGGACCTGTGAGTAACAGATTATTCAGGAGTACTAACTTGAAAGATAACGATTCCTTGGTGTTTAAAAACTTTTCCAAAAACTTGGACTGATCTTCAGAAGAGAACTTCAATCGTTTTGTCCAATTTTTGCCAAAATGTCTCTGTATATCATTCAAGGTCTTGATTCTGGCCAATCCTATGCCAATAGCTGAACTGAAAGATTGAGAAGACAGCAAAAACGGTCTCTTCATACCTAACAAGATTCTAGCAGTGAGAGGAGCACACAAAGGTAATGGAGACACATTCACTTCCTTCAAAAACATTTCTACTGCGACCCAAATGCTAAGAACGCGATTAGGATTGAAATTTCTCAGCCCATGCGGCGAAGGAAACTCTGTAAATATGCTAATTGCATCTTCACGTCATTACACGCTGACACATAGCTGTTTATATTTAAAATGAACTCAACGCGAGAATCGGTTGTTTTACTTATAGATAGAAAAACGACGTTCTTCCCTTCTCTCATCTTCTAGGAATATCTCACCTTTGGGACTATCATCAGTCATGGATACCTGCAAGTCCTTACATTTGGGAAACACTTTTTCATACAGAGCAATATATGCATCAAGCTTCAAGAGTCTAAAAATAGGCTCTTGCATACATTCCAGAAGCTACGCATACTTCACTACAGAGTAAAGATAGAATACTAAGGACGATCGAAGATTCTTTTGACCTCTCTCCAGGGACATGTTTTCCCAATGTGCATGAAGTGCAGAAAAGGTTCTAAAATTTTGAATTCAATCAAGCCCCGCGATTTAATGAATTACATGTAAATGTTCGAGTACAAAAGAGCTGCTGGATTAACAGCCACCCGGACGTTATAAGATGAAAAGGGATTTACTTGGCAATCAATGCCGTAGGACAAGATTTGCTTCCAGTTCTGAAAGCCAAGTTGGATTATTGGAAAGCCCAACGCGCATTACCTGATCAGCAGAACGTAATGGCCTTCTTTGCTTTGCTTGTGTTTCATCTAGTTCATCCGTTTCAGAATCCTACAAAGTACAAATTTAGAATAATGAGACCATTAGTATTCATCACCATCCTCATTTTAATAACAGTAGGAATATCAAAACCTATACTCTTCAAGACGAAGAGATATGTATTATGGATGTTAGAATATATGGTGCCTCGTTGGGCAGTGGGAGTATGGCCTAAAATGGTTCGTGTGAAGAAAGGATGATATTAATCGAAAAAATACTTCTCCACTCTCCTGCCAAACGCATGGCCTTATCCTGAGGAAGCGCTTCCAAAATTGTGGCGAAAAGTAATTGAACTGGAAAAAAACGAACATTTCCAGAAAATATTGGATACTCATACCATCTTTTGAAGAATACATAGGCGGAATCGTGAGATGATAAATACTTTTCCCGACGACGAGGGAGAATGTATCATCTATGGCAGATGGGATAAACACGGAACGTTGCCATTGAGGTGAACTGCTTAAAGCCTGGCACTAAAGGAAAAACAATTGCAGAAAAAGGAAAATTAACGAACGGTAATGAAAACATCAGTTGTTCGAGCGATCCCGGAATAAATAGAGATATGATGATTGAAAAGTACAACAGTTGAATCATCCTGCAAGAGAAGGACAGAGTTCATATGAAGAATTTTCAATAACCTTCATCGGAGCTGCATCTACACATTCCATAACGGAGAGATTTCCGGAAATCGCGAACGACTTTTCAACTTCGATTAGTCTAATAGATCGCAATTGAGACTTGGCACCTTTTATGGATTCGGGTGGACGCATCATATAGTTCATGTATGTATGGCCTATGAACGATTTCGAGAGAAAAGCCTGGATTAAGACACTGATTTGTAAAGCATAACTAAAAAACGAACCCTGCAAGCCGGGTAAGAAGGTTCTTCTTTCCGTGGCTCAACCCAAACGCATTCCAAACAGAATTCGGCATAGAGTAGATCATTGTCGAACTCTCGTTCCAGAACTCTTGTGAGGTGAAGTCTAAACCACAACATCAGTTAGATGAAAAAAAGTTGCTAAAATTAACTCATTGATAGAATAATGAGAGACTGCCCTTAAACGGAAGGACACAGTTGAATCCCGAAAAGATGGTTTGTTATGCGATCTGAAAAGAAGTGTTTTCTGCGTAAGTAGGAGGGAGGAAGTTCCCTACAAAGGAGTTCCTATGGCAGATAAGGCAGGGCTGTCCATATGGAAATTCCTCGTTCTTTCCAAACGTCTCATGCTTCTTGTGGTTCGTCCGGGAGGAAGATGAGCCATTGGACCTTCAAACATTATTAGATCTGTTCATCATTGATGAGATTTGTTTGAGAAACTTTTTGTGAACTCTCCCAGTTTTACTTTGAATTTTAAGAAAATCTCATCAGATGTCTTCACACCCAAACATTGCTCAAATGCTCAAGAACAATTCTAGTGTTCATATAGATTCTGCTTCGCTTAGCTCATCCTAAAAAGCAAAGCGAGGAAAGACCAACGGCAATTTAAGCCTCTTAAAGTCATTGCAGATTCTTCAGGCAGTTGTAATTAGACAGATGTGTGCTTTCGTAAGAACTGCAAATGATTAAAAATCAAAATGATTTCCATAAAAAGAAGATCAAAACTATCTTGCGCCACATTTTTGAGAAAGCAATTTTCAACTGCTTGTCTAAGCCAAGCATCACTTTTTCAATCAGATACTACGAAAAGTAAGAAGATTCATTAAATCTCTCTTTTCTCTTCTCTCTCTCTCTTTCTAAGCAGTGAAATGATCCTTTTAGTACGCGATAACAGCACTGAAGGCAAAACACACTCGCGGATAACACAAAGATCTAAATTAGGTTAGACATGGCCCGCAAGCAATCGAATTTAGGCAGGTGTCAGTCGCCGTCAAAAAAAAAAGTTCCGTCCTTTGCCATTCAACACCTTCAGAATATCTCATTATTTCCACCTTCTTCACATCCGCTCATCTTCATTTTTTCGAATACGACAAAACCTCATGGGCTTACAATGTCAACACATTAACAAGCCTCTATAGTCGCTCCTCCCATTCCTTTCTGCTATACCCACAACCCAAGAGGTTCTACTCTCTCTCTCTTCTCCTTTTCACATAGGCACATTTTCTTCTACGAAAGCATTATTTCTCTTCTTTTCCATATTTTAAAACCTATAATCATATTATTGTTCTTCAGCACGCGTTTATAAAATTAGAGGATGGGAAATCAATCTGCTCGTCAATTATCCACTCATCGCAAACATGTCATACAGTCGTGGACAACCATCTACTCCTTTGATTCTAATTTACTTAACAATGCTATAAGGTTAGTCCCTCATTATTTCAAAGGAAATGTGAAAAGTGAGAAATGATCTTGTAATTTGGCACTTAACCGCATAGTTTGTTTTCGTCTGGAAATGAATATCGTTTTTCATACTTGGAGCAACAAGTGGATGAAAGCAAAACTTGAAACTTTGTTTTTTAATTTTTTGCTCATTTTTGACTTTTGCTGATCTTGGGTATAATCTCTGTCCCCTTACTCGACTAAAACAGTAATGGTCGCGATATATTTGGAAGTATCGAGACCAATAGTCAAGTTACGTCACAATCACATTTGCTGCGACGGGGGCGTCTTCAGGAAATCGGTTAGACAGCAGCTCTTTCATCCGAAATAGACACTGATTCTAGAGAGACTACCGCTAACAAGTGTTCTCAAGAAAATTACAAAAAAAACAAGTTATTTAGAAAGTGTACACGTGTGAATTTCAGTGATGCTTGGCTCAAAGCGGCTGAATTGACCCCCACATGGGTTTGGGCGTTGGTTGATCTTCCGGAGACGATGCACTCAACTTATAGGGAAAATACACAATTCACAAATATGATTCAACAGGTATCTTTTCGATTCAAGGAACCATACTATAATCCAAGTTAGGTCAGAGATTTTCTTCATGTTCTTATAAAAGTGCATAAATGTGACCCCGAGATGATAAAGACGTTAGCTTTCCGGCTGGGAAGTCGACATAGGTTAGGACACCCTAAAGCTTACGCATACTTCCAAATTTCTTATTCAGACATTATATGAACGAAGGAAACGATAACTCATATTGGGCTCCTTTCGCTCAACAACTACCCATTGCCATGACCAAAACATACATGCAAGTGGTCAACAACGATAATAAGTGGGTAAAACACTAAAAGTAAAAAACGTTTGTACTTTAAATGACCGACTGCAAAACAAAAGAATCAACTAGAAATAATAACTTTGAGCTGAGAGTTCACTATTCAGATTAAAAAGAATTTTACGCATACGACCGAAAACAGAGAAAAGTACAGAAGAGGAGCTTTGTGAATCTTGGAGGCAATTTATGAATATGGTGGTCGAATCGATGAAGAGAGGATATGAGGGATGTGCTTCAGAGAAGACACCTTTGAGACTCAGTATAACCAAGTAAAGACTTTTACATATTTCGATTAATGTATCGTTCTTAAGTAGCATCATATCAATGGCTTCATTACGATCTACCAGATCACGATCAACTTCGCACTTTCTCGAACCAAATCTTTCACCTGCTATAGGTAAGTATTCGTCAATATCTATCCAATCACAACATTATTCTTTAGCATATTCGGCCCCCACATCTTCTCATAGCAATAGTGCTACAACTCCATCACCGGTCATGCATTACAGAAGTCGGAGTATCTTTCGGGCAAGGCCACAACGTTCAAGTCAAGACATTACTAGTCTGCGGAGGCTTAGCTCTCCAAACAACTCTGCTTGTCTTCTCACACACAGCGACTTGCAACTTCTAAGATTAGTAGACAACAAGAACATGTCAGACCAGCGTCGTTCTCTCACATTATTGCCTTTTTAAGAATTCAATTGGAAAAATAAATACCTCTTGATACTGGAGTACTTGTCTTAGGTGAAGGTTGAATTTTATGTCTCTCAGGTAGAAGCCTGGGAGTTCCTGATATCATACGACAATCGTCTGATGTAGCTTTACGGATACTGTACAAAACATGAGCCTTAAACAGAAAAAATATCCACAGATAATCTATATATAACCTTTTTCGCGTCGTCATAAATTAGCAAGCAAGAGTTGAAGCTCCCCACGACCTGATTAGACACTGTGAGCATGTAAAAGTTAGTAATATCTTAAAAATTAATTGAGATGAGTCGAAAACTCTTTATGTTGCCTCCGTCTCGGAAAATCACAGGACGAAGTTCGTCCAGAGGATGTGTTAATGTGTATAGATAGATAGACTCTTCAGTTTTCTCAGCTCTATTTATCAGATGATCCCAACTTCTCTCTATTATTAAACAATCATTAGCAGCAAAAACACCTCGAATCTGAAATATATTGAGGAGCTGAAGGCGTTCCTTCCATTTTCGTTTACCTTGAATGGGAAGCTGAAATAGAAGGGATGATCATCCTCAGTCTGGTAAAATACAAGTTCTCTTTCTCCAACAAGTGTTAGATAATCAATTTTCTCGCCAGGATCTTCAGCTGATAATCGTGACCAACACGGGAACCATAAAATCTGAGTAAAGAATAATTTGCTTTATTCGGAGAAGAAACCTCACATCAACAATAGGAAATTTGGCTGTGAGTCTTCGTACGAGTTCTCCATTTCTACGAAAAACAACAACTTCACAGCCCTTAGTAGCAGCAATTATACAAGACCCATCAGCTAAAGCATGCTCGCGATAAACCCCCTGAAAATGAAGGTTTCAAGAGATGATCTCTCTCATAATTTCACAATATCTTCGCAACTTCTATCCCAAAAATCGAACTCAATCTTTCTGGCTGAAGCACTGATCATTTTAACTTCTACAGAGTTATCTGACTCCGAATCATTCATCCGCCTGAGCTCGCTTACTAAATTATTTTTTCATGAACAACAACTCATCAAAAGGTAGTAGTAGAAAGCTTCACTATTGCGAGGGGAAAACAAATTAATCATTTTAAATTATTTAAAACCAGTATTTTACAGGAATAGATTATGAGAATTAAACGATCATAGAAAAAATGAAAAATTAATTAATCAGCGGCGTTAATTTCTTTGAGACGTTTGGATTCATCAGTTTGGTTGGTCTCGGCAGTTCTTTTAACTCCTTTGCGGACCATGTCAGTAATGTCTTTTGCTGGAGCATCAGTCTTCTCAGCTAGGGCAGGAGTTCCCTTGTTAAGTCCAAGTTGCTCCTTGATTTTGGCAATATTCTAAATCATTAACTGTTACATCTATTAAAAGTTTTTTAATACCTCATCACTCTGTTGGGCACTTTCCTTAGCATCTTCAATCTTCATATCGATATCAGCAATTAACTCATTAAGCTCTGCAACCTCTTTGAGGTTTTCAGTCTTCTCTTCTTCAGTTCCTTCAGCAGATTCAAGAGATGCTTAACAGAAAAATTAAAAAGAAAAAAAACATTTAAAAACTAACCACGTTTACCAACAAGGCTTTCTTTGGCTTTGGCGTAGAAACCACTAGCTCCGAGGAAATCATCATTGAGCTTGTAGGCTCTGGCCATGATGATCAAAGCACGAGCAATAGTTCTGCTGGTCTTTTCCATGTGTTTACCATAAAGTTCAATGGAAACGGAAATATCGTCAACAGCTTGGGTATAGTTCTCGTCTTCGACAGAGCATTCTCCAAGGGCAAGATAAACATCAGCTTTGTTGAGTTCCCACTCCTTGTTCTGTTCTTGGGCATCACAGATCTTTCTAGCAACCTGTTAACAATTGAATAGTGACCAACATGTATAAAAAATATTACCTCGAGAATCTCCCAAGCAGCTTGGATAGAAGATGGTTCATTTTCTTCCTCATCCCCTTCTCCTTCAGCATCTCCCTCTTCACCTTCGGCTTCCGCATCTCCTTCCTCCATAGCAGCATCCTCAGTAGTGGCTTCGGCTTCCTTTACCTCAGTGGTAGTTTCAGGTTCGGCCTCATCCTGCTCAGCAGGGGTTTCAGCTTCAGCCTCAGTGGTAGCTTTTTCCTCGGTCTCCATTTGCTCAACCTCTTCGGTTTCTTTGTTCTCAGTTTCACCAAGCTGTAGTGATAATGTATTAATTTAATTAAGTTTGGTAAAACAAAATACCTTCTCCTTAAGCTTTCTATCAAGTTCGGCAGAGTTCTCAGCAAGAGCATCGTCAACTTGTTCCTTGATTTCTTCCCGCTCTTCCTCTGAATTTACTAGCTTCAAAAAGTCAACAGTTTTATGAAAATTATTACCGGTGAGGGTTTCTGGGTTTCCATACTGCTCATCATCAATGTCAGCATTCTCCTCAGGAAGAGGCATGTCCTTCAAAGCGGTTTTAAGAACATCTTCCTCAGCTCTTCCGATTTCAAGAAGGGCTTTACCGTAGAAGTAATAGTTCTGGTAATTCTCAACAGCGAACTCGCCATAAACCTCAACACTGCAAGAGTTAATTGTTATTAATGACCAACATAATTTTTACTAACCCGTAGTTAAGAGCTTCACTCAATTTCTCAGAGGCAGGAACATATGTTCCGGAGAGGTAACACTTCTTTCCTTCGTTGAAAATTTCCTTGGCTTTAGCGATTTTTCTAAAACGTATACGATAAATATTAATATGAATAAATAGCTTACTCTTCCTTTGTCATTGTAGGCTCTTCGACATTGGCTTCTTCTGTGACAACTGATTCGGCAACTTCTGATTGAGCAACTTCTTCTACTGGAGCATCGGTAGTCGCGGTGGTGCTGGTAGCTTCTTCGGTTTTGATCTCGGCTTTTACATCAACAGAAGGTTCTTCAGTGGTAGCATCAGCAGGAGCTTCGGTGTTAGTTGTGGATACTTCGACTTTGACATCCTTAGCAACTTCAGCAGTGGTAGTAGCTTCTTCAGTAGCGGCAGTTTCAGCAACATCGGTAGTTGTTGACTCGACTACTGGAGTTTCCACTTTGGCCTCACATGTTTCAGCTACACTCTGTTCAACAGGAGTAGTGTTTTCGGTAGATTCAACAGCGGGGACATTAGTGGTTTCAACAGAAGAGTCAGCAGCAGACATTATGATGAATCTAAAAAAACAAAAAATTATCAACGAACTGTACAACGGTCAAAAGACACAACCGACTAAACGCAATGGATAACTGAAAGTAGAGTAAAGTCAATACTTCACGTAACATTTTAAATCCCCCGCTCTGATTTGGGCGCCATCTTTTCAAGAGAAATTTTCGCAGTCCTTCAAGTGCCGGGCTTTCTGAGCGCCTTGACAGAATGTTTTGAATCAATAGGATATATTTATAAGTTTTGGTCATTTCCAAATGTTATTATTTTTGGTAACATTTAGATTGACTAATGAAGTTTCCCATAATAATGAAATATTTTTCTCATTAAATATTATGACATTATAATTTCCTCTTTTGTTCCCAGTTTTCAACATTGACATGCTCTTACTTGATTTGCTGTGAATGCAGTCAGATAGAGCACTCATACTTGCAATATTTTTTATCATCGGAACATGAGCTAGCAGAGTATACTCTTGTAGAAGCTAATTCCTCTTAGACTTTTCTTTGGTAACGTTTTTCATCTGTGCGTTAACTAATAGGAATTTGGTTCGGCATTTGTACTGACTTTGGGTTGCTTCGTAAATGCCAGTTCTCAACAACTTATGCTTAATCTTTCACCTAACTGAGCTCATATTGAGAATGGTATCAAAGATGTAAAACGATGAATATGAAGCTTCTGAAATTTTACACTGCTTGCTAGGCTATTACTCTTGTTTTTCTGAAGGGTCGACATAAGGCTCGTCTCATGTTTTCATAGAAGAATCGTATTGAAATAATAAAATGTTTTGTTATTGAAGCATGACCCTGCTAGTATTATTTCATTCTGCGCTTGTAAAACTGAAGTATCACAATCACTAGTTTCATGTTGACTATCTTTTACGGGATAACCACAAGTTTCTCTAGAAAAAGGTTGGGGGCTCAACTTTGTAGATCTTCAAGTACGCGGCTCATGTCTTACTCACCGCCCGTAATTTCGAGTAGGTAATACCAGAGTAGGAATCAGTTTCGTTAAAGTTTTCATCGGAATATTTGCAAATTTCAACGAACGATACTGATTTCCATTCGGTTTCTAAATAACAAACCGAATAACTTGTTTCCCATGTCATCTTGGGCAGCAGTATCAGAAGACTGGCTCAATCAACAGATGATCCTAGAAAACTAACCTTGTTTCCATATTCACTAATTGATGTTTTCTACATCTATCCTACATTAGCCTCCGATGAATGTAGTCGTCACGATTCTACTTTGGTTTGCACAATTATTTTTCTTCTCTTCATCCAAATAATTTCGTGTTTCTCATGGCTGTTTTCTGTTTTTGAATGTCACTTGTTCCTCATTAGCACATCGATAATCACTCAATCACTTACAGAAAAAGCTTTACTTTTTGATTTACAAACAAAAATGCATGATGCACAAAAAATTATTCGTTATTGATCTCTTTAAGACGCTTGGATTCGTCAGTTGGAGTAATTTCCGCGTTTCTCTTAACTCCTTGTCTGGCAATACTGTCATTTTCAATTTTTTCGGTTACTTCGTTCACAACTTCAGTAGTATTCTATGATTCAAAAAATGATTGATAGTGTCATCGTATAACCTTACCTCATCGGCCTGCACTACTTCTGGAGCAGATTGTTGGATCTCCAATTCCAATTCAGCAATTTTCTTCTCTAATTCTTCAACCTCTTTGAGGTTCTTGGCCTTCTCTTCATCAGTTATTTCTTAAAGCAAACGAAGAAATACAATGAAAGCGTTTGAACTATACCAGCTCTTGCGGTGATGGTTTCCTTAGCCTTGGTGTAAAGCTCTTGAGCCTTGGTGAATTCTTTAGTATTTTTGTACGCGTTAGCAAGAGCAATTTGAGTTTCAACGACTTCTGAGCTGGCGGATTCGATAAGAGCATTAAAAAGCTCTAAAGCTTGGGCGTAGAAGGTGGAGGCCTTGGCAAAGTTATCCTCCTTATCGTAAACTTCACCAGTAGCGAAAACAACTTTAGCAGCGCGAAGTTCCCAATCCTTCTTGTCCTCTTGAGCTTCAACTATCTTTTGGGCAGCCTAATATTATAATTAGGCTTAAGCAAAAAAGGAAATCCTGACTTCGAAAGCTTCGAGAGCGAGAACATAGGGAGTCTTAGACTCGGTTGAATCAGCGGCAGCTTCATTTGTTTCTTCTTGAGCTTTATTTTCCTCAGTAGTCTCTGTGGGCTTAGCAACTTCCTTTTTGAGGAGAGCCTTTCCGTAGTAGTAGTAGGTGTCGAAGTTTTCAACTCCAAACTCTCCGAAAGCCTCAACTCTGTAACAGTTGTCATTAACTGGTTCCAAGACTTTTGCATATTTTTGGTTAATCTTTGTGCGTACCCCAACTTCAAAGCTTCGCGCAATTTCTCTGAGGCTTGGTCATAAGTACCAGCAAGATAAAAATCTTTTCCTTCTGTGAAAACCTTTTTTGCTTCTGTAGTTTGTCTGTATATAGTATAATTAGGAGAGTAAACTATATGATCTCACTCCTCCTTAGGTTGCTCGGTTTGAGCTACAGGGGTTTCAGTAACAGCGGCTTCAGCAGACATTTTGATATTCTGAAAGAAAAAATTAACAAAAAAGATGGACAAAAATAAAGATGCGACCACACTCTACCAGCGCACAAGCATAGACTAACCTTTCAATTGTTTCTTGAAGCTCCCGCCCATTTTTACGCACCAATCAGGGACTACGCAAAATTTAACCATCAATATAGTATAGTTTCTATAGTAACTACGTGATATACCGTAACCCAAATCAAAAGAAACTTCATGAGACCATTAATTTTCAATTTCCCTCTTCTTTGAATATTATCATTTTTAGTTATGAACCATTATTTACCATATTCAATATTAGCGGGTGTATGTGGTTCATTAGGAGGATTGACTAGTAAATTAGCTTTTGGCCGTGATGGAGAAAAACTAGGCGATGTGGTGCGTTCAAACTAGAATGCATTATATTTTTGCTTCAGTTTTTTTGGGTTTCAGTTACATTTTTCATAGTGTTCAATCTGATTATGTGGTGGGCATATACCAGATCTTTGGCTAAATCGTCAAGTGCTCTAATGCCAATGGTCATCAATACGGGTGTGAACTTTTCTCTGACGGTAGAGAGCCTATGGTTTTTGATACAATGGTGGAAATGATTCAGGGAATTTTCGGAGCTGTACTTTTTGAGGAGATTCATGGTTTCGTATGGTGGATAGGATTATTTACAGTCTTATGTGGCATTACTTTGATGGCAAACGAAAAGAAGGAACATAATGAATAAGAACGTTTATGAAAAAGTTATTAACATGCTAATTTTTCAAAATAATGCAATGTATAAAGTAAGACCAGATAAAAATTACAATTACTTCGTAATAGTGTATGGTATTGACATTAAACTTCCTATTTACCGATGAGTCCTAATTCTCGAGCTTCCTTCTCCGCCCATTCTTGTAATTCTTTCTCATTTTCCATCGGAGAATCATCTCCGCAAATGCCGTCAATGTAGAAGGATCCTAAAAGAAACGAGTATATGCACATACAATCAGTTTTAATGGTCTTACGTTGGGCTGTGTAGGCTTCGAACTCGTCGTCCGAGTCATTATCAACAGATTCTGTAATTCGATCATTAATTATCTTAGTAAAGAGGTTATAGATACTTCGTCTCTTGAACTGTGATGACTGACTAGAGGGCAAATTCATAATCGAAGAATAATCACTAAAATCGACTATAACTCTGCTTCCTCTTATGGACAGTTTGTCGGAATCAACAGCCGTTCCTCCGACCACAACAGTCACATTACCCTGAATGCATTCAAATAACACTTCATTTTAATAAGAACTTACAGGAACATCATTAGGAAAACTTTTAATCAGCGTCTGAATAGAATCGCTTGTTATCTGAAAATGATTCGAGTAGATATCACTGAAATGCAAATGAAATACCAATAAAGAGCCACTCAAATCAAGATGTTTGAGATATTTACAACGGGCAAGTCCTTTCACCCCTTCGTCACTTAGGTAAGTACAGTTCCTTACTTGAAGGATTTGAAGTTTACACGCATATGCGATTTCTAAAAGAGTTCCAGATCTCACAGAGCCAATAGAAGAAATGTCTATCTGAAACGAACGAAGTAAAAACTGAAAAGTGAAAAAACGATACCTGTTCTAAATTGCCTAACTTTGCAAGGGCATTGAGCCCCCTATCCGTAATAGACTGATCAGTACCAGCATTGGCCAAACTAATAGTTTTCATATTCACGGCTTGCTGAGATAAGGAAACGAGAAAAGCGTCATCAACCAATGGATTATAGTCCAAGGCCAGTTCCGTTAAATTTGTTAATCGAGTAATGTGAGATAATCCAGCGGAAGATAGATGAGAGAACTTATCTCCGCATAATGTTAATACTTGTAAGTCTTCCATTCTTCTTGAGATAATGCTGAAAAGAAACTGCGTAAAACGCAGAACCTATCATACGCACCTGAGCACTTCGTCAGTGATATTATAACATTCATTGATACGTAATTCTTTTAAACTAGTTGAGGTCGTGCATAAATCCTCGAAAGCCATGGAATCGATTCCCAAACAACTATCCAGATATAGCTATAAAAGTGAAATGATTACATGACGCACTATAGAACTCACCATCTCTAGCTCTCCGGTTAACAACTTCGTGAACCTTCCATGTAATTTACTGCAACCTCTCAAATCAAGGAAACTCAAACTTTTGGTGCAATTGCGCATGAGGTACCAGACCGACTTAACAATAATATTCATGAAGCATAGAAGAACCAAACAAACCTTATCACTGACTGTAGGCATATCCCTATAGGATAATTTTTTCAAATTAACTAAGCTTTCCGACAGTTCACCGAAAGCTTCCCAGTTTGCTTGAACACCAGAGAGATCAATCTAAGAATTTGAGACATAAAACAAAACTACTTCAGGTTCATACTTCTTCCAACTCGGGACAACACTGTGCTATTACAGCAAGTGCTTTATCATCCAACAGGTGAACTGTTCCTGATAAATCGAAACTCTTCAAATGAGGCCCTGCTCGGCGCAATATAGCCTGATTAATGAAACATACAATAAAAAGAAAAACAAATAGACTATTACCCTCAAATGACTTGTTCGAAGTGGATTATGCTTACCGAAAGCGTATTCTTTACCAAAACTGAGTTTTCTTATGTGGGACCAAGACTAAAAGTTGCGAGTATTAGAAAACATAGTATTTGTCTCTAGATACCTTGACTGATGCTTCCATAAACTTTTTGTTGACCCGTTCAAGCTTAACAGTATCGTAGATGGGTAGGAAGCAGAAAATATACTCGAGAATATTTGAATTAAAATCACCCAAGCTTATTAACTGTAAAATATGATTTGAATTCAATCAAGGAATGGGAACTTACATCAGCATGAATGGACTTTGAAGTCGAACTCAGGGATTGACTAGAAGAAGCGCGAGACAAACTGTCAACACTTTCTTCTGCAATAATGAATCTATTGAGATGGCATATAATTGAAAATACTTGCCTCTAGTGTCGTCAGCAAGAACTATTCCTTTACATCCTTTACGTTTTGATACAAACTATAAAAAATATAATTCGGTGGTAACAGGAAACTCAATATATAATTTGAAAATGAACCAGATCACAGCTTACTCGCAATCAAAATGAAACATATGGCAATGGAATTCATACCTTAGAAACAGTCATAACACTGTCATAAAACTTCAATTGATCCTCTGTAGCAGTTAATGTTTTCTCAGCTTCTTCCTTACGTCTACAATGATTTCAGTGTATTTATAAGCTTCCTAAACATGCAAATACTTGAATGTGATAACCGCAGTTCCACAGTTTTTAGTTGTTTTCGACAGAGCGCCAAAGAGAGATCGTTTCTCGCTTGGCAATGAACAATGAGAAACCTTAAACGAATTTCAGAAATTAAACAGAGTTCAATTGAGAAGCTTACTTTGCCGAATTGTGAAAAAAAACTTTGTAACTGTGACTGTGTAACTTTCGATGGGATATTCGTTACCGTCACCTTACGATCATCTACAGAATTAGCTTGGAAAGCCAGAGCTGCATCAAAATCTGAAAAGAAGAAGTTCGAGTGGTGGACGAGAATAATAGATAACCATCCGTTTCCATATTCTCGAACTCTTGCCCATCAGCCAATATCATAGGTAATAACCTCCGATATTTCATAAATTCGACTGCAGAATGAGACCAAGTTCGTCTGTTAATGAAAGATGATTTCAGATGACAGACTGTTAAAAAACCTCAGTTTTCCAACGCTGAAAAAACGAGCACGAGTAACAAAGCTCTGAAAAGCTTCGCTCATGTCATTTAAACCTCGACTCTCCAGGTTTTGGCCATGCAAACGTCTGAGCGCCTTGAACATGGACTGAAAAAATAAGAATAAGCTAATTAAGCCAATATTCCACAACCGTTTTTTGTCCAGTAGAATTACCCCGGAAACTATGTCGAAAGTCCATGTTCCTAACAATAAGAAAAAATAAAAAAATTAGCAATTAATAACGGAATTCAAGGTGTGAAAACGAGAAATTGAGGAAAGAAGGCAATTTGTTTTAGGTTGCTGGTTGGTCAATAACAGATGAATGCGAGGTCGAAGGGCACCACCAGTTCTCCATAAAGATCGATAAGTATGTTCGGTCACCAATTACATACAAAACAAGAATGCTCTCCTAGACAGATTGAGGATTCTGAGCAACAAATAAAAGATTTCTTTTGTTTTATTTATTCAAGTGTCATCATTTTCATGATTATAGATTTGTTTTTTGATACAGAAGTTATCGAAAGTCTCGTAAGAATCATTTTCACTCAGTTTTATTATCTAAGTCAGCTAATAATAGACACTAGAGTTTTACAAATATTTTTATTTTCACTCTTAAGTTCGGCTTGGAGATTAAGCACACAGAGTTCTGTTGAATCTTGTGCCAATAGCAAAAATTGGTCCTGACACGAGTGTTGTTTATAAATTAAATGAGTCTCCAGAAATTTGAGCATCGTTAATGTATATTTTAATCGTTGAATTAGAAAATGAGATCATAGTGATATTTAATATCTTGAAGCTAAAATTTAAGTTTAGAGATGGGTCGTACCTGTCCACATTGCGGTTGCTCGGAAATAGATGAAGACACCGCAAGAGGTAAGACTCCTCGTGATAATGTGTTTATCATATTTGTTCGTTTTTAAGGAGATGCCACATGTACAGGATGTGGTACCGTTTTGGAAGAATCCATTGTTGTGTCGGAAAATCAGTTCCAAGAGAGAGCTGGGGGAAGTGGTCATACTCTCGTGGGTGAGTGTCAAAACAGTTTTACACGGGTTAACGGAGCATTATGAAGGACAATTTGTCTCTATGGATAGATCTACGACCCATACTTTACAAGGAGTACCTGGTTTAACCTCTCAAGAGTCTCGTGAAGTAACCTTTCAGAAAGGTAGAAAGCTGATCGAAGAGGTGAAAGCAACATTGTGAAATAATTTCGTTGGTTGTTTCTATAGATTGCAAGTCAGCTACGAATCAACCAACATTGTATTGAAACTGCGTACAATTTCTTCAAAATGTGTGTAAGCAGAGGATTAACTAGGGGTCGCATAAGGTACATTATGGAAAAGAATCAACTATTAACTGTTGTGTTTTGAGAACTCATGTTGTTGCCTCTTGTATGTACATGACCTGTAGATTAGAAAACACATCCCACTTGCTTCTAGATTTCAGTGATGTTACTCAGGTATTTCTGATGGCTTCTCTTATATCTTATTCATCTATGTTAGGTTAATGTCTTCGATCTCGGAAGAACACTCTCATTTCTTAGTAGATCTCTTCGAATTAATTTGCCCACCACAGATCCTTGCTTGTATATTATGCGGTTTGCATGTATGTTAGAGTTTGGCGACAAGCAGAAAGAGGTAGACAATTTCTTACTTGTAATACAGTGACCAAGTTAATTTTTTGAGGTTGTGAACCTCGCGACTAGACTTGTGCAGAGAATGAAAAGAGATTGGATGTCTACAGGTCGTAGGCCTACGGGGTTATGTGGAGCTGCTCTCCTGATAGCTGCTCGGTTTGAAAAAATTATATTTGGTTTTCATAAATTTTCTTTAAGAGCTTTCAATTTCAATAGGTCTATACCAGATGTAGTTAGAATTGTGCACATCAGTGAGTCAGTCGTTCGAAAACGATTAGAGGAGTTTGGTCAAACTCCTTCTGGAGCGTTAACCATAGATGAGTTTGCTATAGTGGATCTGGTTGGAGAAAGAAAAAATGCGAGAAAAAAAACTGTAGTTTTAGGAGCATGATGAAGATCCTCCTGCTTATCAAGAGTCGAAAAAAAAAGTAAGGGAACAGTTAATGCGGAATGAATCTCTCTTGGCTGAGAAGGTAATGTCTAAAGGAGGAGTATGGAATATCTCTAATTTTTAGTTACAACCTGTGGAAGAGGAGATTGAGAAAGCTCTCGAGAAAAAAAGACGAGAAAAGTTCAAGCATACTCCCTACGCTAAAATTGTTGCAGGGGCGATTGGTACGATACAGTTCTCTTTTGTCAGTTAGTATATTGCTTTTAGACGATCCTGATGTTGGACAAGCTGAAGAGCGTTTAGTAAGAAATGATATAATTGATTCCGTTTTTGAAGCAGCTGATGAAGTAACGTCTGACAAGTAAGTTACTTCCTCTCGTAACCGTTCACGATAATAATTATTAGGGATGACTCTCAGTATGCTCAATTCCGTCCCACCCTTGAATCCCTCGGCATTGCCAGTAGCTCGAGTGGTGTTTCAACTCGAATGAAATATTGTGATGTACCAAATGGAGAATTAGAACTTGATGGTGAGTTGTGATTCACTGTATGAGTGCTAAATTGTTATAGATATTGATGATGATGAAATTGATACCTATATTCTAAGCTCGGCCGAAGCTTCATTGAAGGAGAAGTTCTGGATGAAAAGTAATGGTGAACACTTGAAGGAAATGGAGAGACGGTTTGTTCATTTGGAAAAACATGTTGTCATTGTGATTATATGATAGGAAGAGAGAACGTGAAGAGCAAGAAGAGACTGGCAAAGACGCTGGAGTGAAGAAAAAGCGTCGATCCACTGCTAATCGGAACCCTGGCTTTTACACCCCGGCTAATACTGCAGTAGAAGCGATGGAAAAGATTATCCATGTATATTCTATTGTTTCTTTGTATATCCTCATACGTTGTTTAAGGAGAAGAAATTATCAAACAAAGTCAATTACGACATCCTGAAGGAAATTGAACACACTTCTGTTCCTGGGACTAGTATGCCTGTCAAACCAGAGGTATTTTGAGAAACTTCCTGATGTTTTATTCTTCTTCATTATATTAACAAACAACCAGTTCCTATCGTCCACATAGTTTAAATGATTTCTTCTGTACCACCAAAATTTCGTTCATGCAAATTCACATCACATGACCATGATACAACTATTGCTTTCATAACTATTCTTTTCAGACACTCCCAAGCACACCTGTTAAGCGCAAAGCAACAGAGGTAATAATTAGCCTTTGAAACAATCTTCTAAAATGAACCTCTTTTCCAGAACATCGATTCTTCTAGCTCAGCTGATATTCTTGCTGGCGTGGTCTGCTGTTCAAAGCTATTGTGATCTTATTGATTTTTTTCAGACACACTCACCTGATTTATCCAAACGAGAGAGAGATATAAAAAGAAGAAATACAGTGAATTCGTCATTGACCAATCTTCTTGATGTAGAAACAGTTTTGAAGACTGAAGTTGTCACAACTGTATGTTTTCGATCAGTTTTCTTGGTTATCATTGATCGATTTTAGGAAAAAGCAACTCCCAAGCCAGAAGAAAAGAAAGTATTTACCCCTCCAATTTCACTTCCACTTACAAGAGGAAGACTTACAAGATCTCGGCGTTTAATAAATGCCGCTCCTAACATTGGGAAGACTCAAACAGAGAAATGAGTTGTTTTTCTGTTGTTGGACAAACGCTTGCATATTATTTTTGTTGGTGTTTGTTAGGAGTTTTCAAGGATTAATGTATAATAATGGTTTTACGAAGTCGGAAATATCTGGCAACTCTCACTTGGAAGCACATCTAATACGAAAATATATATACATATATACATGCTTAGCTGAGTATCCTTCCCCAACATAACCTCATACTTCATATTTGTCTTAATTATCTATGCCTTCCCTCACTGCTGTTAACAAACAGTCTTACCTCTCAAAAATACACAGGGACATATGTCTATTATATAGTTCTAATGTTTTGTTAGCTGCTTTATTCCCTATCTTTTCGATATTTTGCGTTTAGTATGTCCCAGATTCTGAAATCCATCTAGATCTATCAAGTACATCTGACGTTTTTCGTACTTTCACTCTTGTCATTGAACTAGAGTTGTTTATATTTTAGATTTTACGGGTTTTTTTCCTAAGTTGATAACATTCTTTAATAAAGATTCATGATCTAATATAACAACTAAATGTATTTGTTAGCTAAAGCTAAAACTTTTGAAAATTGTACATTACTTCTCTTATCCATAAGCTTCAGAGGGACAGGAGCTGTAATTCTGTTACCCAATGGGTTTCCTAAAACGCAAATTCATCTTTTATTACTTTCGTTAAACATACCTTCTTCGTCCAATAGAACAATATTATTGGAATCTGTTACAGGAACACCATGCTTCCGATAGTGAACGTGAGTATTTGCTCCAACTACAAAAGCTTTGCGCATTTCTCCTCTGATAGCAACCAGAATCTAGGAAGCTGTGTATGATTTGCGGGACTGATAAACTGTACGTACCTTATCTCCCAACGTAGCATGAGGTAAATGTCGAGATCTCATTCCTTGTTTATAAACGTGGATACAATAAGCCAATTTTCCTAGATTTAGAGATTAACATATCACAACTTATTATGCAAACCTGAGGCGTTCGCTTCTTTTCCCAGAGTAGAGTTATCCACAACCATACACCTAGTTCTACGATGAATACCCATTGATGGTGCTCGAGTACGATGCTTAGATAATTCATACCTTAATAGTATTAGTTGAATTCAAACAAAGCTTCGACTTTATAAGTTTATCAATAATAACCGTAAACAACTAAACATAGAATGCGCCATTCCACACTTTCGTTTTCCTAACTTTCTCAGGGGCATTAACCATTTCATAGGGACAATGTCTACAACCACTACCGCAACATTTAGCTTTTTGAAGATGGTGACTTATGGTGAAGACGGTATACTTCGTCTTTGGATCTATATAAGTCAGCTTACGCTCTTCAACAGCTTGTAGATGTATCATATATATGTCTCTCTCCTCACTCGTCAACTGATTATAATCATTCCAAGCAACAGTGGCTTGGTTTATAGAATCTTCGAACAACACGTAATTGGCGATTTGCTCTCCGTTTTTATGTTCCACTAGGCTATAAGCTTTTTTCCCAGCCCCCTTCGGTGTATAATAAACGGGCATTTTATCCTTCCTAGTCTCTACATGCGATTCCGTTCCAATTGTAACTGCGCTATCATTAACATTTGTAGAATAATTGCAATAAGCAGCCCTCCTGAAAGCTCCATTCTCAACAAACGAGAAATGGCGTAGGATATTCTTGAGAAAAAATTCAAAACTCACTCTGGTTGAGGATACCATCTCCCTGAAGCGAAACATTTAGCTGTCCAATCCAAGTGGTTGACTTTTCTCAGTAAATTACTCGCCAAGGAGTTACTTGCCCAAGATAGGGCACTCATCTACAAACATGTGAATTGATTTATTATTTCTTTAAGCTGGGAGAATTAAGTATACTAATATCGAAGCGAGAGAACGTTGAAAAACAGCTTATCTTTGATGATAGTTTAAAAAAAATTCAGCTTCAAGAGAGCTGATTAGCAGATTTTGGGTGTCTCTTACTGCGCCAGCAAGGCGCTTTTCTCGTGTTAGATAGGAAGGCTTAACAAATGTGGCATTTGTGTCAACGATGTTCATCCTCTTCTTTTCTCATTGAAATTAATTTAAATGTATGATTAAGCGTTACCACAATCTTATTTTATTGTTTATTGCACGCACATTCATGGTTTGTTCATGTTCGCTCTTCGTTCTTAAAACAACCCAAAAGGGCATCTCGCTGTTGATTTTTCATCGTTTCTTCATATTAAAATGCTTGTACATATTACAGGTAGTTTGGCTATGACTCTCAGCAAAATGGCCGTTGTGGCTAGTAGGCCTTTGCTTACTGCGAAGCCTTTCCTTATGCCCGCTGTTCGTCAGTCTCATGCCCATCTCTTCCGTAAGAGACCTGGTCAGCTTATCGTAAACCGCATTAAGGTACAAATAGTTTTTTCATACGTTCATGAATCTTTTCGCTTAGGACGTTTGTCACTTTTATTTCATCGGCATCGGATTCTTACCCGTTCTTTTATGTGTTGCTTACAATCACATTGTTCACGGACCATGTGAGCTTACAGATTATCCCGAAGACGTTAGTTTTCTGCACTTCTATAGATTTATGATTGTGTTCTCGCTTTTAGGGAACTGTTCCTCATCATTGGCAGTTCGAGAGAACTCCTATCAGACAGTGGTGGGCTAAGAACTTCGGAGTCTCCGATGTCGAACATCACGAGAGAAATTTGGCTTATTTTGAGAAACAAGCCACTCTTGCTCGCTGGAGGTACGAGTTCCTTACTCATACATAAATCAAGTGTTTACCGTTTCAGACAGATCGAACAACGTGTAAAGCATTTGGAAGGACAACGATGGGATTATAAGGGATGGAGCTATCAGCCCGTATCTTCCACTTGGGTAGATTATGGAAGATGGCACGCTCTTAGAATGAGAGATCAATATGAACAACATGGACATTACGCTCAATAATTAGTAAGGTGAAACATGATTGCAAAGAATTTTCATTCAATAATTGTGTTTCAGATCCGATATTCGATTGTCTCTTAGGAATGTCTTCTGTTTTATAGACTTACTTTAGATGTCTCTGTTGAGCTATTACAGATAAACATAGAAATTTGTCCTTATTTTTCAAATAATGTCGTTCGTATCGATCATGATGCCTTTTTTGTTGTTTAGTATTCCAATCTGGTCCATTTAATGAATTTTAGATATGCGTACTGTTTTTCGATTTGTAGCATAGCCAACTACAGGTATGTTTTTGAGTCAGACTTAGCTCATAGTCTCCATCCCCTTCAGAAATGCTCGAAAATATAGCAGCTTGGGTTTTGAATACATACATTGGTGAATATTTGGAAGATCTTGAAACAGATCAACTCAGTATAGATTTGACATTAGGTCTCGAGGCTTAAAATTCTGTTTTTTTACATTGAACATCTTAAGGCCAATTAGAGCTTGAGAATGTTCCGCTCAAAAAAACAGCCTTGAGGAAGCTTGATTTACCTCTGGAGGTGAAATCTGGAGTACTAGGAAAATTAACTTTAACTATCCCAATCACTCAAATAAGGACTAAACCATGGACGTTGAAGGTTTTCAATATATTCACACCAATAAAGATATTTTGTTCAATAGTTGAGCGATGTACTGATTGTATTAGGACCCTTGCCAACAAGCCGAAAATATGATGTAGAAGCTGTAGAAGAAGTTGAACAACAAAGAAAAGAACAAATGCTCCTAGAGTTAGAACAGAGTCATAAGGTTTTCATTGAATTTTGACCAGCTCTCATATATTCTTAAGAGTTCACTATTGCAAATGATGGGCATGAAAAAATCGGAAAATGAATATTCATGGTGGGGAGCTTCTCTGGTTGCTGCTGTTCTACACAACATTCAGGTTGAAATCTCGCATATCTCATATCTTATGACTATTTTAGTTAATTTTGGATAATGTACATATAAGATATGAAGATAATTTAACTTTGCCTAACAGTCGGGGTTTTTCGTGTGGTGTTCGTATTCAGAAGGTGATCATGGAGACTACAAATTCGGCCTGGGTTCGTCAAAAACTAAAAAGCTATTAAACGTTCTCTATTTGTAGAAACCAGGCTTTGTTGAACCGGAAGAAGGTTTAAATATTTTCAAAAAATTGGTTTTGACCGGGTTCAGTATTTATTGGGATTCTGATGAACAGATAAGAGAAAACGAATACACTCCTTCAGAGCTCAAAGTAGCTTTTCATGCTTTTATTTCCTATTCTCATTCGTTTCCAGGAAGCCCTAGCATCTGAAACTGCTCTGAGCTCATTTATAATCGAGCCGTGCAGTATGGAACTTGTTATGGAGAAGAACAGCAGCAAGTTCCCTTTGAAAGAATCTGAACCGCGGTTCAAACTATTTTTAAAACCAAACAAAACAATTTGTAACTTGACTCGAAGTCAAATGATCGAGTTGAGGGTTCTGAATAGGTGAGGCGTCCATCGAATATATTAATCATTGTTTTAGGGAATGGGCTCGTTTTGAGAGAGCAAGACAACATAGAAAATGGAGACCGTCATCCTCTATAAGTAGAAGGTACCATACTGGATTTTCAACCCAGGTCTATCAAATTCTATCTTGTAGTACAGCGAAAGAATGGTGGCAGTTTGCATTCGGTCGAGTGACGGATGAAAAGCTTACTGATCATTCGAGAAAAACTTGGCAATACGCTTTGAATCGAGCGCGGCTCATGAACGCATATTGTAGAGCCTACAGAAGACGTTTATTGGGTCTTGTTCACAATCCGAATGCTCCGTAAGAAATCTTGAACAATTTATTACATCGATAAACTGCTTTCAGAGATAGTGTTGCCGATCCTGCTACTTCTAATGCAGCTGGTACGGGTTCAGTTGACGATAAAGCTATAATGAAGCAAATCGAACGTGATGCTCAATATACATATAATGTATTAAAAATGTAGCTTATCCGTACTTCATAACTTCGTTCAGGATATACAACTACTTCGAGAAATTGTTTATAAACGTTTGCAACATGAGCACGAACAGAGAACCCCTCCAGAGCCTTTGGAAGAAGTATTTGAGTCTGTGGAAACTCCTGTAGAGGAGGTGATTTATATCTCCCTTTACCGCTTCACTGTCTTCAGTTTCAGATACCTAAAGCACCTGGTAAATATGAAGGCACAGGAATATACGGATGGTTTTCTAGTTTCTTTGGTGCTTCTAAAACGAGTAAGATATTTATACTTTGATATCTCGTGAAGTTCTATTGTTAGATGAGATCATTGAGGAGAAATTGCCAGGCATCGAGAAGCTTGACCTCAGTGACTTGAAGAACATTCCGAAATCTTTCAATCTCAAAGATATGGAGGATGAGTTTCTGGACGTTCTTCATGAATCTTGGGATGATTCTACCTTACTGAGGAAAGATAATCTATTGGCCGAAATTCTTTTGCAAATGGAGCAGATAACATTGCGTTTCATAGACTCAAGCGTTAGTTTCATCTTAAGTTTTTCTTTCTTTATTAACATTTTTAGATCATATCTGGAGTGGAACAACGGAGAGTTTTAGCTATGCAGCTTAACAAAGTTTCTTCACGAGTTGAGCTCAGTCCTCGTCATTCGACCTTCTCAGTTCAATTATCTGTAGATGACATGAGTATTCAACGTTTAAGAACTGGTCATGCCCCTTCTAGTGTATGTTTTTGTTTTGTTGTTCTGCTCAAATTCTTGTTACAGAAAAACTCCACGAATAAAGGAGAAGATGAGTCTTCTATGTTTAATTTGGCTGAAACGACAAAAATATTGCTTGCGATAGGTCGGAAAGATTCCAAGACGTTAAAGAGTGATCCGATCTTCCGGTTCGGTTAAATTGACTGAAGTTATCATTTTCATTTCGTTAAGCATGCAATACCGTCGATCAGAGAAGAAGTTCACCGTGAAGCATGTCATAGAAGGATGCTTAAAACCAATATCTGTGATTTATGAAGAGAATGCTTTAGCTGGTTTGTCCACTCTTTTCGCTGACGATCCACTCGTTTTCAAATCGGTAATGTTCAGATGTTCAGATTCATATTGAGCTTATGTGTTTAGGATGTTTCATTCGACAATACGGAAACTTATAAGCTTGAATCGCATATCCTCGCCAATTTTCACATACCGGAGGTTAGTTTTTCTCCCTGAAACTTGTTACATACTCTTTTAAGGTTACGATGGAGGTCAGATATAAGGGATCGTCTTCTAGCAACCTTCCTGAATGGGAACCGGGAGACTCTCTCGTTTGTTTTGATGTGAATGACGTGCTTCTCGGAGTGAACAGCGAGGATCGCTACATGAGCCGGGTTCGTAACACGATTAGTTCTTTCGAAGAGATGGTGACAGATCCTATCTTTTTCCTTCCTTCTCAACTCTGAAACTAATCTGGAAAATTAGAAATATTTATATTATGCGTTAACTTCCAGCTCAAAATAAATGTTGGATACTTGGAATGCATTGATCTTGCCAACAACAAATCCCGTTTGTTAGTATCTGGAAAGAAATTGCACAAAAAGACGGTAAATAAATATACTTCATTTAGACAAGTTACCATCTCTCATTTCAGGACTCTCTGTCTAATTCTTGCCCCAGTTTGAATCAGATACCTAGAGTTGAACTGGGAGGTGCTCATTCCCTACCAACTTCAACTTTCCTGGATAGTAAGATCTGTAGGCCTATCAGGCTAACGTGTATGGTTACAGATATGCCTGAACAAAATTTCAATAATGGAAAAAAAATCAGCTTCTTAGAGAACGATACTTACCGAGAAATTGAAATTTTGGTTACTCTGATCGACAGTCGTCATGCTCAGTTTGATTCATACAAGGTTTTTTTTATTTAAAAATCACTCGCAGTTTTTCCGTTTTAGAGTAACTGTATTATTGAAGCCAAGTTGGACGATCTAAGTTTGAAAATGAATCGCACCACAGTTACAGCGCTAATGGATTTAGCTGGTCTATTAGGAACAGACGAGAAGAATAATGCTCCTATGCCTGAAGGTTTCCATAATTTCGGTGAATTTGTAAAAAAGTATTTTAAGACATTGAATCAGTACTTGACACGTATGTGATAAGATCGAGTTTGGAAACTAAAATGCTCAAAATCAATATGTGTTATCCGGGAAACAAAACTCAATTGGGTCAAATATTGCTGTCTAATCCAAAGTTTGTAACAACGGTAAGCTCAGCTCAGAAGAAATATTACCCTCAAGAACCTTACAGATGACTTTAAACCAACCTCAGGAAACTATGACGGTTGATATATCTATGTTAGGGATGAAAATTGATGATTTTACACCAAATTATTCGGATTTATATAGAGAACGAGTTTTTTTCCATGACAGCGCTTCGCGCCCATCACCTATGCAGATTCATATTGTTAAGTAAGAATCACTGATAGTTATTTTTCTCATTCGAAGTTCCAGGTATCTGGGTGAAAATAGAATTAGAGACTGTGATCTTTCTCTCGATTTGAGTGTCCCACAAACCATGAACTTCTTCTACGTTCATACGCACAGATTCTTCTCCGACTTCACCGATTTCTGGCTGCAGTTTCTGGAGCTTCAAGACCAAATTATTAAGAGTAGAAAAGAAAATGTGGTTGAAGGAGGTCGTGCAAAAGTTCTACTCGATCTGTCGATCTTATCACCAACAACAATTATACTTCCACTCAACCAATGTAGTGATCAAGTAAGTTCAGCATGTGGAAGCTCACATCTAAATGATCTTTAAGGTTTTGATTTTGGAATCAACCGGTTTGCGGTTTACCAATTCTTTCAAAAAACTCAGCTCAATCGAACATATTTTCATGAACAATTTCATTGAAACTGACCATGGATTCGGTAAACTCCGTAACGAGTTCTGAATTGATACCCACTGTTTACAGATAAAGAAGTTGACTGTACACTTGACTGTGGAAACGTGATAATGAAAAACGTTTGTGCTTTTGAAGGAAGGAGATTTGGATCTAATCACAAAAAGTTTGACACAGTAAGTCCCCTCCGCCCCCACCTTTTTCAACTTTTTTTACTTCAACTTGTCACGTTTTGAAAACGAATTCATTCTTCAGAGACACGCTAGATTGGTTGGTCGTCACTTTTTCATAAAAAATGAGTTTTGGGCCTCAAAGAAAAACATCTTCAGCAAAGCTTTTGATTTCGTTTTTGATGTTTTCCGGAACCTAGACGGCGTGTTTTCTCATAATGGTAATAGATTGAACCATATCCATGTTTAAATACATCTCTATAGCTCCTGATTTGACCGTTCTATCGAGTATTCACGATATGACGTGGTACGTCACTACAGACTTCTACATGCTGTTTCGAGGTGTGTAAATAAGATTTTAATGTTTTCAAAAAAAGAAGCTTCAGGTATACTAGAAAAGAATATTGCTGACCCTCGTCATATTGTACCCGAAACAGTTCCTATTCAAATATTACAAAAACCAGAAGTGGGATGCGTGAGTAAATTCTGACGGGTTCTTCATTGAGATAGTTCTGTTTAGGAAGTAAACTGTGATTTCAATTATTCCACATTATCATTCCGAATGTTGTTTGAAAATGTACAGCTAGAGCTGCTAGTATGTTTGAAAAACATTGCAGCCTAAGGTTTTTTTATCTTCTAGGCTCCGAAAAAGGTTACACCATCTGTATTGTTCGGCAATGAGTACCAAGATTTCGGACGTATGGAGTTAAGAAACGCTCAAGTTTCATTCGATGTCTTTATCGACGGCCAGAATGAATTCGATCTGATTTGCCAAAGTACAAAGCTGATAGATACAAGACAGAGTAGAATTTAGAAGAGATTTGTAAGAAAAAACTGTTTTTTTCAGAAGTTAATGATGAAAAAAATCTTCATCCCGTTATTCTAGAACCACGAGATCCGAGTTGTATGGACGATACGTAAGAGCTCACTGCTGACTTTTCTTCAATCTCAATATGGTTGTTACAGCTCTTTAATGGCGGAAGCCCATTTAATGATAAAAAAAGATGAGCCACCCATCATTACGCTGGTATTGATGAATGCACGAGTAATTCTGCTACCTGATTGGTTGAACGATGCCAAGGAGTTCATATTACTAACATCAAACTTTGTTCCTAAATGTATCTTTGTAGCCAAAGATTGTTATTCAAATTTTTCGATTTTAGATTCTGATGATCCTTCTAGGTATCGTCATTGTATGAGAGGTGTGGTAGATCGAACCAATCTTGGTTGTGTCCACTTCAATCATGAGCAAACGTTTTCCGTTAAGATCACCTTGAGGTTTTCCGTGTTCTTTTTTCTTTTAATCGAAAATTTCCAAAATTTAAGAGACAGTGATCTTTATGTACTTGAAGCACCTTCTAAAGTAAATTCTCTAGCCTTAGTGATTTCAACTACTGCGCTATTGAACATGAATGATGCGAATGGAGAGCTCAATGCCAACCTAGAAGTTCAGGTACGCTAGATAGACTGAGGTTTTTTTAATTTTGTATTTATCTTAAGAGTGTAACTGTCGGATGGTGCTCAATGCAAGAGGAAGAAATATCAATGACCTCGTGTTCGAACAAATTCGCGATTGGAATATCTTTGGGTGTTGATCATAAGCTTCACCAAAATAATGGATTGCCGGAAATTTTCTTCAGGAAACACGTTTTGGAGGTTCGATCATTTTGAGAGTAAAAGAGCTGACATGCTTGTTAAGGTTGGCGTTAGAGGGCTGATAGGAAGGATGTCATTTAAAGATATAAAAGTCGTTATGACGATTTTGGATTCCTTCAAGAAGAGCTTGAATGATTATACCGTGAAATCGTTGATACCTGTCGTCAGAATTGTAGATCCTAGCAAAGGTTCGCATGACTGTGACGACTCTAATAACTTCATTGTTTTTAGTTTTATGTTTGGAACGAATAGTAGTCAGAGCTGATCACATGGATGTTTGGATTCTTGATGATTATCAAGGAAGCGCTATTCCATTCCTTCGACTCTCTTTTTCGAGTATGCAGACAAAGTGTCCATTTAGCACAGTTCCTCATTTCAGATTTTGAAGTTGATCATAAATCGGATAAAGTGGAAGCAAAGCTTTCCTTCAGTACAGATTACTTCAATCAAAGAGTCTTCGGGTGGGAGCCGTTAATAGAGAAATGGATCATAACGAGATTCCTTTCGAAAAAGAAAGATAAAACTCACAAGATTGAACTAATAGCTGGTAATGTATGATAAAAGTCCTTTTCTAAGCTCTCTTCTCAGAATCAAGAACTCCGCTAGATATCAACATCACGGAACAGCTTGTGCAACAAATGATGCAGATGTCTGCTAGATGGCCTTCCATTCAATCATCACTTGAGAAAGAAGAATACAGGTAACAGACTAAAATGATATTATTGTTAATATATTTAGAAATTCATTCATGAAAACTCGCACTGATCATCTACCTTATCTATTCAAGAATGAGACAGGCTCTGAAGTGAAATTCACTACAGGTTAGATATATGTCAAATTTTTTTCATTCACTGATGATTTTGAAGAAGTCGCAGATGTCTTGGCTTCCAGGAATGAGCATAGGAAAACAAATGCAAGATGGATTTGCGTTCCCAAGAATAAAGAGCAGACTTTCGAATTTCCAACTAAGCTACTTTTATATTCGGTATACATTCTTTCTTACCATCTGACAACCTTGTGACAACTTTATAGCAAAATGAGCGTGAACCCCCGCGACAGTTGATTATACGGGTGACTGGCTGGGATGAAATTTCTCAAGTGAATGTAGACTCTTGTGGAACGTATTTCAGAGTTGTCAAAGCTGATAATGTATTCATAATCTCGAGATGATTTCAATGATTTTCCTTTTAGCCTGGGTCGCCCAATGCTAGATTAGTTATCAAAGTAACAATGGAAAAAGATGGAAAGAAAGTTGTAGCAGTCAGATCTTCTCTTCAAGTTCATAATCATTTCCCTCATCCAATTGATATCTATGTTGACAAGATATCAAATCGTAAGTAGAAAACTTTTGCTTCAATATTTTAATACGTTCTCCAGCTATACTAACTGTTGGCTTATCTGAATCATTGCCCATTCCCTTGGAATTTGCTCATAACTCCTTTACTGTAAAACCGAAGTGTGGGCAAGAAAAGAAAGCAAAGGTTTTTCCTCTTTCATATTCTCTACGATACAATTTGGAATGATCCAGGCTGAAATCAGTTGGCGCGGTATAAGAAAAGCGGGACAGTCTATAAATACGACACAACGTTTGGACGGAGTTTCAAAAGATTCAAATTGGTTATGCACAATGGTTAGGCGTGACTATTACCCTGAAGACGAAAATTTACCTGGACATTCGGTTTACATTGTCGCACCGTTAACGATTCAGGTACCTATTGCTTATATTTGATAACTAATCTGAATATTAGAATCTTCTCCCAATCGATGTTGAAATACGGATGAGTGATCAAACATTTGCTATCAGAGCAGGAAAGCAACTTCAGATAACAACTGTGAGTAAAAGTTTCAAATTCAACATTAATACTTCCGCTCAGGTCGATATAACAGCAACCCTCAGTTTCAATATCTGTACTGACAGACTGAAAACTTCTCAGAGTATTCAAATATCAAAGTCATCAATTTCAAGTGGCAAGCAGCTTCAAATCTAGTAATGCGAAGTTTTTAATATTTTCATCTCAATTTTATCTAGTTTGCAAGATGCCGAGAACCGCCATCTCAGTATGTATGTAAATTTACAAATTGGTCTTGGTGGTTCCTTGTCCATGTCTCTGTGGGTAACGTATTGGATAGTCAATAAATCGGGAATTCCTTTGGTCATCAAGCAAGAGGGGGCTACTTCCGAATCTTCTGGACAAGGCGATGAACATGAAAAGGCGAAAGACAAGCATCCCTTAATGTTCAGTTTTTCTGATCCGAGCTGTCCCCATCAGTACTGATAATATTGTATGCAACAGGTCATTTCATTGTTTCAGATGCGCGGTTCGAGTTGGGAAGTCATTTGTGACTGAACCTGGTTACACTCCTTTATTTGGCCGGAAATTCCCTTTGATACCAGGAGTTCAAGCAATCAAGCTGAAGCTCGTGCATGATAACTTACCTACTTTGTCAGTTGTTGTTTTGAACTTGAATTAGATTCCTTCGGTTGCAGGTATTACAATGTCGGAGTAGAAGTAAGACCGGGAACTGGTCGTTACAAAGACACTCAAGTTGTTCTTCTTACATCTCGATACCTGATTAATAATCAGTCCTCATATGATATTTCTGTTAGCCATTCTGGTGATGGGCTGGATAAGGTATTTTAAAGTTCGGAAATACTAGGAAAATAGCTCTTTTCAGAGCCCTGTTTCAAATTGCGTCGATATATCAGCCCAGTCCAGTATAGTCTGGAACGAGAAGGTCCAAAAGGAGTTCATAAGAGTTAAACGTTCAGATGTCAAGTATTGGAGTTGTCCGTTCCGAATAGATCGTATAGGATCGTTCCATGTGACTATGAGGTTCCTAACAATGAGAGCATGTTTTATTTTTTTCTTTTGTTCAGAAATGAGGATGAAACTCCACGCTTCATCAGAGTAGAAATTATTCTAAGTAGTGCAGCATTTTGCGTTACGTTCACTGATGCGGAATATTACCCATCGCCTATTAGAATTGATAACCAATCTGATGTAAATTACTGAGCACAAGTGCTTCATTGTAGTGTTTTTTTAGGTACCGGTTTTGTATCAGCAATTCTCGGACTGTTTGATAAGTTCTCATTTCCGTACTATCTGCAAAGCTAGAAGTCATGTGGATTATGCCTGGGATGATATATACGGACAAAAACTCATCGTTCTTCAGGTACGAAAGTAATGAAAGTTTTGAGCTAAGTTCTTGATAGTTATATGAAAACAAGTCTCATCCCTATGATCCTGCTCGACCTGGAGTAGATGAAAGAGCTTTGGTGTACGAAAATAATGCATATTTACAACTCGTGTCATCTTTCAAAAGGTATGAGACACTGCACGTTCAAGAAAATCGGACAATTACAGATCGAGCAATCCTAGAACAGAAGAATGTGAGCTTGTACTGGAAACACTGACCAAGGGGAAAGTAACCTTGAATAAACAGAACAGAGTTGATGCCAAGTATGTTTTTCCCTTGAATTTAAATTGTATCGTCGTCTCTTAGCTACGGTAATCAGTTGTGGAAGCTTTGCGATGATGGTTACATCGAAAACATCGGTCTACAACGGCGTTATAATGAGAGAAAAGTTTTGGATGTTCTGGAAAATGGAGACTATCAACTAATGATGAAGACTGTCGATCCAGCACGAGAGAATTATCAAAAGTGGATGTTCAAGCCAGTTAGTTGACATTTACAGTAATGCAGTGTAATAATGGTTCAGAGTGGTCAAATCTGCCTCAAGTCACGTCCAGATTTGATCGTGACGGCAAAAAGAACTGAAGTTTGCTTATCTAAAAATGACCCTACTAGTGAGATCAATGAGGAGCACATACCAGTTTCACAAGTTTGGAAAATCAGTCGTCAACGACCTGGAAGTGGTGTACTGGAAGTTGAGTGTCTGCACAGTGGTCCGACTTTGGTAGAAACGAATTAGGTCCTCTCCATATCACAGTTATGTTTTACAGGTAGTCAGGATCACAGATCGAGAGAAAAGACGTGCACCTGTTCGATCCTCCGCGAAGCAAACTCCAGGTATTTACTAGGTTGTTTCAAGTACCAACAATATGTTCAGATATATGCGAGTTGAGTATTTCCATGAAAAGTGGAATAGGAATTTCTATAATCAATGGATTATACGAAGAAATTCTCTATGGACGATTATCTCTCATTGAAGCCTGCGCTCAAATTCATAATGAAAGTTATAGTCTTCATGCAAGTATAGGACATATTCAAGTTGATAATCAGTTGAACGGTGCCGAAAAAGTACCATTAATCTATTATCAAACGCTAAACTCCGAAGATCTGGAAGCAGAACAGGTAAAATTTCATTCTTTGCGCTTCTATCAACTGCGTTTTAGACCAGAGATCTGCCTGCGGGTGTTCCATCTGCCCACAGTCCTGCTCTGAAGCTCGAAATGAACTGCACCCCGAAAAAGAACTACGATGCATTCGATGTGAGTTGCCTTTGGAAGGGAAATTACAAATATCTCTTGTTAAGTGTTTCCGATTGAAGTTCTGCAATGTTAATGTCAATTTGGACGAGTTGATTCTATGGAAATTGATCCAATTCGTTCAAGCTTCTGATGTGTCTTCGAGTGTTCAACAAAAAGCTCTTAATTTACCGCCCAACTTGGAGTGAGATATTGTTGATACAGATAATATTAGTATTTCATTTTGTTCAGAATTGAAAGACCTGATCCTCTCAAAACTAGACGTTGGTATTTCGGAACGTTAGAGTTAGTAATGGGACAGATTGCTCTGAGTGGTTCGTATAACGACTATTTGAAGTATACAGTTATACATTTTCAGTTACAACTGTGTCGAAGTCCAGTTTACCTATGGAGTTGCAAAATTTGAAAGAACAGTTCAACATTAAGCTTGTGTCATTTGAGAACGCCACTGTTGCTCTGCCAGATTTTCGGCAGTCCCATTATTTCGAGACATCTACGTTCCTATTAGAGTCATTACAGAAATTTTACTTTGGTATTGGCATGTTGTTTTCATAGTGAACCTTGTTTTCCAGCTGAGCTCAAGAAACAAACTATCAATATTATTGTTACTTTGGATGCGTTCGGAAATCCCTTAGGTCTAGTAACCGATTTGAAAGATTGTTTCCAAGGACTGTTCATTGAAGGAGACGTTCAAAGATTCTTAGCTGGTTTAGGCTATGGTGTTTCCAACAGTGTCTCAAAAGTATTGTCATTTTGAAATTACCTCTGTTAAAACGTCTTTTTAGATGGCATCATCAATGGCTTCTGGAGTGGGGTCGTTCACTTTCGATCAGGATCATGAGTTACGTCGTCGAAATATGATTCGTTCTCAAAGGTTTATTGTTTTACTATATTATCAAAACGTTACAGTTTCAGCGTTTCCTCTACTCCTCTTACTCATCTGTATTCTGGTGTTAAAGGCTTGGGTATGGGAGTTTTTGGCGGTGTTACAGCCATTCTGACTAATACTATAGCTGAGAGCAGAAAAAGTGGCTATGCAAAAGTGAGATAAAGAGCAGTGGATGCTAAAGTTATACCACTTTTAGGGAGCTTTTATTGGGATAACAACTGGTGCAGTCGATACTGTTACTAAACCAGTACAAGGATTATTCGACTTGGTAGAAGGAACTGCAACTGCCATGAAAGAACTCGCTGGCTCCACTGCATCAGGGTCAAGGAGAAGTGTTGTCCTAGGGTAGCGACGAGATAATATTTTCTTTGAAAAAATGCTCAAATATTTTTCAGAAAAATAAGACCTCCTCGAGTATGTCGAGATCTTTTCCATTTATTACCACCGTATAATCTCAAACTGGCAAACTGTCAAATGGAAATGCTCCGTATAAATGGTTATTCAATGAAAGAGAGGTGGAGAGTTTCGATGGTTCAAAAACAATTCCTTCGTTCAGACTGCTTGATGTGGAAACATCACTCGAGCAAGTTGAAGGAGTCAGTCGAATAGTGCGTTACTATGCGTTGGTATCAACAAAACAATGCTATGTATGTAAACAGGTAAGAATCCATTTTCTATCAAATCATCTATTAACCTATTCAAATTCAAGATTAACAACGAATCCTCGAATGTTATTCATTGCATTCCTTATAAGTATCTGCGTTCCGTTAAGCCTTTCGTGGAGAAGAAGATGAATTGCGCTTTAATAGGTATTGTTGAAAATAAATACGAAGTATCTCCTCATTCTTAGATGTCCGGTTGGACAACACTGAAAGTCGGAATGATAAACCTGTTCAAATTTGGTGTAGTAGTGAAATGGTAAGATCGAATATCCTAGAAGCCGTGTTGTTATAATGCTGTTCTTCAGGTTGCACGAAAGTTAGCTGATAAGATCATGAGAGCTAAGCACGAATATGATCATAGTAAGAGAACACTAATAGAAAATACTTTTTCATATCCTATATAATAATCCTATTTATGCTCAACCAACAGGTAAACGTAGTCATTTCTAGAAGTACTTGTTGCCCCCCATATCAGTTTTTTTGATGAAATTCCGGTGTATAGTCTAGTCATTTCACTTAGTTTTCAAAATAGAACGTTTTGACAATATGATCTCTTTCTTTTTTTTGCATGAATATATCTGATAATCAGGGGATATGATAGGATGTTCGTAGCTTTCTTCCAAAGTACACCTGCCTTAATAACAATTCGAGCTTTTTCTTACGTCTGTGATATAGAAATAATTAATTAATGTATATTATAATAAAGATTCTATGGGTTTTTTCATGAATTCTGTATAAACGACTAGTACTATCATGGCTAGCTGAGGTATCTTATTTTGTATAATTTTTGTTTTTACAACATTTCTTAAGAAATGGCATATGGTTTCCGGGTCTTTGTGGGGTCTTGCATTTTCTCCGTGACATGCATAGGTGATAATGATTTCAGTTCAGTATTGAAGAACTTTTTTTTGTTCTAGCTTTCGTTTTATGGGATGAACGACAACAACGAGAGAGACGACAAGAGGGAGTAAAGTACCGATTGAAATCCATCCAACAGCAACAAGTTTATCATAGTTTTAGTTGATTCCGATGACCTGTATTCTAGAACATGGAAGAGTATGAACAACAGAAGCAGAAATACGAAGAATATAAAGCAGGACATTCATAGTTTGTTGTACCATATAGTCATTAGTTAGAGATTGTTATAAGTTCATAATCGGGTTGTTACAACTTAAAGAAATTTCAAACTTAATTTGATCGATTGGTTTCTTCAAACGGAAGGTTTTCAACCTTTCTTTACCTTTTATATTGTCTTGTCACAAAAACTCTCTCAAACCTAGATGAATCGCACGCTAGTCTTCAGGAACTTCTCGTTTTTACCTAAAGGTCGGCAACTCTCTGTCACATCGGCAGTGAATAAGTGAAAAAACATTGAGTAGTGTAATCATCTTGTTGTTTATAGGCAAGACTTGAAAAAACAACACTGGAAGAAAGATGTAGTTTATTTGTATCAGGTTAGTGTTTTTCTATTAACATGGTATGAGTTTTTTGAAGTTTCCTCGACCAGCTGTTTTGCCAAACTTTTCTCCATTCTGTCTGAAGGTCGAAACCTTTCTTCGTGTACACAACTTGAAACATGAGGTGATATAAGAAAAACTTGGTGGTTTCTCATCTATATTAGGTAATCGGAAATTACTTCCAACGGTCACAGAACGGTTTGCTTCCATTCGTCGAGCTCAATGGCAAGCAAGTTGCAGACTCTCAGATTATTCTTTGGTATCTTCAAAAGCATTTCGAGATTTCGGTTAGTACCTAAGATATCAGTTTCGAGACTAAGGCTTCGTTTAGCATGGCGTTAATACCGCTGAAGAGTTAGCAGTTGTAAGAACAGTCGATCGAATGGTTTCAGCTCATACCAATGTGTACGACTTTCACTGAAGTTGAGATAGTTAATAGAATGTTTTTAAAGTTTACTTCAACACGATGCTGTTGTGCAGAACGCGAAAACAATGTTGTCGAGACCCGTAAGTGGTTTGATGCTTCCAGCCTTTGTTACGAACTATTTGGCTAAAGGGTTTTCAGCTAAGGTTAATGATATGAATGGACTTTTTTTTACTTATTCTCCTTCAGGCTAAGCGACGCGTCAATGGAGTGTTAGGAAACTTATCTCGCGATGACCGTAGGGAGTCTCTCAAACAAGATATAGCTGCCTTGGATGCTATTCTAGGTGACAAGAAGTTCCTGTTCGGTGACCGAATGACTATTGTAAATTTTTTTTTGAAAATCCATCAGAGCTTCTGAATTGCTTCCAGGCTGATTGTTCCACCTTTGCACATGTCGGTATCGCCTCATCTCTTCCTTATAGACAGCATATCACCGATCTTTTGGAAGATGATTTCCCACGCCTACGCAACTACATCCAACGGATTCGAACACACTATTTCCAAGATTGGAAAGATTTATAATTTATTGAAGCTTTCCTTAGGTAGCGGACGATTATGTTAATTAGAAGTATAATTGTAAACATATACTGGTACGACGACTTCATAAATGCTTTTGTATTATAGAAGTTTACTTATTTAGTTCATTCAATTCATCTTTTCACTCTCAAAATTTTGAATGATCACGGCTGTTAGTTTAGGACCCTTGGATGTATTAAGTATGTTCTTCCTACATGACCCACAAAGATTTGTTGAAAGAATATTGAGAAGAAGTTCATCCTCTCGAGACTGGTCATCCCTCATTGCTAGTATATGTTCGTCGGGATATTGACCAGATGATCATGAAGTCTGCGTTCCTTTTGATAGTTTTCGTAACTTCTGTACATGGTGCTAAACGGCTGAAAAGAGATTTCATGTTCGTGACGGATACCAATGGAACCGATGCTGGCTGTTTTGCGGTCACTCATTCAGCTCTTTGTCTCATCTAATTGATATTGAACTTTGCAGGACTGTAATGAGAAATACAAGCATGATTTCGAATACAGTTTCAACATGAATACAACAGACTTCTATGATTTTCCTTTCCATCCTATCGTTCTGCGCTATTCATCATTTCTCCTGTTTTGTCGCTTGGCTCAACAAAGAACTGAATGTTACCAGAACAAATGCGGTGACACGGTGATGACTACCGAGTTTTCTTTGTAATTTTGGTTTTAAGATGGCTGATACAATGTTTAGCCCGTCTAACTTCATCTGCAGTTTCAAGAAAACACTTTTTATGGAGGTTAATCAGCAGTTTTCATTTGACACTAATGTGTGTTTGTATCAGGTTCGACCATGCTTGGCGGAAGCTGAGCCAAAGTCATTCCTTACTTGTGATAAAAAATGCCAAGAAAGTGTAACAAAGAAAGAAGAGAATGACGGAGAAGAACCACGAAAAGTCAGTGATATCTTTGTTTTTTTCATTATTAATAGTCTGTGATTTAGATTTATTCCATGACGGAGATGGAAGGATACGAAGTAGAATTGGACAAGCTTTGCACTTTCCAATCCTGTTATTTACAGTGTGTTGAGCCTATCCTCAAAGAGGTGAATAAAACATTATTGAAATGATGAAGAATAAAATTTATTTTTAAGACTTGTCCAGCAGAACTAGCTGCCAAAAGTGTGGACTTGCTGAAATCTTTAGTTCAATGGCATGCTGGTGACATAAATGATTGGCACATGCTGAATGATAGACAATCTCAGCTACCTGAGAGTTGTCATCAACTGGCAATTAGTCGACTAGTAATTGATAAAACAGATCCAATTTTACAATTATTTGAAAGATATTAGCGAACAAACGTTATGACTCATATAATATTTTAATGAACTTAATTAATATTGTTTTTTTTCTTTATCAATGGATATCTACGAAACAAGGCGAAGAAAGAGTAAATGAAAGAGAACAAGAGTCAGAGAAGAAGAGTCAGAGAGAGAGAGAGGGAAAGAGAGACACTGAGGCGAGATGATGATACTCGTAGTTGTTTCTAGAAAATTAGAAGAACCCGTAAAGAAGGAAATGATAACGTTAGAAGTTCAATGTGAACCATATCGAATTTTATAAAATGACGTATTGTACGTACGGTCGAAGACTAGCTTATGGACGCACTGCACAAAGCCTAGATCAAACTGAGGATCGCTTCGAATAAAAAGATTTCGCGAACTTCTGAAGCCAATCACATAACAGAATACAAGATGAATTATAAACTAACTGTGCGAATTGATAACTTTCCATGCCTAAGACACAGTTTCCTTGTCGATCAAACTTCTCACTAATACATACAGGATAAGTAGCATTCGAATGTATACCCTAGGTGATGAATTCATCTGAATCTTTCTATGCGACACATACCTGACATTTAGAAAGTTGTTGTTTTGTCATATAATTCTTAACTATATCAAAAAATATTTTGTGAAATTCAGTTGATAGAATGATTGGTTCTCGTCTACCACCCATATATGAGCATGTAGCTTTCTTTACATAATCTGAATAAGGAAAATGATCTTTAGGACAATTAGCACATTCTTACCTAGTTCGTGTTTAACATTAACACTCGTCGTTTCTAATTTGTGCGTTGTATCCTGTTCTTGTTGCAAAATTCGAATTTGTTCTTCACTAACTCCATTTTTTCCTATTTTGGCAGCTTCACCAAGACGTCTAGCGTAATCGGCAATAAAGTGAACAGATTGCAATGGTATCTCATTTTCCTTGAAATACAAAGCATTAGCTCAAAATAATTGCAAACCCATTCTATACCTGCATAATGATCAAATGCCTCCAAGGAAAGTTGTTCATCTTATCTAAGCAAGCTTCATAAGCTTCAAATTCCTTGTGTGGATCAGATATATCGAATGTATCATCCGGTACAATCACATTTATTATGCATTTCGATAGAAACCTCATCTGGAAACATTCCGATTAGCATAATTTCGTTTTCGATTCTCGAACTTGAATGACGTTTCTAGTCATTTTCGAAATGTACAGACAATCGAATAGTCCGGTTAATTATTTTGCTGTTAAATTAAAGATCAATCGTTCAGGTCATCGTAGTATTCTTTTTCTCAATGACAAACGAATGTTTCAATCACTCATATTGTTTCAATACAGCCAAAGTATAGTTACCTTGATCTGAAAGCGTTCTGTTGAGTTGGAACTGATCGGAAAACAAAAAAAATGTATTGGAGAGTACAACATTGATAGAACTTCCTCTACAAATTCATAGTCCTAAATCATGTTGTGATGATAAATGAAGAAATGAGTTTAAAAAATACTTTTGAAACTAATCGAATCAAGTATAGTGGATGATGAACTTCCATACTGTCAGGAACTTCAGTTGGAAAGTACCATTGCTTCCTGATTGACCAGCACCTGCAAAACAAATTCAAATGACGTGTTTAAAAGAATAAATTGAGATGATTTTAGTTATCTTTGATTCTTACCCTCTTCCAGTTAGTTCACTGATGTTTCTTTCTTGTACTACTGTCCTATTAAGTATATAGTCTTCTAAGTTATTCTCGTACTTCATTGAAGCGCAGTCAAATGACATTTTCGGAATAGGAACAATAAACAAATGCAAGCTGAATAGTAAATGGTTTTACATTGTGGTACAGCATAACGTTTAAGAACTTACTTCCATAATACAAAACCTACAAATACTATAAAGACTGTTAAAACAAAAGCAGAAGGTAAGGCAATCAGAATTATCTTCGTTGTCGTCATGGTAGACATTATTCTGTAATTGTGAAAACACGTTTAGAATAAATAGGTATAATGAATACTTGAGCGAAGAAAAATACAAATAAGGGATATATACGTATTGTTAACCACACAAAAAGGTGATGGCTGTTATATGCTGAAGATAGCTAAGAAAGAAAAAAAAAGAGAGGGTGGGGGGGGGGACGGAGTTGTTCAAGAGAATAAAAAAACCTGTCTATCAGTCACGGTTCTTCTATCAATCAAATAAACACATAACATCATCATTTATTCAGACATTGCTATTCATAATATCTTTACCTTATATAGAATGTTAATTTTCAGTATTTTACAGCTATACACACGCACTGCGTCACAAAATGGTTGAATAGTCTGGAGAGAAGCCTTGAAGACGAATCGTTCAAATAGAGACTGGCATAACCCTTTCGGCTGGTTCGTCTACATCACGTTTTTCATGATACTGTTCTGCAGAAGGATCTTGACCTAACTTGATGTGCCTTTGCTTTCACTTATGACATCATGTATGTTCCATCGTAATACTTAGAAGTATCGCAAACTTTTTTGGTTTCGTTTTTTTCTTGGTTGAAATCTCATCGCACACGGTGTGTTATTGTAATGACCAACTTAACACTTCAACTGAGTGTTGAATGATTTTTCTGTAATAGATTTTCCAACTGTTGAAACTTCTCCTAAATGCTCGCCGTCCCATAAATTTTTGTTCTCTTGAGATCATCTTTTCTCGTTCTCTCTTCAAAACTATTTTCTACTTGAGCCAGTACAACCAAATTTCATTTCCTAGATCTTTGTTCTTTATTCGAAAAAAAAACTTTCTTCCTTTCACGTTGCGTCCCATTTGATGCGACTCTAATGTGAATTTCCGGGGCTGATTTACTTGTTCTGCCGATTTCTACACTTCGCGCACGAAACCTTGCGCATCGCAGAAAAATTTTTGTTCCGCTTGTGCTCTCATATCTGCCATAGCTTATCTGTCTCGTAAATCCAGGTTATTCTGAAATTTCGCATAGCATAATATTTTAAGTTATATGAAATATTTCGATTCTTCTCCCATATGAATATTCGATCAGCTGGCTTTCACTTCATATCACGACCGCTCTCGCTTTATCTTTGGAGCAGAATGAAAACGACATGTATGACCGATAACTAGGAGAAAGCGTGAAAAATGAAAACCGTTTGCACGACCGCAAACTCAAACTTCTAAGAACAGAATGAAATGCATTCCTTTTCTATTCTCATTCCAAATACTCTATGCCTAGCTAGTTACGAATTTCTTGAATTTCTGCCAGCATTCACTTTTTTCAGACACTTCACGAATACTTTTAACTTCACTCATAAGAAAAGGCCGGATGAGAGAAGAAAGATAAACTGACATTACTAAAAACAACCTAAAAAGAAGCACTCTTTGCTACAATGACGTAGAAATCGTACACAACGACCACAGCGAACTTTTTGTCAATGCTTTCTAAACAAGACGCCAACACGCGCCGAATCATATGAGATTCCTAAATGGGCGCCAACGTGACATCACAATGGCGATAAACAAGGCATATATGTCTATATGACGTGTTATGCCATCAGCATAGTAGCTTGAACTATGAACAAATAGAAGTGTTGAAGCTCAAACTGTTAAGAAATTAGAAGTGCTCGAGCTCAAACCAACAATCACTCGTATTGCTTGACCATTGTCACGTATATCGAATATCAGAGTTTGATTTCAGAAAATTATTGTTGTATAATTGGCTTACCATTCCTAACAGCAGACTGTGCTGATAGGCTGTTTTTTTGTTTCTGAGAATTCTTCCAAGAACCATCTTGTGTCTTGATTTGAGAAGAAAACCTTGTCTCCTGCCCATGCCCGACAACCAGAAAAGAAGAAAAGGCGCACTACAATCAGAAGTTTGCCATCATTCAATGCATACTATCCAAGTATCCAGAAGTACACAAATGAGAAACATTCATATCTGCCTCATCTGATGTTCTTCACAATATCATTCAGTTTACTTGAAATATTTAGGACACATGCTATTAAAAGCCATTTATCTTACAGTTTGATGTGCTGAAGAAAGGTTCAATGATTAGTTTGAAATCGACAACAGTCTGATCAATGTTGAAGATATAAGAGTGGGAAAGCTAACTGATACATTCAAGATTGTCAACAATTGTTAAGGCTAATGAACCAGCTAAGCTTTCACGTACAGTAATTGATAACCGAGAAAATTGAGTTGTTGATAAAGGAATGACTCGTTGCTATTCTCAAGAAATTCACAGAAAATCCAATAATTTCACATCCATACGTGAACGGATTTGACACGTACAACCGAGAATATCCGGTTTTCATACATTTACAAAGAGAAAGCGATTATTAAGCATGGTAAACACCTCGATTACAAAAGAGAAATACCGAAAATTCTTCGATAACCAACAAGAACTTGAAGGGATTGAACTCTTTCAATATTACCCCCGCACTGATTGAAGGACAATCAATCAACATCGACTACAAACAAAAAACATTCCAATCTCATTAGAAATTTGTAGTTATACAGATCAATCTAATACAGTTCTATGTAAACATTTGAAAATCACAATGAAGGGATGTAGCTAAGCCAAGTCACACGTAATAGTTTGGTTCAAGCCATTCGAGGCAATCACAATATATCACGTCATCAGAAGTTATGCTAATTCTTCCTAACAGTGCACTACTATGAATATAGAAAACTAAAAATTATTTGGAATGAGTTTCTTCAATGATTCGCAGACAAAAAATAAGACAAGAAAGTAGATGAATCACTCAATTTATAAAAAATGAACTTTTGAACTATGGAGTGTTCACTTGGTGCGTCGGCAGATAGGATGATCTCCTTGGCTACGATTCTCTCGTTGCACCTACCGTGGGTCGATAGTTAGCTCAGAAACTTAGCGAATGTGAGTTGAATTCAGGCAGTATTGAATTACATTTGAATTAGATCCTTCCTTTCTCATATTCAGTTACTTTTCAATCGAAATCATATTCCTTCAATGCTTCGGAACTTCATTGTCTGAATACCTAACATAGCAAATTGGTCATTATAGTTATATATTGCGTGAGATTTGTTTTGCTTACTTTACATGTTTCATCGAGTACTCATGTCAACCTATCCCATCTTCAAGCACTCTCGCATCCAATCTCTGAGCAAGATTATTGGGTCCAACGCGATAACTGATTATCACTTTGTCGTAATATATAAGCCTAGGTTATCGATTGTTACATCATTAAGTGTGTAACTATAACGTTCATGCACTTCATCCCTTTTCTTTCACTTATATTCATTATTTTTTTCATGTGCTATGTCCGAATATACTATCGAAGACGATGTATCCTCTAACGATCCTATTTGGAGAGAATGGACTCAAATGGTCGAAAATGAATACTGGCTGGCAGATGATAGATCCGTCACTACATTAACACCCTTCGAGCACACTACTCGTTGCGTAGCAGCCAAAGATAAAGGTGAAAACGCTTTAATTTACTATGTAAGAATAAAAATTTTTAGATGGTGGTCTCATAGGCATAGTTATTTGGAATGAATATGATAATCTTGCATGGTTAGGATTCTATATTCTTAGAGAAAACTATAGAGGTAAAGGTATTGGAAGCGTTATATGGGACCGTGCAATGCACAGAATCAGGAAAACAGGATATATCCTTGGTTTGAGAGGAGGTATATCTAGGTGTTTTTTTTTGCTCTGAAAAACTACTTTGCAGTACCTGCGATGTCACATAAGTATCAAGCCCATGACACACCTCACAAAAGAGACATGATGGGTAATCATAAAGGTAGATGGGATAGTTTTGTCAAATTCGCCAAGAAACATGCAAAGACGGTAAAAACAAATCTCAAGCAATATATTCATGTGGATTTTGCTTTAGGATTTGAAGCAATGGGCTTCTAGTACATTGAACGAAAACCAGCTTGAGAAAGTATATGCCTTTGATTTGAAAGTAACCGGAAAAGATAGAAAGGATTTCCTCAAGAAGTAATTCAGTGCTTTTTGATTCTTATTCATAATTACTAGGTTCCTGAGCTTACCTTTCACATATGCTAGCTTCATCGAGAACGAAAAGAACGAAATAATAGCAATGGCGTTCATCACAACTACTGGACCACCAAATGAACACTATTTTAAGGTTTGTGAGTTTTGAAGCCATTCTATAACTTCGTTCAGGTGGGTCCAATATATGCCTCCACCGTGGCAGAAGCCATGTCTGTGAGTCTACCAGTGTTCGAACATGCAGGCCAGCAGTTTGAAGATGCGAAATTACTCGTCAACATTGTGGATAGTATTGGAAGAGATGAACTCGAACCATTACTTGTCCAAGAGGAAGATATAAACTCCGACCCTGATGCACAAACCAGCCTGTATAGTATTCCAATGAATGAAACCTTCCGCAGAGACTTGGTTTTTGCCCCAAACAATAACTCGATACACTATGACGCCTAAGGTTTTTCTGCAATTGTTGCGCATCTTCATAAGATCTTGAAGCCATTTGTGAAACTATAGACTTTGTTAGA